AGAAAGGCCCAGCAGGTTTGTGGGTTTTTCGTGGGTTATTTCGTGGGTTATTCGTGTGTTATTTGTGGGTTAACCCAACCCACGTTTTAAAACATGGGTTATTTTTTGGGAATAAATACCCACGTTTTAGAAACGTGGGTTATTGTTTGGGAAAAAAAACCCACGTTTTAGAAACGTGGGTTATTGTTTGGGAAAAAAAACCCACGTTTTAGAAACGTGGGTTATTGTTTGGGAAAAAAAACCCACGAAATCATACGCGCGCGCGTTGGTTCCGGAGGGCCCTGTAAAAATAAAAACAGTTGTATTCTCTATTCTTCCTTTTTATTAGGCCTCAAAAAGAGCAACAAAAACATCGCGAAACAAGATTGGTCTATTCCAATACCCCGCGTGCTGCAACGAATGCGCACCGTAGAGGCATGACAATACGAGTACGAGTACGAGTACGAGTACCAACAGTACACCCGTGCCTGGAACGAGCATGGTTCGCAACGACGCATTGGAAGGAAAAAAAAAACCGTAGTGATTGAGCAGATTGTACCCCTGCGGTGCAGCACAGCTATGATACGAAAAAGTTGCACCCCCCAATCCCAAAAGCAGGACCGAAGGAAACCACGGAATCCAACGAACAGCCGCCACCATCCATGCCGTCAAAGAAACAATCGTTAACGGCGCCGTCGGAAAGTGAGAAAGCTACCGGCGGGACCGAGGGGGAAGCACAAGAGGAGCCCCCGCCGCCCCCGGAACTCCTGGTGCGACGGAACGACATCGGCGGAACGACGAGATCGAGGTCCTTCGTCGAGCTCACGATCCGGGGAGAAACCGTCGGGGCGCTGGAGACGACCCCGCCCCCGGAGCCACCGGCGCGGCGGAGCCTCCTCTGGCAGGCCTTCTCCTGCAACCTGTTCGAAGCCAACCGGAAATCCTCGAGCCAGGAGCTCACCGAAAAACTCCAGCAGCAGGAAGTGGACAGCCTGGCGTCGTCGAACAGCTCGTGGGACCGCAATCCTTCCGGCGTTCCCTACGCAAAGATCGGTGGGCCGCAGTCCTCCAGCCTCCCGCCCCCGCAATTCCTGCACCAGCAAGAAGAAATGCCGCCCCCATCGTTCCTGCACCAGCAAGAACAAAATCCGAATCCCAGACAGCCACAAAACCATCCCCGGGCCTTTGGCTCCGAGATCAGAATGAACAGCTTCTCCCGAAACGAGGCGACATCGCCCCTGCAATCGGACTACCCGCTCCACAGCCGGGAAAATTCCTTCAACCACAGGGGCGTCGATTACAGAGGTGCGAGCGCCGGCGCCGGCGATCGAAACGATCCGTCGAATGCATCCAAACACAAACCCCCCGACACGGAATCACCCCCCACCGAGCCTACCCGCTGGCAAGAATTTACGACCGAGCTCAAGAGCCTTCTGGTGGACCTTATCAAATACGGCAAAGCAAAGACGTGGAAGAAGAAGATACTGACGGCCGTCTTGTTTGTTGTCTCGGTACTGGTCTTTTACGACTTGTTCTTCGGGAAGCAGGACTTCATCGTCACGTGGCTGCACGCCTTTGTGCTATGGATGACGACGCACCAGGCCTCCGCCGTCTTTGCCTTTGTCGGAATTTTTGTCCTGAGCACGCTGGCCTTTGTCCCTCCCACCCTGCTGGTCTTTGGTGCCGGGTACGCCTTTACGGTGGCGATGGACAGCGCCCTGGCGGGCGTGACGGCAGCGGTGCTGTCCAGCTTTCTGGGATCCTGCATCGGTGCCGTCCTTGCCTTCATCCGCAGCCGGTACATGATGCGCGACCTGGTCAAGCTCTTTGCCAACCGGTACCCGCTCGTTCGGGCCATCGACCAGGCCCTCAAGGTACGGCACGGCTTTCGGCTCATGCTGCTGCTCCGGTTCTGCCCCGTCATTCCGTACAACGCCCTCAACTACTGCTGCGGCATTACGGGGGTCACGCTCTACGACTTTACCCTGAGCCTGGTGGGCATCCTGCCCTTCCAGATCTTTACGATCGTCCTGGGTGCCACGGCGGGAACGGTCGAGCTGAAAAACCTCAAAAACGAGTACACGAGGGGCGAGATGGGGGCCTTTGTCGGCTTTCTCGTGATTGGCATTGCCTTTGGCCTCGTCGCCGTCGTCTACGCCTGGCGCCTCGTCAAGTGGGAAATCAAGCGGGAGCTCGGGCTGTCCACCGAGGAATTCGAGTACATGATCCAGCCGCCGCCGGCCGAAGGCCACGACCGGGGCCTCGGCACCGGAAGCAGCGAGCGAAGTGGATCGTCCTCCCCAGGGTCTTACCACCTACAGGACGACGGTGAGGGCTCGTTTCGGGATCCTTCGGCGGGGAGGAGCACTGGCAACGCCAACGCCAGCGCCAGCGCCATCGCTACTTCTGGAACGCCGCCGGCAAGAGGAGTCACTCCACCGGCTCGGGGCACGCCGTTCCAGGAAGAAGGCGAGGAATGGTTTTGGATGTGGGCCTAGCCGCGGCGGGCTTGGATCGAAACGAAACAACACGACCAAAAAAAAAACACAATGTAGAAACTAGCAATACCCGAAACTTATCTCGTGGTATACTAGTATTACAGTTATTGGGTGGCAGACACTTTGGCCATCCGAGAGATCGCCGAGCCACATAGAAAGCAGTCCAAACTTTTTAAAATAGAGAGAAACACCGCAGTATTTCCCGTGTCCATCGCAACCGAATATGCGTATTCTGTATGCTTCTTTTTGTGCTCTCTTCGAGCTTTGTGGCTTTTGTAGGACGCTTTGTCGAATCCCGGCAAGAACAGAGCGTATCCTCGGCAACGCGTGCTGCCGTCCTCCGTTCCGTCGCCCATACCGCCGTCACGGTTCCCGCATCGCGGCCGGTTCCCGGATCCCCACGCTCTTGGTCGGAACCTTCATCCGGTACTGCTGCCGGTTCTCCGTGTGGGGGAGGCCGGGGCAGGGAACCCCGTCGTGGTCCCGGTCGAGCCGGGCCACGTCCCCGTAGTAGGGTTCGTAGGTTTCGTACCACCGCAGGGCCGCCTCGTAGGTGTCAAAGTCCGAGCAGCCCCGGACGTCCCCCGGGTTGCGGGGTTGGCCAAGGGGCTTCCCGCTGTCGTCCCGGATCCGGAGTCTTCCCCCGTCGTCGCCGTAGACGGTTTCGGTGGTGCGCTCGAGGGGCTCGAACTCGGCGACAAAGCCGCCACCGGACGACTCCGAGCCGGGGGCTTCCCCTCCCGGGTCGCACGCCGCAAAGATCCCCAGGCCCCTCGTCCTGGCCTCGTCCTGCAGGGCGAGGAGGGACTCGGCGTCGATCAGCGACCCGGCCGATTCCCGCTGCTGGTTGGCAAAGCCGGGTTTCACCACCGCAAAGCCCGTTTTGACCAGCTCCTCGTTGACGACGAGGGAGTCCTCGGTCCGGACCAGGACGACCTGGGGGATCTTGTTGCTCCCGCTGCCGCTCCCGGCCAGGGTGTGGACCTCCACCGGCGTCGTCTTGGGCAGGAGCTGCCGGACCTTGTAGGACGGGCTGTACCCAAAACAGGCCGGGAGGGAAAAGCCACCCCCGGCCGTGCTTCCCGAGCCCGCGCTGGGCATGCGGACGCCGGCGAGGCGGACCGTCCCCCCCTTTTTCAGCTGGACTGTGTTGGCGTCCAGGATCCGCTCCACCCGGTCGCGGTCCGGTGCCCGCGGTTTCTGTTGTTGTTGTTGCTGCTGCTGCTGCTGCTCTCCGGTGGGGAGGCGGCTCGTGGCTCCGCTGCTGCTCGCGGCCACCAACGTGCTCGAGGTTATGGGCGAGGAGAGTACCAGCCTGGAATGCCGCGAGGGGGCAATGGGCGAGGAAAGGACCAGCTTCTGGGCCGTCTTTCGGGTCTTTTCCGTGGAAGAAGACGGCGATCCGGGGCCGTCCGTGCCGGCAACCGCGGCGAGGCCTTGCTCCTCCTCCGCCAGCAGCGACAGGAGGATCGCCCCGGTCCACCGGGGACGGGGAACGAGGGAATCCCGGAGGTTGCTTCGCAGCGTCGCCGGGGCCGGCACCGAGAGGGGAGGCTGCTCCGGCAGTTGCTGCGGCGGAAGCACCATGCCGTCGGCGCGGGAGGAAAAGAGACCGACCACCAGACAGGCCCACCACCGGTGCCGGGCCACCGGACGAACCATCGGAGTGTTGGTCATGTTTTTGGAGCGAGGGTTTGTTTGTTTGCTTGTTCGTTTGTTCGTTCGATCGATGTCTCTGGCGTTGGCATGGTTTGGTTTCCGATGGATCGGTCGGTGAATGGCAACGACAGAAAACTGCTGCACGGCATTTTGCTTCTGCCGCACGAGAAAACTGTTGGTTAAGACTCGTACTCGCACTCGTACGTGTACGTACGTACCTTACGACTCATTCGGTAAGAGTATGCCGAGTGACTCATTTTCGTCTTCCAAAAAACCGTTCTGATTTTCGATTTTGCGCAACTCCGATCCTCGATGACGACACTCACGGGTCGCCACGATCCGCAGTCTTGTGCACCATGCGTACGTTACAGCAAGAACGGCACGGTACTTGTACCCTATTTGAGCGAGACGTGGATAAGGATGAAGGACCACTCGCTGGGTCCATCGAGACGTGCATTGTTGATCTACAATGGGGTTGGGGATAACCAAACGAATGGTTCCAAGTTTTTCCGCGCTGACCAAAACCGAAAACAGCGACGAACCGAAAAAAAGATCCACAATCGCAACAAGATGGGGAACAGATCCTCCCGTCCTGTTTCGGCAACCAGTACTCCATTCTATATCGTGCATCCTATCAACCACCTGTTCTTTGCGGATTGCTGCACCATGGGCTTGGCGCATTGATTGGATTGCATTGAGTTGCCCAACAGGGTTTGCTTTGGTTTGGTTTGGTTCGGTTCAGTTCAGTTCACACACCATGGAGAAACAGAGACTACCAGTCGACACGGTACCCAGCAGGGAGGCTGCGGAAGCCCTGCTGAACCGGTGCCGGGCCGCCGAGACGGTGGAAGAGCAGAAGGAATCCTTCGAGGAACTGGCACTGTGGCTGGAGCGGGAGACCGAATCATCGGTCGCAAATCCAGAAAGTAGCAGCGACAGAGGCAGCGGTGGACACAAGCAACGAGAAAGGCCGGGCGAGGAGAGTTTCGTGGGACTCCTCGCGGCCCGGGAAACCGTCGCCCGGAGCGTCCTGACAACATGGCCCTACTACGGACCGGCCTCGATCTCGGCCCGCTCCTGCCTCGACCGGGTCCTGGACGCCTGCTCCCTGGTCGTCGTGGTGTCCACCTGCTCCGGCCTGCTCAAGGAAGTGGCCTCGAAAGCACCGGGAAGCGCGGGACGCCACCGCCGCCCCGAAGAAAGCGGGGAACCAGGGACGCTCCCATCGTGGCCGCTGCCCCCGCGGAGCATCGTGGAAGCCTGCTGGGCGACCCTCCGGCGCCTGCTGCTGGCCGCACCGCCGTATCCATTGCTGCCGCAGAAGGTATCGCTGCCCGAGTGCCAGCGCTTTGTGTCCGCGGTTGTCCTGCTCCTCCCGCAGGCCCTGGCCAATGCCTGCCACGCCGTCGGGCTCGGGGTTCCGCTCCACGCAGCACCGGCGCGCTTTTATCCGCGGCTCGTCCGCTGCGCCTGGTCAAATGCGAAACGGTTGGAGGCCACCGCTGCTCTCCCTTGTGCCGGAAGCGGTTCCTTCTGGGAAACCTACGCGAACGTCCTCGCCGCCCAGATGCTCCGGACCCGGCGGAGCGAAGACCTCGCGGAGGCGCTGGTCCAGCAGCTGGCAGACGCTGTAGCTGGTGGCGACGACGACGATGCGCTTTGCCCGTTGCTGCCGGGACTCCGGGGCCTGGAGCCGGGCGAAACGGCGGCGCTGGTTCTGGCACTCCTCCGATGCTCCGGCCTCCCGCCACGCCATTCCACCGCCGGGAAGGGAAAAGCCGACGCCCACCGACGCCTCGCCAAGCGGACCCAAAGGGTCTGCGGCGTGTTGTTCTGGTCCTCTTCGATGGAACACCAGGAAGCGATCCTCGAGCGATTGGTCTTTTCCCACAGGGCGTCCGTTCCCGTCGTTCGACACGGCGGGGAACGCAACGGCAGAGGGGACGTCCTTTCCCGTCAGCCATTGTCCGCGAGAGGGGACCCGCGGAGGTGGAGCCGGCAGGTGGCGGGGGTTCTGGCACCTCCTGCCGCGAGCGGCAGCGATTCCGGTTCCAATCCCTGGGCTGTTTTTTCCGGGCACCTGGCCAGCATCGCGGAGCGCTGGTCCCAGTGGACCTTTGTCCAGGAGGCGGAGGCCAAGCTGCAGCACCACGTCTCGCTCGTGTTGTGGCGGGGACTGGTGCGACTCGAGTCGTCTTTGTCGCCTTTGCAGGGGTCTTTGCAAGAACCCAGCCACCGGCAACTCACCGCGGCTCTGGTCAACGGGGTCTCGCATCGCCTGGCTTCGACGCTGACGGTCCCCCGACAGGACGGAATGCGAATCGCGCAGCAGCTGGCGAGGGGTCTCGGCCAGGACAGMCTGCAATTCGACGAATTTATTGACGACGACGACGACGACAGCAGCAGCAGCAACACCGAAGCCGACGACGGAACAGACGGAGCTTCTTTGATCGACGGCGACGAAACCCCGGATCTTGCCGAACGTGCGCACACAAACCATTCCAAGCAGCGAACCAACGCATGGTTCGATCCTGACGAGGATTACGAGAGCGAGGACGAGGACGAGGAAGAGGAGGACGATTCCGGCGATAGAGACGTCGAAAAGACTGGTACCCAGACCAGAGACAAACCCGACGCGGCTGCGAGTGACGAGAAGGACATTGTTGACGATGTATCGGTAGAATGGGAAGATGAGCTCATTCCCTACGACCTGGAGGACGACGAAGAAGACCTCCGAGAAACCCCGAAGCCCCTGCAGTTGCTAGAAGCGCTGGATCTCTTGCGGACGGGGGACAACCACGACCACGCATCCAGCCGCCACGAGGCAGCCCTCGATGCCCTCCCGGACCTGATTCGGGCCCGGCCGGACAACCTGGACGACGCGGCGGTGTCCCTGGTGCTCCAGCTTCTGAGGATGGAGGACAGGTTCGGCATCGATGGATTCGGCTCGAAGCGGAAGGCAGCGGTGTTGGCACTCCTGGTCGAGGCGCCGGTGCTGGTCGGGCAGGCGCTGGTGGAGCAGTTGTTCGAGGAAGGCGGCCTCGCCGACCGATTGACCATCCTGGAGTGTCTGCAGGCCGCGGCCTTCGAGCTCTCTGGAACCATGAGCCTCGTGGAAGGAGCGGCAAAGAAGGAGGTCGGGCTCCCGGTTCTGAACGCCGCGAGCGGTTCTTTTCCGGATCCCTGCAAACAGGAGGAATCTCTGACAAAGCTCCGCAACGACCAGTCATCCCGAATTCTCTCGAAAACACGTCGGAAGCGTTCGCGTGCCCAGCCAACAGCGGTACGGAATCGATTCTCGAGCATCGCCCCGTTGTGGTTCTATTCCCTGATCGCGGGCTTTGTCAAGCACAAAGAAGACGAAACGCTGTGGAATGGTTCGACTGGATCCATACTCCTAGCGTATTTCCTCCGCTGCCTCTCTGCCATTGTGGAATTTTCGGGGGTTCGGGCCTCGCAGGTCCTGGCCAGTGACCTGCTGGGTCTCGCGTGGGAGTTTCGAACCGCGGACGTTGCGGAAGTGAGGCTTTCCGTCCTGGTGGCTGTGTCGACTTCCATCGCCACGCTATCCGATGAGAAGCTGATCACCCTGCTCTTGGGCAGCAGCGAGGCCGGTCTGTCCAAAACCATGCTGGAAATGTCGCACAACGATCCCGACAACGAGTGCCGGAGCCTCTCGAAAACAATCGCCCTCTCGATCCACGAAGTGCTAAACAACCGGTACTAACGACCCGCTCTAGGATGCCTCAGCAACGAAACTCTAATGTATTCTTTTTATTTGTTATAATGGTACTATCCCTGTGTCGAATTTATGATGCCGTGGCACGACAATCGTAACTCGATCATAGGGTTTGTATTCATTCTCCTCCTTCGTCTATGCCTTCAGCTTTTGCTTCGCTTCCATCTCCGTCATTCGTCTCTTCTTCAACTTCAGTTTCGTCTTTTTGGTCGCTTTGAACAGGATCGTTCTGTTCTTCTTCGCCATTCTTCACTTCTTCATCGCTTTCGTCGCTATCGATTACTGTATATTGGCTCTGTCGTGTTGTCCAGCCAGGTTTGAAGCCGATTGTATCGTCCGGCCCTTTGGCCATCATCGATTGGGCCATAATTGTACCACCACGGTCTTTCTTGACTGTGAGATTGAGTTTTGGACGCTGCCTGTTCTTTCCGGAGCCTACCACCAGCTTGGATGTTAGATAGAGGTCCGAGGTACGGCACAAACCATAGATTTTGCCTTCGTGTAAAATCCCTTCCACCGATGTTTTTTCCTTGAGAAGCGCTACAGAACAGCTCACGACCTCCGCAAGATCAACGTCGTAAACTTCCTGCTTTTCGGTTGCCGCGACGAACCGAGCCGTGCCTTTGTTAGAATTGTCCTCTGTCTTGGTGATTTCGATGTTCTCCAGCGTGCCACGCTGCAAAAGAGCGGTTTCGCGCTTCACGATGCGAATGTCGCGAACGGTCTTCCGTTTTCTTCCCTTGACGAAAGAGACGAGATCGCCGCGCTTGGGATTCGTGGAACCATCCATGGATGAGCTTGCTCCGGCACCGTGGATGGCGATCGATCCATTCGTATAGGAAAGGCGGGACAAAATGGACACCGTGCCGTCGTCTTCCCGGTCGCCGTCGTCGCTACTCAGACCGTCGTCTTCGTCCGCAACCCCATCGACACTTTCGCCGCTCTTTGCTTCGTCGATGCTCACGTCGCCCATCGAGTCGGTGCTGTCGATGGATTTGGATCTCTTTTTTCTCCTTCTTGTGCGTTTTTTCTGAAACATTCCTGTCTTGTCCTCTAGCAGAAGGATGCAGCCGTCTTCCACCATGTCCTGTTTGACGACCGTCGTTTTTGCATCGTCATTTGCCTCGGCCCACCTGCCGGTGGCAACCTTGTCGCCACTGGCCTTAGCAGTCTTCCGTGCCGGTGTGTTCTTTAGTGTGGTATGAGAGGGTTCCATGAGAATGTATCCCATGCAAGCATTCTTCGATGCCGTCGACGGGATCGTCCCCTTGGGCACGCTTTCGACATTGATTGCGGTGCGTTTCGTGCCCTCCATGGCAATATCGAACCTAACCTCGCTGCCCTTGACGAGCTGGTTATCCTTTGAAAGGTGGAAGAACAATATCTCGTTCTTGGTGTTGTTTTCGTCAAGCAACGAGATGAAACCAAAGTTCCGGCGCGGAACGACGTCCTTTACAACTCCCACCCCCGAGGATACGGTTGCCGAAGGTGCCTCGGTTGTTGCTCGCTCCACAATTTTCAGGTTCCTCACGGCGATCTTTCCGGTTCTGCGGTATTGAACTACGTCGCATTCCACAATGTCACCGGGAGAGGGGGGAACATCTTCCCTGAATGCCTCGTCGAGGCTCGATTTTTCGAACCGGAGGTTCTTAAGAGAGCGTTCGATTGGCGATTGCTTGCCCTTTTTCTTTCCCTTCGCCGACTCTTTTGGGGACTTGCTGTTTTGGTTTTCTGCGTCTTCTGATTCCGAGTTGTTTTCTTCACTGCGTTCCACCCGCCGTATGCAAATCCGTCCTGGATGGGGAGCGAGGCCGGGGACCGGGATGTGTGAGCACTCCAGGACTCCGGCCCCTTTCAGCTTTGCCATTTCGGTGACGACGTCGTCGTCGTTCATGCCCAGTGTGTCTCGGAACACTATGGATTTTTTTCCGTTCGGCAAACTCGATTCCTCCAGAAAGGAATCAATCATTTTTGCCACCAGGGGATGTCTCTCTTCCATGCTCATTGGCTTCAGGGCACCACCCTGTTCTTCAGATAGAGGTTCCAGATCCAAGACCCCGATGTACGGCTGCTGCGGATTGACGGACCGGATCGAGCCCTTGCAACCGGTAGCGAGTACTTTTTCGAGCGTGACCTCCGACCTGGGCAAGAGCAGAATGCGCTGGCCGCGGATGTTTTCTCTGGCCTGCTGCTGCTGTCCACCACCGCGGCGACGGCCACGATTAGCGGTGGCCGTGATGTTCCCGTGGGCACAAATGTCGAACCGAACGGCAGTGTCTTCCCGCAACCGGATCGGTTCGTCGATGCCCATGGCTCTGCGAACGTCTTCCTGGAGTTCATCCGGCAGCAGGTCATAGGTTTTAAAGTGGACGTCCACCGGCCGCTCGGCAAAGTGGATGAATCCGTAATCGTTCTTCATGGTGTGGACCACCCCCTCGGCCCTTCCGACCATCGACAGATCGACCAAGCGGATGGCGGGGGTTGCCGCTGCACCTTCCGCGTCGTCTTCCTCGGCGTTGCTCGGGGCGAGGATCGATCCGCCCAGCCCGATTCTGTGTTTCGTTGGCACGGCTCGATAGCTCCCGTCCACGACCTCTTTCACGACGTCGAACAGCAGTGTGTCGCCCTCTTGGATCCACAGACCGGCCGCGGTGCTGTTGCGGTGGTTCTGGTACGTAAAGACCCCACCGGGAACATCGGAATGGTGCAGAAGCACGTCTCCCGCGAGGCCTTCCACGCGGCAAAAACCCATCCGGCTGTCGTCTCCTTTGGACCCCGGGCTTGGGGGTTGCGGGGCCCGGGCCACCACCCCCTTCACTCCCTCTTGTTCCAGTGTTTGAAAGACGACGCTACCCTTGGGCAGGCAGTGGATTTGTCGGGCGCTGATCTTGACGCTGTTGTTGTCTCTCGACGATTTGGAGCCGCTGTTTTGTCGCTCTTGTTGCTCCTCCGTAACGACCAGAAACCTGACTTCCTGGCCCTTGACGAGTTCGAATTCATCGTTTTCCCCGCCTTCCTCTACCTCGGGTATCACCAGGTGGGAATAGTGAAAGTAGACGTCTTCTCGGCGCTTGTTGCTCCGGAGGAAACCAAATCCGTTGTTGAGCGACACGACGATCCCCTCTTCCTTGGTGGCCTTCTCCAGCAGGAGCTTTTCCTTCTGGAGGCGCTTGCGTTCCCGGGCGCTCTGCAGCAAGGTGATCTGCCGCGCGTATTTTTGCTTGGTCCTCTTGTCCAAAAAGACGCGAAAGGCCACCATATCGCCCCGGTACAGGCGATTGCTTCCACCGCCGCCCCCGCTTTCGCCGGCACCGGTGTACTCCCCGGTCCTCAACCGGACCACCGGACCGCTCTTGCCGTTCGGTTTCTGCTTTTGTTTCTTCTTGTTCTTTTTCTTTTTTCCTTCGACGTCTCCGTCCTCGTTGTTGTTTTCGTTCAGCTCGGTGGCTCCCTCGCTAGTCTCCCCGGCCTCGGCCTCGGCCTCGCCGTCGACCTCGTTCGTGCCGGCTTTCTCGGCGTCTTCCTCCCCGACCACCAGGCGTATCGTCCCGTCCGCCTGCGGGCCACCACCCGTGCTTCCCCCGCCCCTGCCGGACGAAAACCCGCAGGGCTTTTCGACCAGGCCCTCGTAAAAGCGGCCCTCGTGTTCCTCCGTTTCCCAGACCACCGTTCCCGGGGGCAGGGTCGCTACCGAAAAGGCGGCGTGCTTCTGCCGGTCGCTGCTTCCGCCGCCGCTCGGTGCCCCCACCTTGAACTCCACCTCGGTATCGATCCGCAGGTCGTCGGGGTGGCAGTTGGTCACCTCGCTGTAGTGGAAAAATATCTCCTCGGGACGCTCGGCACAGTGGATAAACCCGAAGGATTCCTTCAGGCTGCAGATGATTCCCTGCTCGAAGGGCAGGCTGTTCAGGTTGCCGGGCTGGCGACTGTTGCGGCGGCCTCCGCCGCTGCCGTTGCGGCGCGGATGATTGCCTCCCATTCCCCGGAAGGACTGGGAGGATGGCACGGAATCGTTGCGGTTGTAGATATCGGGCAAAGGCATCTTCGTCGGTTGTATCCGAGGTTCTTTGTGCGTTGTGTTTGATGGATCTTGCAAAGGGGTTTGGATCAGACCAAGAAATTGTCGTTTTCTGGTTCTTTCGCTGAACGGTTTTGCGCAGTCGTGAACAAATAAGCTAATAGCTACGGAACAATTGCGGCTGAAATTCAGAGCGATTGACTGGACACCAGATTGATTCGATCCGAGGCGTCGCTTGGTTGGTCTTTGGCTTGACTCGATTAATGTACCGTACAGGGAGGAATACCTCGGAATGCGGTGTTCTCTTTCTTTCTTCCTAGCACGAAACCAAAGTGAGACAGTGCTGTATTATCTAGGAAGGACAAGCTGCTATCCCTGGACGTCCGATAGGATTAGGGCAGAAAAAGGTCGATTTGGTTTTGAAACGGATCTCGAGGAGAGCTTGTGGGGGCATTGGGCCCGGGACGGTTTGTGTGGGCGATGGAAGGAGAACAGGTCCCGTATCGTACCGTATGGTTCCTCCGATAATTATTGAATCCTTACGAGTACGAGTACGAAAATGTACTCTTACTGGTACATGTACTTGTACATACTAGTAGTAGAAATAGCACTCGTCTTCGTCTGGTATCGTGGGTGGGGGTTTGGATCGGAGTGGCATGGACGATCGTGTGACTGCACCGATGATTGATCATGGACTTTCCTTCACTTCGTCCCTTTCGCTATTTTCATGGAAAACCTACGGTAAGGGTAAGTACCGGTACATACAGTACCGTTCACTTGTAGGACTTGCGTCGCACGCGCGTAACATGCGCGCGAAAAAACTCGAAACTCAACTGCTTCTACGTACGTACGAGTACTCGTAACGGTACGCAAATCGAAAATTTGGTTTCCGAAAAACTTCTCGGAGAGTGGGTGGGAGTGCTTTGTTAGGTTATGGGCCTCATTTTATCGGCGGACCCTCTGTTTGATTTTCTGGGCCTCCAGCCTCCACTTGATAGAAAAGTACGTACGTGCTTGATGTAGATATCATACGTACATACCGTAGCAACTTTTCGTTTGTTGTTTTTGCTTGGCCATCAAAAATCGAACCCTAATACTGTACTAGCTCTGTCATGCTACCAAAACACTATTGGCAATCCCGAAAACACTAGTTGAGAAAATGGTATTAGAATACCGCCAGAAATACTTCTATTCGTAAGATTATTACTGTAGACAAAAAGTTCTTCACGAAAAGATCGATTCAATAAACTGTGACATGCCACGAAATACTACTACGAAGTGCACGCAAAATAGGGTCTCGTTTGACACAACAAGGAATGCATGGCCCGAATATTGATGGAATCCATTCGTCTATCCCTGCCAGAAGAGGTGCCGTTTACACGGTCATTTCCTGCTTCTCCCCGTTTTCTTCACTAATCTCCCAGGTCTTTACGATGTTCCCGTCCACCTTGAATTGCCCGAATATTGATGGAATCCATTTGTCTATCCTTGCCAGAAGAGGTGCCGTTTACACGGTCATTTCCTGCTTCTCCCCGTTTTCCTCACTGATCTCCCAGGTCTTTACGATGTTCCCGTCCACCTTGACGTTCCACACATGGCCCTGGTACGTGTTGACTTTGAGAACCGGGTCACCCTTTCCGAGCTTGCCCCAGAACTGGTCCCGGTAGAAGAGTTCTGCACGGTCCATCCTTGGGTCCGTCCCGGAATTGGAGAAGACGCCGGTGATTTTGAGGTTTTTGGCGGCCACCGAAGCCCCGTTGTTCCGAAACTTTTTCTTGATGGGGGATCCGGCAAAGCCGTCCCGGGGGGTGTTCCAGACCCACAGGTTTGCGGCGTACTTTTGGTCGTTCAGCACCGGACACGCACCGTGCAGCGAGTTCTTGTCCACGGATCCGTTGGGATGCTGGCTGTAGAACAGGACCGCACGGGAGGAATGGGGGCGGACCGACAGTTTCGACCGGCACACCGCCACCAGGCTTTCTTCCCAGGAACCGGGCTCCAGCACGCTCCCCTGGTCGGATGCCCTCAGCTGTTCCAGAGCCTGGTGGGCGTGCGATTTGTTTTGTTTTGTTTCGTGAAGCGCAGCACGGCACAGCACAGCACAGCCAAATTGCATTTCGCAACGTGAGTTGTATTCGTCGTGCAACACAGTGAAAGCGTTTTCAAATATTGTATACGCAACATCCCCATCGCCAACGATGCGGTACGTACCTCTTCTTTCGTGATGCGTTCTTCTTCGGGGATGTGCGATCGAATCCCGTGTGGAAATACCGTCTCGCCACCGTCGTTCTCTCCAAGATCAGACATGTACAACAGGATTGTTGCAAATCTATTCCCACCGGTTCCAGCAGAGTCGTAATCGTGCTTGAGTTCTCCGGTCTGGTGTGTTGTTTGTTATATAATTTTTGCCACGATATCAAGAGGAAGAAAAGAGGTACAAGTAAGTTGTTGAATGTATGGGTTGACCAATGCGGTGTATTCGAAGCGATAAAAAAAAGGGGTTTTGTTCTTTTATCGTTCCCAACCTTGATCTTGGTAATGACTTGGCTTACCCTGTCTTCGATATAATCCAAGTGAGAATTGTATGCTTTCGACACGTTGTACCGCAAGATCTGCAAGCCATCGCTGAAGCCATCCTCGTATTCGTCAAAGCCTAGTGCCGAAAAGCAGCGCCTGTGTAGGGAAGAGACAGAAAGCAAAAGATACCAGAATTTTGGTTTAGCACATCGAGGGTTGCTCAAACGGACCACCATGCACTCGTCTTTTCTGCTCCGTTCTATGCACCGGAGTTCCACAAATGCAGCAGAGCAGAGCAGAGCACAACAAAAGACAACACAACAGAGCGCAAGCCAGAACGCACCGTTTGATCGTGAGCGCTGTTTTCCCGTGCGTGTCGAATCCGCTCTCGGAGGTCCGCTTCGAGTTGAGCGATGCGGCGCCGGCCCCCGTGGTGCTCCTCTTGATCCGGTGCGACGCCGACGTCTCGGCAATGGCCCGGTCCACGAGCTCCTTGCTTTCGGCGCGGCTGAAAAAGTTGAAGACGTCAAAGACCCGGGGTTTGAGCGAAAGGACCTCCAGATAGATCGCCTTGCTGCTGGCCCCGGTCACGTGCGGCAGGTGGAAGATCTCCCCCACGTGGCTGGGGGCAAACATAAAGACGCGTCCCGCGGGAACGGCGTAGAGGTGGGCTTCGCGCGGGGTAGCGGTGCAGGTCTGCGTGGCGTTGTCGCCCTCGCACTTGTTCTCGCCGGAAGAGGCGGCCCGGACCAAATCGGAGAACCACTTGGCCTGCGTCACGCGGAGGCCCTCCCGGGTGTGGAAGTGGCAGGGCAGCGACGTAGACCCGTCCTTTGAACCCAGCGGAACCAGCTTGTCGTGGTCCAAGAGGATCGGAGTGTGGTCCTCCCCCGAGTCACAGTAGCCGAGCAGCCCCTTGGTTTGGTCGCCGTAGGTTTCCATGGAGTGGCAGGCGTTGTTCTTCGCCATGATTCTGTGGAGGGTCGCGGTCAGCATTGCCTCGAATCGATACTTGTCGAGTTGGGGTTTGCATCCGTAGGCCCTGAAGTTTTTCAAGAGTTCCTCCAGGAACTCGCCCACCGTCGACTCTCCGCAGGCTTCGGGTTCTCCGTTCCGGTGCAGCATGAGCGGGAGCGACCTGGCTTTGGCATCGGCAGCCATGGGCAAGAGGGACCGAAACCGATGGTCGCAGGACTCGGATTGCGGTGTCGCGGTGGGGGGAGCGGATGCCAGGGTTTCCTTCTCGGAAGATTCAGCCGTCGCTTCGAGGTTCCTTCCGGTGCTTGGAGAAACTTTGTACACCGCCATGCCGTACGTCAGAAGGAGGAGAACCACGGCTTTCATCACAACGGTTAGGTATCCCGCTCCCTTTGGAGGTTGGTTTGTGTCATCCGGAGGGGCCACCGCCGGTTTCGGCGGTTGGCTCGTTCTTCCAACGCTGTCTTTTTTCGCCTTCTTTTTTGCCATTGGACTATATCCGTAAGATGCTTGTTATTCGAATTATTGATGAGTGTTCCTGATGTGCATCAGTCAAGAGTTGAGACAAGATCAGAGTGCATTTCGTATTGAAGCCTTTTCATTCCTACCGGTACAGGGAGCGGCAAAGACATTTTGGAAGAATAGGTGCGCAAAGTACCGTAGTCCGGCTACGCAAACTGTTTTTTTAACGGTCAACACTAATACCAACAGTGGTATTTAATATTTAACAGGGGTCATTATCATTGTTATTATGTTACATATGTATGATATGTAATACCCACAGATGTACGACAACGAGACACAAGACGCGCGACCCACCAGTTTCTTTCTTTTCTTCCTTTCTCTTCCTTTTCTCACTGCTGGCAGGTTTTGTTTCACGAACGGAAGCACGGCAAGTAGTACAAGTTGTACATCGAATACCGAAGTGGATCACAAGTTTTCTTAGACTCCACTCTCATTCCATTCGATTCCAATCCAGTCCATTATGATTGTCTCGAGAAAAGCCACTGCTTCCTCATCGGTGCGAGGAATCGCGGCCACCGTCCGGAGGCGCGCCAACGGCAGCGGAGGACACCAACACCATCGGCAGCAGCAGCAGCAGCTACGGAGCACCCTGGCGGGAACCAACCTCCCGGTAGGGTTCCGCCGCGACGGCGACGAGCGCAGCGAGGTCGCACCGGCCCGGTTCCACAGGCCCCTGGCCACCACGGAGTGTGCCCGTGGCTTTCACACCACCGCTCCCTCGGAGCGCGGCCCGGCCCTGGTTCTGGGCCTCGCCACCGTATCGGCCCTCGGCTTTGCCGGTTCGTCGGCAATCAAGTCGTACAACGAGTGGAAGGACTCCCAGCCGACCAAGGAAGAACTGGAGGAAATGCGCAAGCAAGAAGAGAAGGAGCAGGCCACCATGAAGGCCCAGCAAGCCAAAGAGGAGGAGCGAAAAAAGAAGGAGCAGAAGGCGAGCGCCGACGACGACGCCGACAAGCCCCGGACCAATATTTTCCGCGAGTGGTTCGACGTCGGAACGAAATACTACGAGGGGGGCTTCGAGGACACAATGACGAGGCGGGAGGCGGCCCTGGTGCTGGGGGTCCGGGAATCTTCGTCCCCGGCACGCATCAAGGCGGCCCACCGGAAGCTTCTCATCCTGAACCACCCCGACACGGGGGGATCGACCTATCTGGCGGGGAAGGTGAACGAGGCGAAGGAGCTGCTGCTGAAGGGACGATCGGCCAAGAACAACTAAAGGAATGGATCGGCAAGCATCGATCTGTCTTTGGTTGCGTGGGACAACGACAATAACAGTGACAGCGGCATTAGCCAGAGCGAGATGCCCGATCATGTAATTTTCAATGACAAACAAACTACGACGACAAATTGCACTTTTCCACTCTCGAACGCTCTATGAAAGTACGAGTACCTTAACTTTTCCATCTATCAATAGAAGCAAAATCTCTGTGACTGCAGTTAAAATTTTCAGTATTTTAATAAGCGCGCGTAGTGTACAGCAATTCGAAATAGAATATTAACCCCGTTTTCCTCGATCACAGAACGCAACCCTTTATGGATCTATCACTATTATTGCTTGTCCACGAAACATTGGTTTGGTTCGAGGACCTCCGACAGAAACGAGCACGATCGTTGTGCTAGTGATTAGCTCGAACAAGAAGACGACAACGGCGAGCGAAAGAGAAGCGAGGAGGACTGCAGGATCGACAAAACCGTCAAGACCCCCGCCACCGAGACCGCGTTCTCGTTCAGCCATCCCGGAAGCGCCGAGCCGCCACCGCCACCTTGCTTCGCCCCGAGGTTGTCCGCCATTGCCGCGGTCGATCCGAAATCGTCCGCCAGGTAGGAAAGGCACACCCCGAACACGACTACCACCACCGTGATTTTGGTGGCGTCGGCGATCCATCCGCCGCCCCGTTGTTGTTGTTKTTGCTGCTGCTGGCGCTTGTTCTGGTTCAGCCGCGAGAGCAACAGGAGGGTCCCTGCGTTCGTGGACGGCCCCGTCACGACGAGGGCCACCGCGGTTCCGACCGAGAACCCAACGCCCCGGAGGGCGTCCGCCAGCGAGACGATCCCGTGTTCGCAAATGGTCAGGGGGACCGTCAGCAGGAAGAGGCCGGTCCGGACCACCACCGATTGAACCAGCGAGCCGGGGCTCCCGTCGCTGGGCACCGGGGCGAACGACGACGCGGGGGCCCAGACGGACGCCGACGCCGATACCACCACGCCCAGGACCACCCACACCGAGACGGACGCAAAGAGTTCCACGGCGGTGTGCGCAAACATGGCGAGCGACGCCGCGCCGGTGACGGGAGAGCTTGCCTCCGAATTCGTGTTCGGTTCCTCTCCACATCCGCCGCTGGCCTTGTTGCTGTTGCAGCAAGTCCCACCATCGTTGCTGCTTGCTTTGCTTTGGTTCTTGGAATCGCTGGTCGGCTGTTTGTCGCCCGCCTTGTTGTTTCCTTCGCTGCTGGAAACCGCGAGCGTCATTCCCACCAAAAACGCCAGCATCCCCGCAGACGCCAAACGGAAAAGGGCCACCCTGGCACCAAACACGCCGTAGGTGAAAAACAAGGAATCCACGCCCGCTGCCTGTGCAGCCGTCACAAAGGCAGCGATCGAGGACGGGGAAACCCCCTCTTGGCTCAGTGCCAGAGCGAGGGGGAGGGCTCCGCAGGAGCAGAAGGGAACCAGCAAGCCAAAGACGGACCCCCGAACCGAATCCAGCACCGCGTTGCTGTTGCTGTTGCTGCCGCTCCCGAGGCACGAGCGAAGCAGGGAGGACGGAACCAGCGGCTTCATCACCGTGGTGAGCAGGGCAGCGGCCGCCACACCCACCACCAGCCACGGCGCCGCTCCCGCCAGCCCGATGCGGACCTCGTGGAGCAGCCGGTACCAGGCCGGGAGGTCGGACATTTTCACCTTGGGGGCCTCCCAGGGACCGTCGTCTTCGTCGTCCCACACCGCTGGTTTCACGGCAAAGGGATCGGGAACCAGGGCCCTCCGGGCGGCCTCGGCCTTGCAGCACGCGTCGCCGGCATCGACGACCGAGAGCAGCGCCAGGCACATGGCAATCGTCCAGAACATGCTAGCGGCGGCGGTGGTTGCGAGAATCGCTCGGGATTTGTGACGTGCCATTTTTACGGTTCTAATTTATTGCCGAGCATCGAGTTTCTTGTTCCAAGCGTTTCGGATTCTTTGCACTTTGTGGAATTGAATAGAACAATAGAACAATTTGGTTCCACTTGTTGGTTGATGCTGTACTGTACTTCACAATGTCAACATCACTGTTGAAAGAAGAGCAGTTACAGTTGCTTCGTTGAATTTCGAAGAATGCGATCGGGAAAGATCAAGTGAAGAGACACAATCCGATACCAAAAGGAAGCTGTACCAGTACGTACCATCTACCCTACTCGTACCGTTAGTACGAGTTACTTTTGGTCTGTCCTTTTTCCTAGCAGTACGGTAACAGTAAAAATAAAATAACCGTCACGATCTTTTTTTTCAGGAACAATTTTGGTGCGGCTTCTGTTCTTTCACTGGATGCATTTTCTATTTTCTCAACAACCAGTCTGTATCTGTAGACGCTATTGGAATGTACGATGCAATATGATATAGAAGTACTTTTCATGCTTTTCCACAATAAGATACGCATCGAGCAATACAAGCAACGGATCTCTGTCTACGACTAAGATCAAACAAAGACGCTGCGCTCGGAACCCAGTGTCCCAGAGAACGATGGCGTGGTCGCTGCCTACCGAAACCCGGTACGGGGTCGCACTCTTGCTCTGCATTGCAAACGCCATCTGCTACGCCGATCGCACCAACATCGGGATCGCAGCACCCCTCTTCCTTCCCGACCCGGCAGATCGGGGGATCGTACTGTCCGCCTTCTTTTACGGCTACATTCTGACGCAAATCCCCGCCGGTCACCTGGCCTCCCGCATCGGGGTCAAGTCCGTGCTCGGGGTCGGCGTGGTCGTCTTCACCGTCTTTGATTGCTCGACGATCTTCGCGTCGCGGTCGATCGGGCTCCTGGTGGTCGTGCGGGCCTGCATGGGGTGCGGGGAGGGCGTCGTTATGCCGAGCCTGCACCGGTTCGCCGCCGCCTGGTTTCCGTCCCAGGAGCGGAGCACCCTCGTCGCCGTCATCTCGAGCGGAACGGACCTCGGGACGATTTTTGCCCTCCTTTTCTCGCCGTGGATCATTCGCGTCACGGGTGGGAACTGGCGGGTGGTCTTTGTCTTCTTTGGAGCCCTGAGCGCTCTGTGGCTCTTCCCATACGTCCGCTACGTCACGAGCATGCCGGAAGACCACGACCGCATTTCTGCCGAAGAACAAGCCTTGATCACGTCGACGCGCCGCTCGAACCACAGCGGACCGCGGCGGGGGGGCACAAACCCGGTTCTGTGGCGGACGCTGTTGACCAACAGGTCGCTGTGGGTGATTTATGCCGCCCATTTTGCGTTCAATTACAGCTGGTACGTCCTGCTCGGATGGCTCCCCACGTACATCCACGATCACCTGGGACTGGATCTGAGCCAGCACCCCCTCGCGGCCGCGTTGCCGTACATATGCGGATACGTAGGGTTGCTCGTGTGGGGACGCGTTTCCGACCGCCTCTTGGCCCGGGGCATCCGGATCGTGCACGTCCGCAGGGGCATGAACTCGATCGGCAGCTTCGTCCCCGCGCTGTGTCTCTATTTGCTCCGGTACGCCCAAAAACCAGGGGTGGCAATAGGGCTGTTGTCCTGTGCCCTCTTCACCGGCCGGGCCTGTACGCTGGGCTTTTGGGTCAACATGATCGACGTCGGGCCGGATTACGCGGGAGAAATCATGGGCTTGTCCAACACGATCGGGACGATCCCCGGCATTGCAGGGAATTTGATTACGGGGTACATTCTGAAGCACACCCAGAGCTGGACGATCGTCTTCAGTGTTGCTGCACTCACGTCGGTGAGTGGTGGCATCGTTTTTGCATTCGGATCGACGGACCGCAATGTTTTCGAGGACCCTTCTTCGTCGGATGGAATCGTGCTTTCTCTCGATGAGTTCCATCCAAGCCAAGACCGGACCAGGTGAGATCGATCTGTATACAATAGACGATAAGCTGTGAAGCATAATTATGAGCCAAGACATTGACGTGGACGAGTGTACTTGAGGAAGGACACCATCGTTATACATGTATGATCAGTCATGGGCTTACGGGAAGAGCAAGACTGTTCTATGTCACGCCCACCGCAGTCGATTGAACTTGTTTCAACGTTCCAAAATGGTTCAGATTAGCTCGATTCTATTCCATTATCGGTGCCGCGTATGGCCTAATAGGATCAGATTGGATCGAATCTGATCTGCAATCGTTGCCACTCATGGGCGTGATCATTACGATGTATACGAAGTCTGAACAATACTTGAAGTATTTTCAACCGGATTCTGATGCTAGTCTCGCCATTTTAATCACTTTAGGACACGGGGGTCTTAGGGTTCCCTTGGTTTTGAGTGAAAGACGACGTGACTTTCAACCATTGCGTGGGAATGCCTAAGGCAACACTTGGTACTTTACGGTGATGGGCCAAACGAGAAAGAAAAAACTTGAAACGTTCCTTCTCTATCGTGTTGGGTAGAACTAGGACCCATTACACGGTGAGGTAAGAAGCTATCTTCGACGTTGATATGAATAGTGTTGAAAATTCCATCAACATCACGCAAGGAATAAACGGAATCTCACCACGCACTGTACTGATAATATGAAGATCGAATGAAATGATTTCTTCACGTGCGATTTATGGTTGCTATGCTTGTGAGATGGAAGTCTTCAGTTTTTAATTGGTTGGGACGAGCTTTTGGCACCTACAGTGGTACTGCACTAGAATAATTTAGGATTGTAATATGCAATCTGCTAGTCTGTTTGTTGCGACATTTTCTTTCAAAGACTGACGCTGTGTGAACATAAATCAACACGGACGATTGCCTTATCTCCTTCGGGGTTTCCCCGCTTCGGGAATTTTAATTTTAACTCTGATGACCGCAATGATTTTAAGTTTTGTTATACCCCGTCTGCGTACGTACCGTACGGTAGATCCGATTCTTAGAAGGGGCTGAATAGTACAGGACGATAGGTGCAGTGGGGGTACCTAGAAAAAAATCCCGTTTGAAAACCGAGAATGGCCATACGAGTACGTATTACTCGTAGTAGTCATCGCAGAAATGATAGCGGTCATCGGAGCCAAATCGATCAGACGTCTGATCAAATGTCCCCTTATCGAGTTCTCATGATAAAATCAGAACAATTACTAGAAGTATGCTTTTATGTGTTAGTAGGTACGAACGTAGTAGAACTGTCCCAACAACAGAAATACCGGTACGAAGTACAGGACAGTACTCTTATTTTAAAATGTGACCAAGGACATAGTCAGGCGTTTACTATTTTTAGTTCACATATGCCTTCCATTCTTCTATTAAGTACTGAAATACCACTTGAAGAGTCAGAAAAAAACGCGCTTCTCAAATTTATGAATGAATCTCATTGAATCTCAATCATTTTTTTAGAGTTTAGTAACCAAGAAACCTCGTAGGAGAACTCGTACGATGTGCTGGTGCTGGTGCGACTTCGGTTTTTATCGAGACCCTCAGCCAGTAACTAAAAATACGATGAAATATTACTGAGTTATTGGTCTCAAGCCTAAAATTGACACAAGGGTTCTTTGCGTCACCATTTGACAAAAACGAGATTCAATACTAGATGCTCGAATTGCGCTATTAAATATTGAATGAGGAGTACAGATCTGCAGGCGGTCTCATATCATCAAAGCTTTCACGTCAGGAATTAATACCGGCACCACCAAAGTCAAATTTCAACGGAGGGGAAAATTGGCACACACCTTTATTCTATTTAAGAAGAAACAATGGGTTGTCAACAATCGATTCCGGTTGATCTTGGTTCATCTATTGATGTTACTAAGCCTGTACTGGGCAATGAATCACGACAAACTTGCATCGAGCAGAAACCCACAGGAGGGAAGACGGCAATTGCATCTCCTGGAGCCTCTACAGCATCATTGCGAACAGCACGGACGACAACTTCGTCGTCAACCGCGAGTTTAGCTCTCGACGAGGTTTCGTACGTTCTTCCCAAGTTGGACTACAATGGCCATCTGTTGATGGAGGAGATCGTGAGACGAACCTCGTCGAGTTTATATTGCTCATCTTTGACGATTGGAGAGGAATCAGAAAGTTTCGAACTTCAGGTGAGCACAGCCTAGAATGGCCATCTATATCAGTGCTGTGGTTTCGCTTGTTTGTAATTCGCAGTAAAAAGAAAGTCGTACGCTGATAATTTCCGTCCACCCAAAAATGTGTTGCTCTTTCAATATCTTTTAGTACGCATACAGAAGCCAGCGAGGATATAATCCACGAGGTGAGTCCACAATAAGAATTCTACCAAACATTTGCAACAAAAAACATCATAACACTCAAGTTGTCGCCATGTATTCCATTCTTAAAATATTTCATTGTTGAACGATGGCGAATGTTTTTCAGAACCTCTCAAGTCAAACCAAGAGAAGTATGGTACGTTTTAATGAGCACTTTCGCTTGCAGCGTTTTGAATAGCGTTTGGTTGGAAACTAGAGAATTGCCGATTCACTAACTTCTGTCTTTTTTCCTTCATGGATCGAATAAATTCATTGTTTAGGTATAACATTGAATTTTGCGAGCGAAGGGAGGGGTGCGATGATGGGAGTCTTCTCTGGTCACGGTGAGGAAGGATCGCGTTGTGCGAATTTCAGTCAGAGAGTATTGCCTCAACAGCTAGCCAAGTTCGTCCGCCAAAAACGCGTCCAGGCATACAAGAAATCGCTGAAGTCTGCTGGCAAGACGAATCAGGGAGCATGGAATCCCAAAATGTGGCCTCTGCTTTCCGCACTCGAATACAAGCAGTGTTGCGAACGTGCCTTCCGTGAGACAAACAAGATGTTGCATGAAGATAAGAATGTAAGTTTAGAGCACAACAGGAGGATTTATTCAGGTTTTTCCGTCGTTATTTCAGCATAGCACTCACCCCACCTATTTACATGTAAAGATTGATGACCGTTTTAGTGGGACATCTTTGGCAAGCGTTTGCTTCCACGGAAAACACATGTATGTGTGCAACGTTGGTGCCTGCAATGTCATCTTGGGGCGTCGCTGTTCGGATAATTCCACTCGGTCGTACAAAAACTGTTCCGACTACAACGGGGAAGAAGAGAAGTGCGAAATCGAAGAATATGCGTGCCATTCGGACAAAGCCGAAGAAATTCCGTGCCGTTCGGTGGGTGAACGACTCGCCGTCCCCCTGACCACCAATCATACAGTTTGTTCTCTGGAAGAACAAGAACGAATAAAACTCTTCGGTGCCGAGGTGAAAGAAGTAAATCAGACCGAAGAAGATACCTCTTCGATATTTGACACGCAAGAAGGAGGCGGTTCGGGTCGCAAATCGCTTCGTGCTTTCTTGCCTGGGAAGGCGTATCCCAGCAGTAGGCTCACCAGATCCATTGGTGACTCTGCACTAGAAGAAATCGGAATCGTTTCCGACCCCGATACGATATCGTGCAATCTAGCCGAAACCGACGACGTCGTGGTCATTGCCTCGAATGCTGTGTTTGAGTTCCTTTCCAACCAGGAAGTCATCGACCTTTGTACCGCTTCGTGCGACCCCCTGCAGGCAAGTGAAGCCGTGACAAGAGCTGCCTACAAAAAGTGGATCGAGAAGAAAAACCGCTGTGACGATATTACCGTAATTGTTTGCTTTCTCTCCAAGAACGCAACGAAGAACTCCGCAAGATCAGAAGTCGTGAATGTTTCAACGGAGATGGATGTGCCGGCAATGGCTGATTTTGACGAAGAAGATGATGTATAACTCTTGTACACTACCTAAACTTGTAAAACCATTATCTGCACGCAAACAATTACATCGTACCACTTGTGGTAACTAATTTATGTGAAGCTATTCGGTCTTCGTGTATGCTGTTTTATTTATTCCGAACTATTATTTCGTTACATCAATTCCTCCAGGTTGATCTCTACCACCGAACAAGGGTATTGGATATCGAAGTTCTTCAAGACCAATGGATGCAAGATGCCAAAGGTTCCGACACGGATCTTTTCCGAGCAGTTTGGCTTCGTCAACAAGATTTGCGCGGCACGACCCGGGAAATACATCTTGGCTTCGTGGGCGTCGCCGTCGTAGTCCAGGGGAGCAATGGTGTAGAACCATCCCTCCCGGCTGATCCGGTACATTTCTTCGTCGGCTCCTCCCGTGGCGGAGGACTTCTTCCCGGAGGTGGCAACGTAGGAAGCCTCGGGCGCCACCTCGATCAGGGTCATCACCCTGTCGACCAGTCCGTGGATGATCTCGAATCCCGACGTCGGACCGGCGTAGGCAGCGGCCAGCTTTCGGACGTTTCGCGCCCCGACGATCGTGTCCGTGACGACGTTTTCCCGGTCCACGAGCACGGCGTCGCTGATCTCGAAGAGCTTGAAGCCGTTCGCAAAGGAGGCCGATTTGTTGTGTTGAAAGGTCTTGAGCAATCCCGGCAGCAAGGTCGTGCGGCAGACCTCGTATTCGATGTTGGCGGGATTCGACAGCGATACGGCCCAGTCCTCCCGCACCGGGCACCGCAGGGCGGTGAAGTTGTCGTGAATGCTGCACAAGCCGTGGGTCAGGACCTCCGTGTATCCCGCCCGGCCAATTTCCTCGCGCAGCAGGTCGCCGACCTGGTTGAGCGGCTCGGCCCCGCCGACCGTGTTGGTCTTGGGGACCCGCTTGACGATGTTGTTGTAACCGTATGCAATGGCAATGTCCTCGGCAATGTCAACAGCGTGGAGAATGTCCGATCTCGTGGGCGGGACGGTAACCTCGAGGAGGGTGTCGTTTTCCAGCAGGTTTGCGGGTCCGAGCTGGACCTTGTTGCAAAGGGTCTGGATCTCTGCCGCGCTGAGATTGACGCCGATCAGCGAGTTGCAAAAGTCGATCTTGGCCTGCTCCCGTCGCACCGATAGCTTGGGCGTGAGGTAGGAGTCCACGACGCTCCCGGAATCGTCGTGGTACTCGACCTGGACGGGGACCACGGTAAACGGTGCGGCGCAGTACTCGCTGAACATTGTGAGGACCGTGTCCAGGACAATGTTCGCCTTGGTCAGATCGGTAGCAGTACATTCAATGAAAACATTTTTCGTGTCCAGCGTGATCTTCGAGTGGTCTCCGTTGATAATGGGAGGAAGGGACAGAACACGGTCCTGGGCATCGACAATGACTGGATACAACGGGGAGTCCTTGATGATGGGCACGTAGGGTTTCAGGTGCTTGGCGGAAACCTCGGTCTCGTAATAATTCATGAGATCACCACCCTTAAAGGATCCCTTATCGCTGGGGGTGAGGGGAACAAAGTCGATGTCGGCGGGTGGCCGGGCGTCGTAGACAAAGGGGCCTTCCACGGAATCCAGGTCGTGCGTTCCGATGGCCACGAGGGTTCGCTGGCGGCAAAGGTTGCGGTGGAGCTGGTCCTGCAGGTCGATGAAGGAATCGTATCGTTCCTGTGTGAAGGTAATGTCCTTCAGAATCGCGGCCACTACGAACGGACGGATGGTATCGGTGTTGGACTTCTTGACGGTCAGCGTCGCCCCCGGTGTTTCGGGGTCTACGATCGTGTACTCGGGGGCTTCCTGGTCTCCCAAAAAGATGCGCAGTCCTCGGCACAATCCCTCGACGCACAGCAAATCGTATCGGTTGGCGGGAACATCGATCTTATAAATAACCCTGTCGGAAAAGGCAGCGAGCTCCTTCTTGCTCATTTTTCCGGCGCTGGATTTCTCTGCTTCTTCTCGTTCCGACGTGATCTCGTCGAGCTCGACCCCGAATTCGAAGCAAAGCTCGTCGAACTCATCGTCCGTGTAGGTTCGACCCAGATGGGCAAAGAACTGGTCTTTGTCTAGAGCTACGGTAGGCATCTTGGTATTGTTGTTTTACTTTGCTACGGATGGCGCTATTGTCTCATGGGTCTCCGGAGAGGAGGGTTCAAAATGCACTACGGTGAAGGCTTAGATTCGGATGGTAGAAGGTGGGAACAACAAGCGCACGCGTTTCATTCAATGATCTTGGTCCGTTGCTCAGGAAGGGGAATTGAATTTCTCCCCCTGGTGTCGTTCCACGTTGAACGTAGCGAGTCTCGGACACAGTGTCTGTTTGTTGCCGCGAAAACCGAACGTGTTGAAAAGGAATCTGGAATTTCAGTTATTCAGTACAGCAATTCGCAAGAGCAAATATTTTTTTGTTTTCCACAAATTTAAATTTCGAAAAATTCTCACAAAATTTTAGTTATAAAATATTTTAAATTTCATTATGATGGAAAAATTTGGAAATTTTGAAAACGAGTGGTGCCATATCCACTTCATATCATGTACCGTACGTACGGTACGGTAGTATGCTGTTCTGGAGTTTGGTATCAGTTTCTCTTACTCTCCGAACTTCCTTGGTAAGACTTGATCAACAAGATCAAAACCATTCTTCAAAAGAGCATTCAACTTTGCGATACGAGTACGATACTCACGCTTGACCAATAGCAAAAGAAAAAGCAACAGCAAAAGCAACAGCGCCAACACCACTCGCTCGGCACACAAAGCATGGCGCCGCCGGACACCCTCGAAGCACTCGGCCACCTGCAGGACTACGCGGATGCCTCGGAGAAGGCCCACGACGAGCTGAAATCCTGCCTGTGGCAGCTGACCAAGTCCCGCCGCAACGTCCGCAGCGGCATCCTCGGGGTGGATTCGGCGAACGCGTACACCGCCGGGTTGCTCCGCGAGGAACTCCGGGCCCAATTCCGCGTTTTCGACGCGGCGGCCCGCGGGGACAACGACGGGATCGCGGACCTGGTGAACGAGGAGGAGGGGGCTGCTCCCGCGAAGGACTCCGGGGCGGCTTCGGCACGTTCGTCCGCCCCCGAATGGAAACTCTGCAACGTGCGACTCGAGAGGAAAAAGCCAAAGACCGATGACGAGCAATCCTTGGATCCGAACCCGTCCTCGTCGTGGATGGTGGTGGAAGAGGAAGACCTCACGGACGGCGACGACGAACGCCGGAACGAGGACCTCGACGAGGAGGAACGGATTCTCCAGACGGATCCCCTCAAGCTGTTCGGGGGGTACTTCACGGCCCGGGAGCTGAAGGTGGCACAGCGCAACGCGCAGCGGGCCCTCGACGGCTACATACAAGCCGCCAGCGATGCGGCCAGGCTTCTGGCGATGCTGCCCGCCGAGAAATGACCGGGCCAAATCAGAACAATCGAGATTCAGTGGCTAGCCAACGCAAGCTAACCTTAGCTCCGAGTGCTAGCAAATTTTTCGATAGTCGCTAGGTGCATCGACACCTTTTGAATAGCAAGTTGTATCATTATTTTTAGTTGACATAAAACGCATTTTGTCGATGCTAAAATAATTGTTATTCTAGCGCCTTCGAGGTCAATGCTTGTGCGCGCGCCGTTCCGACTCCATCCGGACAACTGTGTGTTTCGGGGAAAACAATTCGTGCCGTGGCGAGTAGCGATTCGGTGGTTATCGCCACGGCGGCGGAAGATCGCGGTGCGGAGCCGGTTGCCGGTTCGCGTGGTGATTGCCGCAGGGCCCCCCGGGAAACAGGCCGTCCCCCGGCGGTGGCCTGGGCACGTGGTTCGACGAACCCATCATCAGCCCCGTAGAGGATCCACCGCTGTTGCTCTTTCGATAGTTGTACCGCCGAATCATCGAGGCCACGCGGTTGTTCTCGAGGAGTTCCACCGCCTTCTTTCGTTGCTTCTGGTTGTGCAGGCAGAGGCCAAAGACGATCACGAACGAAAACACGCTCACGATTAGTGCTATCACCCCGTCCCTCGACCGCCGCTGGTCCAGGGCGTGCTTGGCCCTCGTGCCCGTCAGGACGCACCCAATGGGCGGGCTGGACTCGTCGGAGGACAAATAAAAGGACACGGACAGGTCGGGCTTGAATTCCTGCCAGTTCGAGGTGCGAGAGGCGGACGAGTCCTGGAGCGTAAAGGATTCCATGAGCATGTAGTGCATGCCGGCCTGTATCGGGCACAGGGGATTGCCGCTCCCATCACCTCCCTCCCCGCCGTCATCGGCGTCGCCGTTGTCGTCATTGTTGCTGCCCGACGAATAAAAGGCCCCGTCTGCGTTGATATAGCCTAGATTTGAAAAGCTGCAAACGTCCGTCCTATTTCGAATGGTTGCACTCCGTCCGTAGTAATGGGTTTTTATGGAAACGAACAACGTCGAATCATAGGGCAATTGGTTTTTTACGGTGACTACATTAGCGTAAGGATAGAGAGCGATGGAATTTGATGGAAACAAGAAAGAAAAGGATAAGAAACATAGGCACCAACACACTTCCGAAAACATACCAATACAACAAAGCCACGCCCAGCGGTCGGTCTCCTACTCTACTCACATCCTAGGGCAACCTTTCCCAAATCCCCCGTTCGACACGACGCCCGATTGGTATAATAGTACTGGTCATCGCCGTCCTCTCCATCGCCGCTCTGGTGGTCGCACACCAGAAAGACCTCGGCGACATCTATTTGCCGTTGCCACCATGGCAGACATTCCTGTGATATCGTAGTCGATCCGTTCTCCATCATAGATTCCATCGAAAACGAGGTAGAGGCCTCCACCAGAACAGCGGCGTCCTTCCCACACAGAAAGTAAGACATCGTCCAAGATAATAGCAGCGTGGTTAGAACCGCCTTGTCGAGACGGAACATCAACCGGAACATCATTTTGAAATGGCAACGGAGGTGTCGATGTGGTTCAGCAAGGAAAGGTTCCGATCTAGTGATACCTAGGTCGATCTGTTCCTATCGACAAAAGTTCTGCTCTTCCGATGGTCTTCGTCTGGAACTCAGATCTCGTCTCGTTCGATGACAGAGAGGGTTACAATAATGGATAAGTTCTTTCAACTGAGGGTCCTTCTCATTTTCAATTCCTAGAACGATGCTACAGGTACAACCGTTGGTCTCTAACGGGCTTTGGAAGCGAATCGATGGTTCGGCTTGGCCTGATGAAATAGTGCCTGTTCCTACTCGTTTTTCGCTCGCACCTGTTCGATAGTTCGGGAAACAAATACGGGTAACTCGTACTGTTCCACGGTATTCCGAGGATATTCAAAAAAAAAAATGGTTGCTCGATTGGTTTTCCTGTCAGTGTTTTAACGGATCGATTTTTTTTCGGAAGTATTAATTAAGGTATGTGTATTGGGGATTGCGAGCGTGCTCAGCTATTCCGCGGCGATAAGGTCGAACTTGCTATCATTTTTTGGTGAATCATCGAACTAAACCTGCATTCCCCGCCCCTGAAGCAAGTAGTGCCTGCTTGCGGCTTAAAACAGAGCACCGGAATGACCGGATCCCAGCATTTTGAAAACCGATTCTGGACCAAACTTGATTGACTCACTCGACCAATATGATTCCTTGGAGGTAGTGGAAACAATGACGACCAAAACAAATCTTCGAACAACTCATATTTTGTTGTGAAATTTCAAAGACGAAGATAGGCCAAGTTTTCTCATTGAGGTTTGTACTTTGCAACCAAAAGAATTGTCTTTCTGGTATCGTGCTTAGAAAGTGACATATCCAGCATTTAGTTGAATCGATCCCTTCGAACGAAACACTCAAACCATGGATGCCGAGTCGGGCGAATGCCTCGCCAACGCAACCCTCCTGTCGAAAGTCGATGCCACGTTCTCGAACCCGGTCTTTGTGGCCGCGGTGGTAGTCCTTGCCGCCTACCTCCTCGTCGAGAAATATGCCATCATTTACCACACGAAACTATGGATCGAGTACTTGACGACCTCCATCCCAACCCTGGAGGTTTCTATGACCCCCGAGGAATCTGAAGACGATGGGGTGAAGGGAGATCCCGTCACCGAAATGCCCCTCCTGAACGCGGACGACAAATCGAAGCTGAACTGCTACGATCCGTCCACGAAACAATTCATTGGTCATGCCAAGAACATGACCGCCGAGGAGGTTAACGAGATCCTCGTCAAGGCCAAGGCGGCCCAGGCCGAATGGGCCAAGACCACCTACGCCCAGCGCCGGATGGTATTGAGAACTATCCAGAAGTACATTGTGAATCACGTGGAAGACATCTGCCGTGTGTCGGCCCGGGAGTCCGGAAAGCCAAAGGTCGACGCCGTCATGGGAGAAATCCTGACGACCTGCGAAAAGATTCGAACCATCTGCGAGTGGGGTGAATTCTGGTTGCGCCCCGATTCCCGCCCCACCGGTCCGATGATGGTGCACAAGAGTGCATGGGTGGAGTACGTGCCACTAGGGGTCATTGTTGCCATTGCCCCTTGGAACTACCCCTTTCACAATTCTGTAAGCAGACGAATTCCAATGCTTCTCCTCTGTAATTGGAACTATGTTTGATCACAGTGTAGCTCCCGGTGTTGTTCTAATGCTTTGATTGCTGGAATATACTGAACCATTCTGGCTTTTTTTGTGTCGTTTTGTGTTTTTTGGCACTTGACCGCAATTTTCTGTGATGAATTGTCATGCCTTCCATTGCCTTGTTCCAACAGATCAACCACGTGATCTCGGGCCTCATGGCCGGAAACGCGGTCGTCGGCAAGGTTTCCGAGCATGCCTCCTGGAGCGCCGCGTACTTTGGCCGCATCCTCCACCAGGCCCTGGTGGTGAACGGGCACAACCCCGATCTGGTGGCCACCGTCACGGGTCTCGCGGAATCAGGCGTCGCGCTCTGTACCTCCCCGCTCGTGGACAAGATCATCTTTACGGGATCGACACCGATCGGTCGTCGCGTCATGGAATCCGCCGCGAACAACCTAACCCCCCTGGTTCTGGAGCTGGGAGGGAAGGACGTCATGGTATTCCGCGGCGACGTCAAGGTCCCGACCATCGTTCCCTTTGTCATGAGGGGGTGCTTCCAGAACTCGGGACAGAACTGCGTCGGTGTCGAGCGCGTCGTGGTGTACGAATCGATCCTGGACGAGTTCCTGGAGGCGGTCGTGCCGAGGGTCAAGGCCCTGCGGCAGGGCAACCCGCTGCCCTCGTGCGGTGCGGACGGCAAGGTCGACTGCGGGAGCATGATCATGCCCCGCCAGCTGGAAATCGTCAAGGCCCTGGTGGACGACGCCGTGAAGAAGGGTGCTGTTCTGCACTGCGGTGGAAAACCCAACCCCAACCTGAACGGGCAGTTTTTCGAGCCCACCGTCCTTAGGTAAGCCATCCCGCCGCCAAGCCATTGTCACGGCAACAGGAAGCGATACACCGCGCACTCGATCGGAAACTGACACGTTTTTGCTTGTTTGCTTGCTCGCTTGTTTTCATCGGCGAAACCCAAAAAATCGCTTTTTCCCCAATCACGTCCTTCGAAACCGCCAGTGGCGTCACCCCCGAGATGGACATTTTCAACCAGGAGGTCTTTGGTCCCGTCATGACCATCGTCAAGGTCCCCGGGGACGACGACGAGGAGTGCATCCGTCTGGTCAACCACTGCGAGTTTGGCCTTGGATCCAGCATCTTCACCGCCGACGACGCAAGGGGCCTGGCCATGGGCAAGCGGTTCAAGACCGGCATGCTGACGGTCAACGACTACGCCTCCAACTACCTGGTGCAGTCCCTCCCCTTTGGCGGAGTGAAGGAGTCCGGTTTTGGACGCTTTGCCGGCATCGAGGGCCTCCGGGCCCTCTGCTGCGAGCGGGCCATCTGCGTCGACAAGTCCTCGTGGATCCGAACCAGCATCCCCCCGGTCATCGATTATCCGATCAACGCGGTCAAGGGATTCCCCTTTACCGAGTCGCTGGTGCAGCTGTTCTACAACGAGAGCATCCTCGGAAAGATCAAGGGAATAATAGGCCTGATCAAGAACGGGGCCTAGGCGGGTTCGCGGCCAACACGGAGGATCCAACGGGGCAACGATTTGCTTTGCGCAGAAAAAGAAAGGAGCGGTGGAGCCCCAACCCAAAGCGGTTCTAGGCAGGATTGTAGGATTCTTACAAGAAGGCGAATTAATTAACTATTAGAACCGTTGATCGCTACATGTACAGCACACACGTCCTGCTCGTTCTGTGTTTGCTCCCATACCGTAGTTGACCGGAGGAGGGCTCGTACCGGCCCGGCCTAGTTTGCGGGTTGGTACCCTGCCTCAATGGCGAACTTCTCGGTACACGCCTCGAGGGCCTTCCCCACCTCGTCGTCCGTCGACTCGTCGGAGGTCACCTCTAGGGCCGCCGCCATGACCCGCTGGGCGGCCCGCCGCTTGCCGATGAGGGACTCGTCCGAGAGGACCAGGGTAAACCGGTGGGGCGTCCTGACAAAGTCCACCGTCTGCTCGCGGCCCTCCAGGAGGACCACAATGCCGTCCTTTCCCATGGTATCGACGGCACCGGCCGCGAAGGAGACGACCTCGCCCTGGGTGACCTCCGCCACGGTGGGAATGTTGTCCGAGACCTTGGGGGACTTGAGCTCCGTGTTCTGTACCTCCGAGATGTACAAGTCCAGGCCGAGGCCGTGGATGTGGGTGTCGTACTTGCCGTTGTATTTTCCAAAGGTGAGCATCCCCATGAAGGTCTCCAGGTTTTCCTTGGTCAGTGCCCGGTCCTTGTCAAAGGCTCCGAGGCCCTCCTGCTGCTCGCACCAGGTGACGGCGAGGAGGGTGACGCTGCGGAAGATGTTTCCGTTGGACCAGCAGACTACCTGCTTTCCTTCGTCGCTGGTGAGTTTTTCCTCGAGCATTTTCACGGTGGTCCCCTTTCCGGTTCCGGAGAGCCCGCACAGGACGATGACCGATCCGTCGCCGCTTTCGCCGTTGCTGTCGGTCTTGACACTTCCAATGATCCCGTCGGCCACCAGGGACGGGGTCTTTCCCAGGACGTCGATGGAGACGTAGGGCTGTGCAACGTAGTTTTTGTCGAGAACGCCCTTAGCCTTGGCGAACTCAATGCCCTTGTCGAGCTTTACCGAGTCTTCCTGATCGCGTTTCAGGATGGCTTCCTGCTCCCGGAGCGAGAGGAAGGAAAAGGCCTCGGAGGTCCCGAGCTGCTCGATCAGGGCGCTCGAGGTTTCCGCGTTTTGTTTGGCCAGGAGCTGGCGCGAGATTCGGCTAATCATGGTAAACGAAGAGGGTGGTGGTTGTTTGGGGAGCTCGTAGTTTGTACTTCGTCGCTAGCTTGCTTGCTTGCTGTATGCGTTGTAGAAGAGAGGGAGAGGAGGAGGATCCTTTTCGGCTGGTCATCGAGTGTCGAGAGACTGTCAAAATTTCTTGATTCCCGATTGAATTCGCAATTTCCAATTTTGAATTTTGTCCTTCGTGCGAACGTTGAAAAGGGTTTTGAGATCGGATGAGATGATTGCGATACATTCGTGACTGACCAAAAACCAGTATTGCTTCGTTCCGGCCGGAATGATTTATGACCTCTATGACCCTGAGGAGCAACCTCCGAAAATGCGAACCCTAATCTGTTTCGCAAAGCGAAAAAGATGGCGCGAGTCGGCTCTCCCTGGTTTTTTCGAGAGTTGTCCGCTCGACATTCAAAACGGAGAAAACACCCATCCACCGAAAGCCGTGTCGTGCCGTGTCGTGCATACCGTAAAGTACCCGTGCCGTAGTGCAATGGTACGTACGAGAACAAATAGATTTCTTACGTCCCGTACGGTAAAATGCCGTGGGGAGGTTTTGTTTGTTTCTCTAGGAACCTAAACCAGCCTCAGCCGCTGATCGTTCACAATCAAAACAACCAGAGCGGCATTCCATTGCCAACCGAACGATACGTAAATTGGACACGGAACGAGACGACACAAGACGAGAGGACACTCCCTTGTGTACAATTGAGCTTGGTTTCGTTCTGGTGTTGCCACAACCATACAACGGCTTTGGAAGCATTGTTTGTTGTTTCGTTCCAGAAGAAAGCGAAACGATTGACGCAAATCGATCCATCGATCGTTCCAGCAAGCTGGAGAAACGGGGTCTCTTCCGTCCGAGAGAACACCAGACGCTGTATACGATTCCGTTCGATTGCTTGCGATAGGCATAAGAGTGGCATTCGAGTGACATACGACAGGGATACAAACGTGATTCCTTTAGCATCCAACCGATACGATACGGCACGCCGCAATGGACTTTGGCGCCGGGGAGGACCCGGTCTTCGGCTTCGGTGTCGGTGCATCATCCGTCCGAGCGTCGTCCTCCGGAATCCGGGGGCCCGCAAGGAAGAAGAAACTGTTTGCGGCGAGAACGAGGAGGACCTTTGGCAGGGAGTCGTACGGGCGGGTTGCCACCGTGGGCGGCACGGCCGGGAGCTGTGGCACTCCTTCCGCGAGCCAGAGCAGCAGTGGCGGCAGCCACGGTGGCAGCAGCATATCGAGCGTGCAAAGGTCCGGAACGAGCCGCGGATCCGATAGCGGGGGTTCGTCGTCGTCGTCCGGTCTCTCCGGTATCCCGACACGGAGCCACAAAGCCATTCGTTCCTCGGTTCGAAGGAAGATTCGGCTGAAGCGCGGGATGGAGGAAGAAGAAAGAGGCGACAAGTACTCGCAATGTCGTGCGATGCACTCGGATGCTTCATTCTCTTTTGGAGAGGAAAACTACGACAATGACAGCAATACCAATAGCAACGGCGACACCTACCACGAGAACGAAAACGAATACGACAGCCCCCTGTCCTCTCCCTCCGGACCGGTAACGATCGTTCGGACCGGCCATTCCGCCACGGGCGGCTCGATGACGGACAGCCACCTGAGGGAGCGGCTCTCGGTCCGGCGGGGAGCCCCGGGATTTAGTGCCTTTGCGGTCCAGGACGCCGGGACCTACCAGATGCTCCACGACGAGTGCTCCTACCTCTGCTCGACGGTCCTGTCGAGGAGGGTCCAACCCTCCAGGGCCCTCGACGCGGCCGTCGACCTCGCCGTCCTGCTGTCCTCCCGCAAGACGCGGCGGATGCTCTGGCGGGGCGACAGCCGCGGCGACGGCGTTGGCGAGGCGGAATCGGACACGGATGCCACCGACGCGAGCCAGCGCCTACACGGGAGAGATCCGCCGCCGCCGGGGATCCCGAAGCTATGGTCTTCCGTCTTCGAGGTGCTTGCCCTGGTCGGTGCCCGCGTTCCGAACCAGGCCACGCGGTCGCGGTCGCCGTGGTGGTCCAAGAATGCTTCCGATGCGTCGTTGTCGATGGCCAGCAGCAACGCCAGCAGCGGCGGCGATCCCGGCCCGCGGACCTCCTCGGCCAGGAGCACCAGCCGCACCAAGAGCGCCAGGCGGAGGGAAAAGGAACTCTCGTCGGTTGCGGGGGGAAGTGGCTGCACTACCGCTGCGGCCGGGACATCGTCCACCAACAAGGAGGCACGGGCGGCCGCCACCTCGGCGGTGCTGGCGGACGTTTGCGCCTGCATCGCGCACTGGGTGTCGTGGGATTGCACCCTCTCGACAGAGCACTCGGTGGCTGCCATGGGGCCGGTCCGGTCTCCGTCGCTGGCCCGAAGAATACGGGCGGCGGTCCTCGAGCGGGGGCCGGTGCTGGCCGGGATCGCGGGTCTGATGGCCTCGCACCACGCGAACGCACCGCCGATTGTGCACGGCGGAAAGGGCACGGGCAGGAGCAGCAGCGGTTTTGCGGCCGGTGCACCGGTGTCGCCCCTACGGACCGGGGCTAGCCCGCCCCCGAGGAGGCGCACGAGGCGCCTTTCGGCGGCCGCTTCAAAGGCGATCGATTCTCGGCCCACCAAGAACGTGGTTCCGGCCACGCAGCCGGTCCTCCCGCCTTCCAAGGCCGGAGGAGATCCAACGGCGGCGGGACGAAGGAACCGAAAGAAGCGGCGGCGAAGGACCAAGACGGAATCCCCCTTGGATTCCGTTGCGGAGAAGGTGGATTGTCCGGGGTTGGAGGACGCGAGGGACAGCGACAGCGCTCTGATGCCTCCGCCTACAAACCGCAGATCGCGTCGCCGCAGCCAAACGCCAGGTGCCGGCGACGAGCTGAGCTTTTCATGCCCTTCCGTTGCGAAAGAACCGCTCCCCTCCAGAACCAAACCCACCCAACCATCGGGGGGGGAATGGGGAACCGACGAAAGCAGCTCGGTCGTGTCCGAGGCGCTGACGGAGGAAACGTCGGTGGTGGCCAGCCGCATCTCGCAAAAAGTCGATGAGCTCCGGGCCAGGGTTTGCATCGAATCGAACGACGCATCATACGCCGAGAAGAATTGTCCCGTGGGAGGCGATTTCTTTCCGGCGGGGGATCGTCCGTGGACAACTACGGTCTGCCTCGAGTCGATCACTCGAATCTTGACCGGAAAGGAACTTAACGGAAAAACCTCTTGCCTCGAGGAAGAAGCTTCGGAGGGAACCAAGGGTGGAGGCGACGAAAGCGATGGTGCAGACGACGAGAACGGCAACGGCAACGTCTACTTGGTCACGAATCGTTTGGTCGGGAAGAGTGGCGTCATTCCTATCCTGACAACCGCAATGTCGGAGACCATGGCAGCAGCCACGAAACTCGTCTTTCCAGAAACCGTTTGGAGCCCTGAGAACGACAAGAGTTCCGAGCCCACGGGGGAAGAAGAAAATCTGTGGCGGTACTGCCACATTCGACTGCAATTGTTAGCGTCTCTGATCGATGAGGCTTGCTTTTTCTCCGACCAAAACCGAAGACGCTTTTGCGAGGAAGACCCGTTCTCGTTCGAAGATCAGAAGAAGGGTATGATCTACTACATCCTGGTGTTTTTGCACCGGTGTTCCGGGTGCGACCTGAACCGGGTCGACCAGAAACGAAGCGAGACTATGTCTCTTGCCCTCAGGACGCTGACAAGCCTGACGCACAACAATCCCCTGGCTGCGGAACAAATGAGCAATTCGAACGATGATTTGTGCGCAGAAGGCATCAACGTCCTCGCCAATGTGGTGTTTCACCTGGAAGATGATTCTCTGTCGTCAAATAAGCGGAAACGAACGGGCCCGACAACAAATCTTCATGGGAAGGCAAAAGACCACGATATGCACCGATACGATGGCACAATTTTCTGTTTGACAACACTTGCAAACATCATCGAGGGCTCGGGAGTGCGCAGATCCCTGATTGAAATTGAAAACATCGGTCTGCAATCAGGGGCCAATCGGTCGTGGTTGCAATGGTTGTGTCAATGGATTGTGAATCAAACGGAAAGTTTTCGGCATGAGATTCTGTCGATTGGTTGCAAGAGCGAACGCAGTAGCTCGAAGGGCATTGACACCGCCGGAGACGAGGACGGAGAATTGCTCAAGCATGAAGAGGAAATGTTAGTTGCCGCAGGGAATGGATGTGTAGTACTGGCATGCTTAATGACGGAAGCTGACAACGACGACCCCGAATCTTCGGCTCACATTCGAAAACTTGTAGAGAACGAAATGCCTCTTGATCCAGGCGGAAACTCTTCTCGGTTGGCACTTGTCGTGAACACCTTGAAGGCCTATTGCAACTACTATCACATATCAATGGGACAAATGAGTTTCGCGGTTGTTGCGCCCGTTAAAAAGCTCATTGATGAGCTTGAGGACATGATTAATTTTGATGAAAGCAAATCAATAGATTAGAATAGCAGCAGCTCTCAATCATAGTAATTCATGACATAACACTCCTGTTTTCCATTCTTTCCGATTGAGAATCCATTTCTAAAAGCTATGCTGGCCAATTAGGAACACCTATTGTTGTATTAAGACTGTTGTTGATTGTATCAGTGTGCCCTAACTATAATTGTAATTGTAATTCTGCCATGAGATTTTAGTCTCTAGATTTAGAACTACTACGTGAGTTTCGTTTTATTTATGATTGGGTACGTAGGTATCAAGCTACCGGTTCAATTTGTCCGTAACGCCGGCAGAAAGGTGCTGATTTCGCCCCGAAGTCGTTTTTCTTGAAGCCTAATTTGCAAAGTTCGCAATTCTCGTTTCCACTACTGCGTGGAATAGTACTATTTCTTCTACTACGCACTCGTTCTCATCAATGCTCACGAGTTTTAATCGTGACCACCTGTCTACCGGTATGTGAAGTCCTCCTCATTGGTCCGTCCGTCCGCCGAAGCTTGTGCAAACTTGTTTGAAGTCGTATCCCCCCCTTTTTCTTCACTTTTGTTCGCAAAAATTTCTTGGTTCCGGCACATCTATCCATACAAGCTGGTTGACGTGTATTCCCACGTGTCTTTCACCGCATCTCTACCTTAAGTGACTAACTAGTCGCGATCAACGTTTTGACTGACGTGGCAGCATTATTCAATATTACTTTATACCTGTACGTTTATGCATATAGTCGCTAGTTCTCGCGTTGACCAAAGAAAAGCTATTTAATACAAAGTAGATCGGATTCCAAGGGACCGTTGGCGCGGCGGCATTTTCGACATTGCCTCAGATCCATCAAAATAATCGAATTTGAACATCTAGTCATAAAGTTCAAAAGCCGTAAATTTCTGTTCACCGAATTACTTTTCACATCAAAATGAGCGTCAAGAACCAAAACATGCCTCTTGCTACTTCTGCTGCTGCCGCACCAGGCCTCCTTACCCAAGTGGGTATGGCAGGAACCTCTGCTGTGATCACGGTACGTGGAAACAACACTTCGCTGCCGATGATTGACGATCGTTCTTCATCTGAATGCTTTTCACGAATGTCGCTCGATACAAACTGACCAGTGTTGTTCTCTTAATTTCAACTGCACTCATTAACGAATGGAATTTTCTATAGGTGTCCTTCATCCATCCTATTGATGTTGTCAAAACCCGTATCCAAGTTTCGGCGGAATACTCTGCGCTTGGTATGGGTGGAACAGTGAAAAAGGTCATGTCCGACGAGGGCGTCATTGCACTGTGGAAGGGAGTGAACGCAGCATGGCTTCGTGAAGCTTCTTATACTTCTCTTCGTCTTGGTCTCTACGAACCTACCAAGGTACTGTTCGGGGCCAACGGATCTGACGCTCCTTTTTACAAGAAGTTCGCAGCTGGTAGTGCTGCCGGTGCTATCGGAAGTCTGGCCGGAAACCCTTTCGACGTTCTCAAAACGAAGATGATGACGGCTGGCGGAAAAGAAGTTCCATCGATCACAAAAACTGCAGGAGATCTCATGGCCAACCAAGGAATTGGAGGATTCTACCGTGGAATTGATTCGAACATCGCCCGTGCCATGGTTTTGAATGGAACTAAGATGGCGTGCTACGATCAAACCAAGGAAATTGTAGCTTCAACTACCGGTATGTCCAAGAAGGCTCTCCCTACTCAGTTTTTGTCTGCTGTTGCCGCCGGATTTTTCATGACATGTACGGTGTCTCCCTTCGACATGGTCCGCACGCGATTAATGAACCAACCGGCTGATGCCAAAATTTACAGCAACGCCTTTGACTGTGCTATGAAGATTGCCACACAGGAGGGACCTCTTACTTTCTGGCGTGGATTCATGCCTATCTGGTCTCGATTCGCTCCTACCACTACTCTTCAACTTGTGATTTTCGAACAATTGCGTGGAATTATGGGAATGAAAGCTCTTTAAAAATATTCATGATGCAGATATATTTGATAGACTGAGGCGAGAATCATTTCAACGGAAATGGCTAGAAAAATAAATTGTTTTAATGTATCAACTGTTACTATTACCACATTCTTGATTATGTACAACAAATGGATCTAAAACAATATTTGTGGTAATCTGAGCATATCGTTTGGAACTACCATTAGCTTTTGCTCACCTCAAAATACTACCGTGCCGCTGCGACTTCGTACACAGACCAAAAGAAACTGATACAGATCCCGCCCCTCCATGTGAGATTGTGTACAAGTTGTTTGGGCGAACAGTATCTTGAGCGAAACTTGAAAATTGACTTGAATTTTGGAATGGATCGCACATGACAACTCCTCTCTATGCCCCGCCCCGTGCATGACCTTCATCAGTACTACATAGTAGTGAATGTAACCTGCTGCTTCTGCCATTGGTTCTACTAGTAGTAGTAGTATCTACTACAGCATTTCCTTGCTATCTTCGAGCTTATGGTGGAGTTGCCAGCCATCTGGTTCTTCTTGTGGTTGTTCAAGAAAACAAGAAGAAAAAGAAGTCAACAACAGGAACTACAACAACCACCCAATCTTCTACAGTGCCAATACGTACCAACGGTGGCGGTTCAAGAGGAAATTTCAAATTTCGGGTTATCCATGAATCAACACATTTCGTAGAAGTACCGTACGTACCGTACAGTACAAACTTCAATTCTTAAGAGAACGCTTTTTTATGTCTTCACAAATTCACAAATTTGTAGAAGGACTTATTCAGTACTATCGTTATACGACGCGATGTTTTACTAGTTGAATCGTACAGTACGGTACTGTATCGTACCGTACGTACATCACAGAACACCGAATGAATACTACGTGACTACACGGAAATTACCTTTATTATACCGGTAGAACCTGAACCCCAAAAATAGAATTACAACATCTTTTCCCGAAGCTACGGTATCTCAAATCAAGACCTTTGAGTCCGTCTGCGGAACGTCAGACTATCTGGAGCGATACATCATTGTCTTCTGAATATATCGCACCATGTCTGCTGTTGGAAAAGAGTCTGCAAAGACGCTCTATCGCAGTATATTACGGGCTCACAAACGGTACCTCCCACGCGAAATGAAGGGTCTTGGCGACTCCTACGTCAAATCCGAATTCAACATGTTCAAAAAAGTTACAAACGAAGGGCAATTAAAGCAATTTTATACAGAATGGAATCGTTACCTTGACCAACTTTTACAGACAGCTAGAACAAAACAGTCTGTCTCGGCGGGATCTCTCGAGTTGTCGTCGGACCACGCGTTTGGGAAGCATCTACCTGCCGACGTTAGTCTTACAGACGAACAAGCGATCCAGTTGCAGAAACTAAAAGAAGAAACGAAGCGAGCTGGACTTCCTGATCACTAATTAGAAATGAATGTGGGTATAGAGGTTGACGATAATTCATTTACTACTGTACGATAAACAATCGAAACCTCTAAGAATCTATACCCATTGAAAATCTGTTTTCGCATCCGACCTCGTCTTTGTGTACGCCCCTGTAACCATGTTCAAGGATATGATATAGCCATTGAACTGATACTACGCGCAAACCCCATTCAATAGCTTTTTTCTGTTTCAATCCTGTCGCAGTATTCTTAAATACCAGATGAGTAGTTGCACTGCTCATATTGCCGTGGTATACACCACCGATAGCACGAATCAAGTTTATAAGCATTGCCTTTTCAGAACCCTGAAAACCAGTCAAGGATATCTGAAGCTTTGTCACAGCGTCCGAGTGTTGTCTTCGTTTTCCTCCGACTTCTTCCGATCTTAGCTTGACAGACTTCATCGACCATGACTGTGGCACGAAAACCACAGGCATGTATTCTGGTCGGAGTCGTCTTTTCACACTTACACACGTTTGAACCCAGATAGGAGTGACTAAGATTAGTTCACAAAGATTGTGGCGTTTTAGCTGTGAAACAAGCGGATTTGTGTCGAGTCTTGGCGGGCTTCCTCCCCAACAAACCACGTGGCATTTTCGTTTGATTTCGCTAGTGCTTTTTTCTGCATCTATCCGCAACGCATCCAAAAGCTTGGTGCAAAGAATTTTTCCCCCATGAGCTTTAATTAGATTATCTATCTCCTTCTGGTTGAACTCAATGATAGGGTTCATTGCCAAAGATGATCCAAGTTCAACCGTTGGAGAAGTTCTTACAGAAGAGAATAGGCACCCACGGAAAATAGATACGTTGGACGCAGTTGATGCCAACGACGTTGTCCTGGATGTCACTTCGGAAGCTCTCTTCGACGACCTGATTTGACCCTCATTGCTCCGCAATTTTGGTTGCCTTGTTCTGATTGGAGGATAATTCGCCGTCGGCTGCAATGTGATTCCCTTATAGGACTCAATAATCCAAAAGGGAGAGACCGCTGGTGGAATGTTGGGATGATGAGATGTGACGATTTTAGCTGCCTTCTGCACTGCATCGTCGCAGGCGTCTGACAGCACCAAAATAGATATCTCTTCGTTCATGTCCCAATGTATTGTGCCACCACCACGGCGGATCAGTACGCTCGTTTTCATTTTTAGTTCGGGGCTACTTTCAAAGCCGATCAAGAAGAACTGAAACTTTTCAAAAAGGAACGACCGCGAAAGTCTGTCACAAGGAGCTACAACTTCGTCCAGGGCATTATCCATAAGTGAAAGTACGGAAGATTTAGAGGAGCTTCTTGTCTGTGTTTGATTTCCTTCTGAACTATCCATTGTAGAAGCAAGCACATGGGCCATTTCAGATGCTCTCTGTCCACTCTCCATTGTTGAGCTTAGCCACGATGAAGTAATGATATGGATACTTTTAGGATCGGACGAAACTGCTAGGTTATATTTGGCCCCCTGCGCTGCTTCGGTGATCAGATGAGTGTTTTTATCCAAATTCAGCTCTCGAGTGTATCTTTTTCCCAATTTTTGAATTGCACAAGAGTAGAGAGCCAATGTTTGGCAGGCCACAATTTGAGTCGGTGCTGTTGGTTTTATGTCAAATTTAATGAAGATAATTGTTATTCTTACCTTCCACCCAAGGATAAAATAATGTTGTGAAGATGATCCTTTCTATCTTGGGCGAAACCACTCAAACACGCTATCACTCCCTCCAGTGGGAGAATGGGCTGGTTATCACGATTGGCTTCATCTCCCTGCACGTTCCGTTCATTGTTCGACTGTTCATCGGACGCATCCTCCATTTCTCTTCGGCATCTTTTCCTTTTGACTTTTACGACGTTTGACGACGACATGATTGTTTTCGTTCGCTCTGTCTGAAGCCACAGTTAAACAAAAAACTTCTTCCCAAAACGAAAACACATGTCGAGTCTTAGGGGAAAGGGGGATGTAGCTGTCCCTGCCTTTCATAGACTTCAAACTGTACAACACGTATTAGTCCCAGTGCAATGTACGGGTACAAAAACTACTTGTGAGTGATCGATGTTGACCGAACCTTCGGACATCAAAACTGAGCATAACAACTAGGTTCGGTGCGTACCGGTACGTATTTTTTATTCGTACTTCTTAAAATGCTTGCTAGCAACAATCAGGAACGAAGGACTGAACAAAAAATGACATCGAACAAATCGAGGGATCGACTTCCTCCTGAATTTCTTTTCAAACCCCCCCAAATTGAGATCCGTTGGGTTTTCGGGAATGACCCATTCGGGAATGACCCATTGATCAATACACATTTTCCTACTTCCAGTTCCCACGTGTCGTGTGACGTGACCAGCGGGATTGTACTCGTACTCTTTTTCTAATGAGCAAAAAATGCGTCACGTTGAATTCCAACCAAGTTACCGTACTAAACGAAACGTAGTCTTGGAACAACTACTACTTAATGTTTTTACGGTAAGTACGGTACAGTTTCATCAAGAGATCAATTTCTTTCTTCTGAAAAATTTTGGTTCGCTAAAAGTCCTTAGGCCCTCGGAGTAGCTGACTAAAATGACATGAAGTATTATGCTATGCGCGTGCTAGAGGCGTTAGGCCTGACTAGGACGCGTGAACAAAATAAGAACATGAAAATACATTAAAGTGAATAGCCAATCAGAATAGAGATTTTGATGTTTGTATCAATCGCCGTAATCACAAGGTTCTCGGGAGAAAGAACTTTTGGGTGCAGAACTTTGAGCATGTCACGAACTTTGACAAATGAAGAAAATCGCCATTTTCAGTTTCTCGCAAGACTTGTCCTCGGAGTTGTCATTCGGATACCTATGAAGTCACAACAGCATACCATTCCGCTTTTCCGTTTTGACCACTGTACGTCCAACTCATTTTAATTTTGTCGCAGCAGCACACTAGAATACCATAATTTTTTTTTGAAGCGTTTCAAAACCATGACAGCATCCACCAGCAAACAAACAAAGACGACATCCGCCATGTCACCAACAAGTAATATTACTCTGCCAACAGTAGTACTGCTTATTGCTACATTATCCGTGGCTGCAGCATTTCAACACAGTGGTGCGATACAATCGGCTAAACTGAACACATTATTTGTTCACGATTCGCAGCAGGCGGCCAGACCATATTCACGTAATGAACGTACGAGAATTTACACGAGTCGTGTGCAATCCTTATCGTCACCCACATCGTTGTCACGGGTGAGGAGGAAACAACAACCATCATCAACTCTGACGCAATTGCACTTTAGTGATGATAGCAGCTCTAATGCCCCACTTGAACCAAGTTGGTGGAGGAAGCTTTTTACAGCGTCGCAGTATTCCGCGAGTCGTTCTAGTACAGTCACTGGAACCAGCAGTACTGTAGGCGAGGATGACGAGCAAGACAATGTCGATGCCTATTTAGAATTTCTTGACCGAAGATACCGACGCCTTCACTGCGATGATAAGAAAGAAGTGAAGGCAATATCCAACCCAAAGCAAGATTCTTCGGAATTAAAAACAGCGAAACCTTTCTCTGCAATGGATTGGCTTATGAAGGGGAGCGGAAGCAACAATTCGGACGATTTGACCACGACTAGGGAACAACAAGAAGATGCTCTTTATGTCCTTGGAGTGGCCGGCCTTGCAAGCCAAAAGTTGCTTCAAAAGCACCATTTACCAACCACGATGAATCAACATACGAAGGGAGTATCGACATCCACGATTGATAAGGTTGTGGAGTTGAAGGAGCAAATTGACGATGCAATCGAAGTCAACGAAGTCAGTATCAACACATCGCTGAAATCCGAAGTTAATACCTTGGTATTGAACAACATCTTACTTCCCATTGTCCGCTCCCTGTATCTAATACAAAGACAAAAGGATCTATTTTTCCGAATGATACAAGAGGGAGTCAAGGCCATCGCAACAAAAGCTACCAACGGAATTTTAAGCACTTTCTCGCAAGGACCTAAGTCCATTCTCGATACCTTACTTTCTATCGGTGGCGGAAAGCGGAACTTCTTGCGCACGATTGCCGTTGGTTACGCAACCATTATCGTCTTTCGACCTCTCATGCACGCAATCTTCGCGGAAGGATTGGCCTTTGACCCATTGATCCAATAGAGATACTCAACAATACAATTTTTTGGTCCCGAAAGAAGACAAACACCATACAGCTACAAAGAACATACAAATAAATAGATCATCACAACTCCGCATTTGGAAAACTCTACGTTTTGAGCGGACAACAACTACAATACAAGAAACCATTAACAATAGAAAACATTAATCAAGATTGGCTTCACGCAATGTTTTTTTAACTTCCTGCTATTTCAGAGGATCTCGATTTCGCAGGTGAAATATCGACAACAAGCTGGTTCACGATTCTCTAGAAGTTCATAGACCAAAGTCAATCGTCCTAGCCGTGTTGATGATTTAGCGAAACCAATAACTTCAGGTGAAAAGTACGGTATTATTGATAGTCCTCGTGTGAATGACAAAAATCTACCGTACATCAACACCATTGAGAAATTTGTTCTATCGTCCGTTGGGGAAGAAAATAGTAGAACAGATTGCTATCCAGATTTACGTGGTAAAAAATTCGACGTTTGAGAACATGACTTGAGCAATTCGATGTTCTTCTTGAAGTAAAATACGCTACGAATTCACTCTACGACCAATCAAACAACTTCAAGGTCTCTGCAATAAGGTGTTAAAAGTCTTTAGAACGGAGACAGCCACATACCGAAATAACGGTTGGTGACCAAAAACTATGCGCAACTTTTGATTGGTCAAAGAAATCTGACGCGCCAAATTTTAACAGCAAGAATCCAAATGTTGACATCTGCACTGCATGTGGCGCATAACAGGTGTCAATGATCAGAGAGTGTTTTTCTGCGTGGCAAAGGGTGATACCATCGTTCTACAGATTCTAATAAGGCTCTGTAGAACAGCGATAACGAGAGTTTGAGCGATGACAGCGCGGATAAAACATCCGTACTACTATTCGACCAGTTTGATTATCGAAGTGCCGGAATTGAGAGATGAAGAAAATAATCTAAAGTAGTAGTAATACGGTACTGCAATACCGTAGCGTACAGCGTACGGTACGGTACTACTTCTACTTCCCTACGTATGCTTATTACGTATTGGGTCGCTAACGCAAATAGTTAGAAGTTAGAAGTACTACGGTGCAAAAACTAAGTTAGTGCCAACAAGGTGGCAAGTAATGCTCTGAAAAGAATTCAGAAGCTACTTAACAATGAAAGAATTGTGACTGTTTGCTGTTTCTGATATTAATTGATTTGTTGTGTATGTTGCGTACTATTGTTGATGGTGCTGGTGTCGTTGTAAATAGTATAACAAGGACAACAAGAACAAGAGGTGTTCCTCTCACCACAACAAGAAGGAGGAGAAGAACAGAGCACTGGAACAACAAGAAGTTATTAAGACAAAGAACTCTTGAAGGCACAATCACCATGACAACAAGAACATAAATCCAGCAATTGCTTCTTCTTGTCTAAGACCAAATTGAAACCAACACATTTTCCAAAGATCCTTCCTCCTGTAAGAATTTGTGAACAGTTCTTCTTGTTGCTGCATTGGCAATATTCATCATTGGGAATTGAGTTGAATGTATTCCCTCCTCCTTGTGACTTACTCGTGTATTTGAGTTTGATGGGTAATTTTTTATTCATGTTTGTGTGGGGATTGAAATTTAGCTGTTCTTGATGCAGTGTTTTTAGCAGCTAAAGTGATACAGCAGTACTAACATTTTTGAGTCTCCTTCTTCTTCAAGGACCACCTTTAGTATCCATTCAACTTTTCAGAATGTGCTAAACATCCAACAAAATATCCATCAATGCTGATAATTTTACAATCTTGCTACCCATTTTAAAGTTTGACAGACTTGAATGTATATGATGGCTCCATTTACTTTTGATCTTTCACCAACATGTGTGTTGTCATCAATCATGACAGGTTTACTAGTACCAACATAAATTTTAACAAGCATTGGATCTACTATCTTTTTGGAAGATTTGGTTCCACCTATAAAAATGTCATTATCTGAAGTGGCAGTAGCAAGTAAGCAGTAGTTCTGAAAATCTGCTGGCATTTCTCTGTATTTTCTTCTTCTTGTTTTGTTTATCTTTAGTTTTTTGTTTGAGGCCTAAATCACAATAGTGTGATCTGGCAATCTGTCATTTACATTTTTGAGTTTTCAATTACCATGTATTGCACACTTGTTTGATTGCTGAATGTTGCATAAGCAATATCTAGAGGCTATCAATATTGGCATTGGAATTGCTATGCTCTGTGATGTTCTTCTTCCCCAACTTCTTGGAGAGGAGGAACTGTGAGTATTTTTTGTAGGACTCAAGAAACTTTTCCAACAAGGTGTTGGTGGAAAATGTCTGAATGGCTGTTCAAAATAATTACTGAATTTTTTAGTCTTGGGAGGATTTAGGTTGTGCTCTTGCATTTTGGAATGACCAATCAAAAATATGACTAATTTAATTGAGTCTTGGGAGCAATTTGGTTCTCTTAAATCTTGGAATGACCAACAACAAATATGACTGATTTCTTGAGTCTTGGGAGCATTTTGGTTCTCTTAAATACTGGAATGACTGATTGTCACAATAATGACTGAATGTTAAAGTTAAAAATGAATAATCTTTTTTGTCAAGGTACAAATTTATTTGCAAAAAATGGGATACTGGGATTTACATGGATTCTACACTAAACACAAGTTTCTTTTTGTTTTCCCCTTAAGTCCAGGGCAGTGAGAATTTTTCAAGATCAGTGGCTACCATGCACAAAAGATAGTTGTAGTTCAGTGCACCATGATAGCCAACTGTACTGTACAGTTTTTGAGGCATGACGACATTCTGCTTTTTCTTCACTCCTGAATGAAAATCCATGACTAAATTGAACTAGTCACTCACAAAATTAGAGAATTAGATTGCTTTATTCTTACCAATTATTAGTATTATTCCAAACTCTAAATTAATGCTGAGCTTGTCATAATGTCCAAAACCGTTGTTTTAAACACCTGTGATAATAGGGCCCTCTGGAACCCACATGCCCAGCATCTCTCTTTTTGAATTTCTCCCCTAGCAAAACATGGATTATTTTTGGCAAAAAATAACTGACCAGGTAGTGGTCATCTAAGTTTTTTTGGCATGGACACAGATAGAATCTTGGTGGATTCTTCTGCAAAGAAAAATAATCACAATCAACAAGAACGAGAAATGTACCACAGAAACAACAGCAATTTTACAGAGGCAAAGAAAAGAACAAGGATGTAGTTTCCACATAACAACAACAACAACAACAACAACATCCTGATGAATGAAAACAAGTTGCTCAACTCTATGCTATCAACTATCCCATGATATGTGAAGAATGATGTCAACTCCATCTGTAGAAACTGTCAAAGGCTTTGGTGCAAACCAATTCCAACTGAAAATTACATTGGAGATCAAGTGGTTGATTAGTAGGAAGGCTTTCCTGGAAAATTTCAACTACTTCTTGTACAGTATGAGTGAAGTCCAAATGCCAAGGAGGTTGCTCTTGCTGCCACAGAGGACCCTCTTGTTCTGTACCAATGAAGCACTAATCCAAGGCAACAGTGTACCAATGACACACTAATCCAAGGCAACAGGTTGCATCTTGTTCTCTGCTTCTACCTTTTTGACTTCCAGAGGATTTCATTAAACACTGATTAATGCCCATTGTATCTTCATTGACCATATTGTATAGGCTTGGCCAGCAAATCTACAATCCAGTTGTAGATTATGGGCCCTTATTTGTTTGTGTAATGACTACTTTGACATGTATGAAGTACTTATACAAAATTCACGTGCTCTACTACCAGTAAGTTGTCTTTCTAATTTTTGAATCCCGCAACCAAATAGTTTTGCTTGCACATGCTGTTGCTGTAGCCCTAGTACAGCAAGACAAATTTTAAATCCCATGAGTCATTACATGATGGTAAAAAGATGGCCCGTTATCCACAGACCATGTTATTTAACCATATAACTGTTTTAGTCTTGAACTGACAATTTGAGCTATATCTTGGTCTCTAACAGACAATAAAGTATGATAGACACATGAATTGAATCCCAGTAAAAAGACAAATTCAGTGATATAGTAGAGTAGGGGGGTCAAAGAAGTATTGACAATCAATATATGTCTATGAATATCCATCATTGCTAATGTACAACTGAGTTGTCTTCTTTTTCTTGACTGAGCCTATAGTACAATATTATTCAAATACTGGTGCAAATAGCAAAAGAGGCTCCCTGGAGACTTTTGTCTACAACACTGCAGTTTAGAACATTCCCAGAATGGAGGACATGCAAGACGGCCAAGCCATGTTTGTTCCTTCTGCACCTCTCTTGAAGTATGATTTCTTTGTCCTACTCTTCCTCCTCTGTGACAAGGGCCCACCAGGACAAGAGGATAGTCTCCATTATCATTGATATTGTTATAGAATGTTGTTTTTGCTATCTAGTAGAGCAAACAGTGAACATAGCATGGATTTTTTCTGGAGTATTGCTGGTGATTCTTTTGAAAGCTAAAGTATCTAAATATTTGTGAGTAATACTAGTAGGAGGGAAAAAAAATTATTGATTATGTATCCACTGGCTGAAATAACATCATGTCATAGTACTATCTGGTCTGCCAATACCTAGACCAACTAGTAAGAATTGATTCCTGCAACTACAGAAGCCAAAATTTGGGTGCAGGCCAATCCATTCTTTTTGGGAAGCACTCAAAACAAAGCAAAGAAGAAGTGAAAAATCATGCTATGTTCTGAACAGATGTTGAGTTGAAAAAAAAATACACTGTTCCTCTATTACACATGCACTGCCATCCTTGCTGTCTCAAGGAAAAGCAACAAAAGCATCCACAAGCCAGCAAAACATCCCCCACAAAAAAATTGAAACAAGTGGAGGGCTGAATCCCCATCTTCCAACTATCATGGTGTTTCTATCTGCAGTCTACTATGAGTACTAGTATCAATTCTACATATACTACACTACTAGTAGTAGCAGTGCTACTACCGGTAGTATTGAGAAGCCCAACAAGTACTAGCAGTAATACTATCATTACTACTAGTAGGAAAACACACATTCCTTAAAATCATGATGAGATAATACTTTGACGCATCAAGAAAAAACATGCATATGAATTCATCCCCAGATTGAATGAATTTAGAAGTTGAGTGACAGATTTGAGGTAGCACATTGCCAATTGTGTGGAATTCTCTTGTCATAGACCTAGGTCTTAGTTGAAAAGGCTTCTAAGCTGTCTGCAAACAAATTTGCATTTCCCCCCTCTTCTTCTTCTACTACTACTAGTACAAGTGAAGTTGTCAGAATTTGCTGTTTGAGACATGACAAGCTGATAGACACTGATTTCAGATCCAAATGCTTCAGAGTTACTAGATCTAATAGAGGCATGCTCTCCACCATGTCTTTGGAATGTGCAAACTTAGAGAGGAATTTACAATTGAGATTGTTCTAGTCCTTTGAAAGGCTGACCAGAATTACCACTCAGAATCAAAATGGTGGTTGCCATCATTTTGTTTAAGCATTGCCCTGAGAGTTACAGAAAATTTCAGTATTTCTGGGCTACATTTTCCCATCTTAATATTGTGTGAAAACAAAAAAATAGCCAATGAATTACCAAAATTTTCTGTAACATTCTATCTACCAGTATGGTGCCAATTTTTAGTCAAGAAAATAGCTATTAGTGTTTTGAATGCATTTTCTTAGCAGCCAACTATTCTGGCTTTCATATGTGCTCCACCACAAGCCAAAGCATTCATTTACAGCAAAAAGAGGGCCTAAAATCACTCTCACAACAGTCAGTATATGTTGGTCACCAACTACTAAATAAGCAAATGATTGTTAGAAAGAGAATTAAGAGACAAATTTCATCATGTGGGAGGATAAGGAGGATGTAGCATTGTACAATAAAGCAGCAAGATATGGTCTACTATCTTGAGTTTTTAGTCACTAATGCTAGAATATCAAGCAGTTCCACTTGCTCTGTGACACTGTAACTTGTTCTTGTATTACCAGCTAGTATCTCTGTTCCCAAAAGAACATTGTTCTTGCTAAACTTAACTACTATGTCGAATTCTTTGTCTTGTTGTGTTTGGTGCTCCTCTTCCTCTTCTTCTACTACTACCTACTGTATCTCCCCCAAAATACTACTGGGGGGAGGAGCCAAGAAACAACAGTCCAGGCAGGAACAAAGAAGCACCTCTGATGGAAAGAGAAGAGAAAGATTCCCAAACAACTCAAGGAGATCAATACTTCTCAACTCCCTTCTCCTAAGGATAAGGTAACAACTACTAGTAGTACATACTATTAGGCTTTATTAGTAAGAGAAGAACTACTACTACTACTAGCAGCTTGCATATGATGTGAAAACCAAGTGCTCCTCAGGATCTCATATGATGTGGAAATCCAAGTGCTCCTCAGGCTAGCTGGGATAAGAACACCACATTTTCCCCAGGAACCAAAATCTAGTAGTTGCATTCATCATTCATCACACATTCCATCATCAACAGCTTTTGATTTGTACTGCTAGTAGTTATGGTGACAATGATCCTTCAGTTGCAACTCTGTGCCAAATGTAGCGAAGGACTGAATTGGAAACAAAAATCACTTTGCTTTTTATTTTTTCTTCCATTTTTTAGAAAGCGTATCTTGAAACATAGTATCTCAAACAACTTTTACCATAGAATTGAATATGCATGCATTCATTTCATTTTCATTGTGTTGTTACTACTACTTCCAATTGCACAATACTAAAAAATAGGAATATCACACAATTGAATCTGCTCTTTCTTCAATACTACTGTCCCTTCAATCTTACTAATCATACTTTCCACCAGGCTGGAAAAAGTAGTCTACCACCAGGGTTCAGAGCTCAGTTGGTTCTTTTTTCATTACACAGCAACATATCTTTCCTTGATGTATAGCAGCATGGGCTATGCATTTCCGGATGTGCCAATCATACATTTTAAATTTAGATATACAGCCCTGAATAGCTTTCAATAACCAATAACCCCCTATCCCCCTAGATGACTAAATTTGTCTTTTTACTGGGATTTGATTCATGTGCCTATCATACTTCTTAAGCATCCGTTGGGGTGAGTTGACGCTTAGTTAATGTTCTGCATGTTTTTCTACTGTGCATTGATTTTGGGCTATCTGTAAACCTTCCAATGACTCTTGGCTTAGTTAATCTGCTGTGCATTTATTTTGGGCTATCTTTAAACCTTGCAATTACTCTTGGGATTAAAAATTCACACTTGTACTACTAGTACAGCAATTGCACATGTTGAAGCAAAAATGAGCAGTACTAGGAGCACACTTACTCCTCATCATTGACTACACAACTCCATAATAAAAGAAATTATGATACATAATTTGCATTGTACAAGAAGAATGTAGTACCACTGTTGTGCAACATAGCACAACAAAAACAAGGTCCAGTAAAATAATAATTTTAGATTATGCCACTACTAGTACTACAACTACTTTGTGGTGTACTGTTGGTGCAGCTTCTACTAGCTAAGAGCTATATGGATACAAATTCTGGTCCACTTCCTACTCAAGAACAACAAAGGATAACAGTAGAGAAAATCCTCTCACAAGGAGGGATATGTAAGAGGTTACTACTACTACTCAGTGAACTCCTCCTCTGCAAACATTGTAACCATGATTAATTGGTTCAATGACACATACTAGTACTAGTGAGTCAACATCTCCTAGTATTGTACTAAAAATATGCAGGGCTAGTAGTAGTAAAAAGAGTGACCACCAACAAGGAGACCAAGAAATGTGGTAGTACTAGTGGTATCACCAGCACTACTAGTAGTACTAGTACTAGACATTCCAAACTTCCTCTAGTATGTCTTGATCCACATATAGGAGATAGCCAGATATAGCTGATGTGTGTTGAGCCAAACTGATTCCTGTTATGACAAAAACATAGGAGTCTAAATCTAGATTCTACACTCAGAGTATTGACTGTACCAGTTAATTGGTAATAGAATGCATTAACCGCAAAAAACCTACTGAACCCTAGTACTTGCAGAAAAATAACTTTATTCCAGGCAGAAAAATCATTACTAGTAAAATTACAGTTAATTTTGAAGCCCAGTATTTAGTACTGATCCTACACAGATCTACTGGTATTGGGTCACACTTTCAACCCCAAATAGTTCAATCAGCTTACCACAACAGCTCCGGAAATGCCTCTAATGATATCCCCTTTCTCAGGGATATGCTCAGTCATAGTGTTAAGAAGAGTGCTGTGTGTCATTGTTACACAATTAGAGCCCAGCAGGGGTGAGTCAGTTCTCATTAACAGCTGGAATGGTCAAAATTGGCCAGTTTTGAGACCAGCTGCTGGTTAGAAAATAGGCCAGAACTCTATCCAAAAACAACCTTAGACTACCAGACTAGGCGCCCAGACCAAGTTGATACAATTACTTAGAGATCCAGGTCATTGGGAAGCCGAAGGATGCTCCCTCGGCTTAGAACTACTAGTCTGCCAAAGTCATAAAAGTGGATGGCCAATTTTTGCATTAATTCTAGGTGAAATCATGGAATAGTTTTTTGTTGACTGGAATTGTTGATGGAAAAGGGAGTCTGAGGGGGTGAAAACACTAAAAATCTGGTAACAACAAGGCGCGTGAATAAAAATTGTTTTATTTTTCACAAACCATGAAAATACACTCTACTACTAGTGCCATCAACACGACAAACCAAAGTTTGCATTGATAATGGTAGTAGTACCGGGCACCTCTTTTGGACAAGAATGGCCAATACAAGAAAGTTCTCCATACTGAAGAAAATTACAGCCTCAAAAATGTGTCACTCTTAGCTATCATGTGCAAGTAGTGGTGTATCATAATGACCAGTAGAACCCACCAACTGATGGTATTTTCATATTGCTGATAAGAAAAAATAAGTTTGTTTGAAGGCTTCTTATTCCTTCATTCTTGCTACTACTGGTACAACATAGTAGTACAAGGCAAAACACATTTTACAGGTGTTAAGCAACATCAACATAATAAAAAAAGAAGCAGTCAAATTGGCCAAATATTGAGCTTAATCCAACTAAAGATGTGCGAAGTGTACTATTAGTATATCTGGACGGAGGTAGTAATTTTATTACCGATTTACTGGTACCTGGTACCTTGCTATTTCCAGCAGAGGAATCTGAGCAACAAAAAATCTCAATTGGACAGTCTGTCCGTGTGTCGATTTATTGCTAGACCTTCGAAACAAAAACGATCACAAAACTTCCGACATCTTTCCCCAAGCATTTTTCTTCCTTCTAAAGAAAATCCGTTATTGGCTAGCAATTTGCTCCTGACGATGAAGTTCGACTGCATCCTGGCGTGAAAGCTACCCTTTTCTTTTCAATGAGTAGCCACCAACCCCAAGCAATCCATCCGTCATACTTAAACGTGATCGTATCTCACCGAGATCAACCAACCGTTTTGGGTGGTGCTCAGAAAATATTTTTGACAAGATCAACATCGAAGTGACGCATGATGGGCTTTCAACGCTTGACAGGGACAGTAACGAGAACACTGGTTGCAATTATGGGTATTGTTTATGGAGCATGGCGAAGAAAAATAAATGCGTTTCATCCCAACCAATCATCAAGAGTGGTGGCTGGAGTTGGATACATTGCTCGCCACGGTCAAATGCTGTTGCGTTGCGAGAAAACAAGAACGGAGAGTAGCTCGGTACAAACTTTGCTGAATCCAATCAGTAAACGACGAATACATCTGGGAGGTACGATACGACACACAAAACAAACAAAAATTTACATCTTGCATCTTCAATCTCTCGAAGTCTTCAGTATATAAATCAATCACTCAACTTCTCGTTTTCCTCAGGACCGAAATATAGAGAGCTAATGGGTGAAGGCGGATGGGTCCAGCACCGAGGGACGTTGGAGCGTATCGATTTGGAAATGTTAAGCCGATACCAACAGAATAGCTTGTCTGGAGATGATGTGACAATACCTGCTTTCACCGAAGAGAGTAATACCGATGACAACTGGTATAGTATTACACCAACTATTTTGCGATGGGAAGAAACATTTTCCGCTCAAGTAGGCAATACTTCTGGTGCGCAAAAAGCCTTAGAAAAAAAACTTGAAAACATCCATCGAGAATTACTCTTTGTCAACAAGCCTTCGGGGCTCCTTAGCGTTCCGAGTCGATCTCTGAACGACTGCCTCGCAACAAAGCTTCAGTCGTCGTACCCAGGTTCCAAACCATGCCATCGATTAGACCGAGACACATCAGGAATAGTCTTATTTGGATTAACATATGATGCGCACCGCGACATATCGATGCAGTTTGCGGCTCGAACGACTTCAAAAACGTATGTTGCACTTGTTGCTGGTCGTCCAGAGAAAGATCATGGAACCGTGAACTTGCCGATAGGAAAGACAAGGACTGAAGGAGGTTTCAACCGTTGGACGATCGGGGGTTATAAACCAAGGGATTCTGTCACCGAGTGGAGCATTGACAAAGTTTTCAACGACGCCACAACGGGTGCGGTGTTTACGAGAGTGAGATTGAAACCAATAACAGGGAGAGGCCATCAATTGAGATTGCATATGAAAGCGATTGGTTGCCCTATCCTAGGGGACACAATTCACGGCGAAGGCAGCATAGCTATGTGCTCATCTAGATTATGTTTGCATGCACAAACTCTGGAGGTTGATTGGGATGGTTTAAGGCTGAAAGCGGAGAGCGTGCCTCCGTTCTGATAAACCAGAAGAATAATAATAAAATACGCCGCTGCTTTTGATGTAGAAAATACATCCACGGCGTGAGCCCTGAGAAGTTGTAGTACACGAAAATACGAGTAACTCGTCGTTCGATATAGAAATTTAAACTACAGTGGAAATGAAGACACTGATGGACTGTAGAGAGCCTTTGTCTACATTATTAAAGTTGGGACCTATCCATCCGGCGTGCTTCTTTCACGAAAATGGAAAAATCTATTGTGACGTCATCCGTCATTTTGGTATTCGTAGATTCATTAAACGTGACGATATTACTTTATGGCGTAAAAACCAATATAATATTCAAAAGAGGCACGCAATAACAATTCCTTGCTGACTTACTCTAGAATGCAACTCCTGGATTGAGTTAATGTATACCTATGCATGGCCAGGGCAAAAATATTTGCATGCTAGGGTGTCTGATAACCATTGACATTTGAAGAATCCAAGTTTAATCCGTTGGCTTTCAAATCTTCCTGGCACATACTTTCCAGCTTTGGAATAATAAGTTTTTCTTCTTCTGGTGAAAGTAGATCAAATCTGATCATATCTTCTTCGTCCTTCGCATGTCGTCCGACCAAAGTATCTGAAAGATTATGGTAAAACACAAGGGAAAAGAATTATGGTGATGAGGCGCATGGTAAGCAACAGAAATGCTTAAAAATAGAAGCAGCCTTTATGTGGCTCCTATTCGAGATGAAAAATAGTCTTAGACTATCAAGGGACGAACTCACATGGTTGGAGCGGCTTGACGAGAAAGTATGATTTGCCGGAATCTTTAAAGGTGTAACCGAGCAATTTTAGAGCTGCATTTTCTGTATCCGGTATAAATTCATTCGCTTCCTTCACCTCTCCTGCTTTTACGTCATTCTCTATGCCCTTCATGAGCTCATCTAAACCCTTTGTACCCCCTTCGAAGGTCCCGTCAGCCCCAGGGACGCTGAAAAATTCCTCCAATTCTTTGAGCTCCTCTTCCAACGTGTAATCGTCGCCATCGCAATTCATTGTTTTTTCGAACTCTTCTTCACCCAATTCATCTTTCATAAATTTGAAAAACGAATCAAGTTCGTCATTGACTTCCTCTTTATTCTTTTCTTTCGACATTTCAAGTAGATCTTCTACTTCGAATGGTTTTGTGATGACTCTATTCTGCCAATCCTTGGTAACTTTATCCAAACCACCAGAGATCGTTAGAACCTTAGGTGTCTTTCGTAACTGAAATTGCTCTCCCAGTTGTTCCTGTACCTGGCCGGCAAAAATTTCCATCAATTCTGCATATTCTTCATTGTGCTCATAGTCGTCGGGACTAATATTCTTAGTTTCGGTTACTTTATTTTTCTCTGATTGTTTCTTCTTTTCGCTGTCTTCCTGGATGACAATAGCAACGACGTCATCGAAAGGAATGCCGATGCCATATGATTGCCCCTCCAAATCGACCATAAAGGTTAGTTTACAGTCTATATATTCCGTACCTCTAAAAAAAGGGATGCGAATTTCTTTCCATCGGGGATCACCAGTTTCCAGAGAAACTTCAAGAAGGTTCTTACTCGTTCCCAGCAGTGCCGATAAATCGTTCTCGTTGTTATCTTCTTCTGAGGGAACGATGACCTCGGTGCTTTCTTCCTCCATCTCTGGTGGAGATCTCTCAAATTCTACATCAACGAAATCGCCTTCGGATGCAAAGGAGATGATTCGCTTTCGCCGACCAACTGATGCAGGTAACTTCGAATGCAATAACGAAGGGCGAAGATTGTTGTCCTTTTGTATGCATCTTGTAAATGTCCTGTCCGATGTCCATGGGTGTGCCGCAGGCAAGAGCAGTATCCAGCAATAGCGCCAGGATCGAATTAATTGCTGCATTCTTTGAGTATTTTATGTTTTATGATAGGACGAGGGTGCTCACCTACTGTAATGCATGCTTTTCTTTTATGTTTTCATTCAGAAAACTTTTTTTTTTGATGGGTGATGTGTACAAGAATAGTGATTGGTGAATGAGATCAGATTTGCGTGTTGATGATTCTTACAGGAACGTATGTACGGTATTACTGTAAATTACTAGTATTCATTCGTGACACGGATTACGTACAGACAGTCATACGGAATAAGAATGTTAGAAATGAACTCAAAACAACAAGGAATCTATCCTCTATTGATTTGTTACAGCTGGACCGAGCAGCATGTGGTGGCCTCCAAGAGCTTTGCGAGGTGCAATAGCTCTGAGGATGTAAGATACTCTCTTGCCTAAAACTTAGACCTTGTCAGTCCTAGTACCTAGTATTAAAAGTACTAGTACTACTACTACTACTAAAAGTACTAGTAGTAGTAGAACTACTACTACTAGTAGTACTACTACTACTAGTTATACCACTACTACTAGTAGTAGTACAGCACCAGAATCTTCTTCTTGTTGTCAGCCTCTCCTTTTTTATTCCAACCCCAAGCACTTCTTCATACTACTAGTACTAGTACTCTAGTAGTAGTACTAGAAGCAATATTAGTAGTAAAACTTACTCCTCATTCTGGCAAGAAAAAAGACAAACAGAAATGTTATCACACCAACAAGAAGGACACTTCTACTAAGTTTGTCTGCTACTAGTAGTCAGCACAAGAAGGACACTTCACAAGTTCTGTTAGACACAATTGCCCAAGGTTGTTGTTGCAGTAGCGCCAACATTCAGTGTAGCTGGACAACACTGAACAGCAGGGACTATTGTTCTATCGCTGAATTGAGACAATACACAATCATCTAGTTCAGCTTCCTGCTGTTGAACTTTACTTCATTTACAATCTGTTGGTTGTTGATTTCTCATTTGATGTGGCAACAAACACCAGCTGTTTGGAGAAGACAATGTGAATATATTGTAGCTGGGTTCTTCTTTTAATACTAGCTGCTGTGCCTCCTCCTCCACCAAGTTTTGTTCTGTTCTGTTCTGTTCCTACCAAAGTGGAATTGTCTTCTAATCTCATTGTTACTAGCTATCACCTACACTCTATTAATGTGATTGATATCACCATCAATCTCATATGCAGCAGGAGGCTGCCTGAAATTCAGTTGAATATAATCAGAAACAATGTCCCTGCTGTTGTATCAAAATAGCTACAATGCCAATCAACCATGAGTAGGATTATCATCCACATCAGGGTGCTTGTGTCAATAGACTTTCTTTGTAAAGAACTTGTAGATTCAATCTGGTGTTAGATGACTCAGCAGCTAAAAAAGCGGCAAAAAGGGTATCCTTGGGATATCTCTGAGCCACATTTGGTCCTAAATGATCATCCTCCCCATAGCTTTGTCTTGGTAATCCAAAAGTTCAAGAAGAATTGAGTGGTATCAATGGTGCCACTCTCCTGGTTCTTTATTCATATCTCTTGAAGGGCAGTGTCACAGATCTGCCCCTCCATTTGTTATCCATTGGTGGGTATCTTGTACATGGTGTTGTTCTTGGCATTTGCCTGCTGCTTGTTTGCCTTGGTGGTAGCCCAACAACTTCTTTGTAACCTTTTTGCTTCTTGCACTTTGCAGGTGGTTTAGTCCTTGATATTGTGAGCTAGTACTATTTTATGAGGAGCAGGGATTAGAACCACACCATAATAGAGATGAGTTTTTTTAAATATTTTCATTCTTTGGAGTCAATGTCATAAAATGGGGAGTTGTCACACGACTCTACCAAAACTCATAGGTTCACACACCTTTGAACAACAAATTGTCATTGCACATACAACTATAACGTTTAAACACACACCAACATCCATTGCATGACACAAACAAAACATTCATTTCAACACACTTGCTATTGTCGATGTCCAACACTCATCAAACCACTTTTTTGTAATTAAAATCTTCAGACAACAAGACACACATTCTTGTTTTCCAGAACACATTCGGCATAAACAATCACGCTCCAAATTTTTAACTCCCACTCTCGCATTACAAATAAATCCCAGACTTGCGCAGTTGCACACGTCACCTATAATTTTATTCCCACAATAAAGACTTTCTCACTTTAAAAACCAACACACGTTGCCGTAAAAATCCCCTCCGACAACAACATTTAAAGCTTCTCATGAAAACCTTTTCTACTACTAGCACACAATTTATATCACTATTAGATAGTCACTCCCACAGTTGGAGTAGTTGTGGGTACAGTAGCTTACACTATCTGCCATTGCATCCTTTGGTAAAGTCCCACCAGTTAAGACCAGACATAAAAGAGTTGTATTAGTTAATGCAGAGATGTAATCAGCAGTAGATTTCCAGTAAAACGAAAATTATTTTAAGAAAATCAGCACTTCCTCCAGTCCACCACCACCATGTGTTTCATTGTAACCTGTTTTTGTTGGTCCTGTATATGTGACTGCACTTTTCCTTATTGCTTTTGGCAGCTGGATTCCACAAATGACTGTATAGAACATGGTGAATCAGTGGTACTACTACTAGAGACTAAACATGTGTATGGTGCGGGTGAAGAATAAAAATTATTTCATTTATACACATGAAAATCCACTCTATTAACAAAGGGAACTAAAGTTTGCATTGACAATTTAAACAGGCACCTCTTTTGAACAAGTATGACCCATGCAAGAAAGTTCTGCATACTGGTGATGACAATTACAGCCAAACAAATCCATCACGCTTACTAGTAGTAGTAGCTATCACCATGTGCAAGCAGTAGTAGTAGCAGCAAATCAAAATGATGACTGTTACTAGAACTCAACTGACAGTCTTATCATATTGATCTAAAAAATAGGCCCCTTTAAAGGTTTATTCTTTTATTACTGCTGGTATGACATTAAAAGGCATATCACATTCAAATAGGATTAATCAAGATCAATAGTAATAATTAAAAAAAAACATTCAAATTGCCTTAATATTGAGGTTATTTCGATAGTGAACGTGCTATGATGACACATATAGTGGACCGGAGGAAGTAGATTTCAAGTAACACGAAGTAGGAAAAACGGTACTAGTAAGAAAAGCAAACAGTAGATTTCCATTATGGTTTCGGTACAAATTCTGAAGTCTCACATCTCGTCAAAAATAATACGATGAATAATGAAAAATGGGAACCTCTAAAACAGTGCAATGGCAGTGAACATGAAAATGCTAGCTCCAAAGATTCTTTGTCACTGGGGGATCGGAAACGACAACAGAAAGAAAGGCTAAGGAGCTCGTCATTTAGCGATTCCCTGGACGATATAAGTTCCGATGAGGACAAAGAAGATCACCGATGTCGTCGCCTACGACGATTGGGTCGCTCATCCCCCGCTAACAGCAACGAAACCAGAGCCGTTGCCGTCACAAGAGAAGTTCAGATTCCAGATCAAATCCGCGTAAGCCGCTCACTCCGCGTCCCCGAATTTGGGCCCAAAATTCTTTTCTTTTCGGGAGGAACTGCGATCAAAGAGCTGAGTGCCTGCCTTACCAACTACACACACAATAGCATACATTTGATCACACCGTTCGATTCGGGCGGGTCGTCAGCGGAAATCCGGCGGGGCTTCAACATGCTATCGGTCGGAGACATTCGAAATAGATTACTTGCATTATCTGATAGGAATGAGTCGACTACGAGAAACAATCCGCAAGTCATAGAGCTTTTTGCCCACAGACTGGTCAAAACGGAAGGTCTAGAAGCTGCTGAGAATGAATATTTGTCGATTTTGGATGGAAAGCATCCCCTGATTCGGGCTGTTGAGTTGCCAATGCGAAGCATATTGCAGAACCATTTGCGCTGGTTCAGCGATCGGATGCCCAACGATTTTGATCTACAGGGTGCTTCGATTGGAAATCTCATAATTACAGGATGTTTTCTCGAACACAATCGGGATATTGTCACAGCTATATTCATTGTTACGAAATTTTTGGGTGTGAAAGGGTTTTGTCGTCCGCTCACCGCAGCGAATCTGCACATACGGACGTTGTATGCCGACGGCAGGGAAGTAGTTGGACAGCATCTGATGAACCAAGCGCCCAAATCACCATCTACGATGACGAAGTCAGAGAAACAGCTTTCTTCTAATGACTCCTTGAGTAATAAAATCATGCGGATCGACCTGGTCCAAGAATTAAACCCCAGATCCGGTGCTGGTCGCCAAGAATCCCAATCGTGCCACATCGATATTCTATCTTCTGATTTCGTCTCTTCCGCAGCGGATCTTATTTGTTTTCCAATGGGTTCCTTCTTTGGTAGTATAATTGTTAATTTACTTCCCGTTGGTGTTGGCAAGGCAATCACCGAACGGCGATGTCCGAAGGTTTACATACCAAACACTGGGTTCGATCCCGAGATGAATGGTTGGACCCTTGTCGAGTGTGTTTCTTTGATTATTAACATGGTCCGTGCAGATCTACGTCACAATTACAACGAAAAAGGCGAACCCGAGAACGTTGTTATTCCTGTCGACGACATTTTGAATTTTGTTTTGCTAGATACCACAAACTGCGAATATTCTGTACCGGTCGACAAGGTGGCAATCGAAAAACTTGGAGTGACTGTGATCGATGTGACCTTGGTGGAAGACAACAAGTGCAATCGCGTTGACAATGCTAAAAGTCACTCAAATGGCAAAAGCAAGATTCTGAATCCTGTAAAGGTTTCGGAAGTATTAATATCACTTTCAAGTTAATTCTTACATAACTATGAAAGTGGTTGTCATTCTAACCGCATGTACCATCAGCAAATTCTAAAAAGATGTTTCCATATTCCAAGAACCATTCTGTGTATTTTATTCTTTGCAAGGAAACTCTGCTACTGAGCTCACCCATCCATGACTTTACTCACCGTTGTCCAAAATAAACTCCATCTACTAGTACTACTACTATTACTCACTATTCATACCGTGCCTAAAAAGGAAGAAGGGATCTAAAAAAGAGGAAGAAGAGGACGCCTCCCCTGCTAATATTCAGACTGTGAAGCAAAGCATTCAGGACGTTAAATTGAAGCAAAAAATACAGTACTCATTTCTGGGCAGCCTATGCTGGTAACATTCGGAATGTTTAAATTAAAGTTCCCAATGCCTCAATTAACGAAAGTTCAATTGTTATTTTAGGCGTAGTAAGCGAACGAGTACCAGTACGAGCACTTTTCACGGGACGAAAAGAAGAAAAGAATGTTTGTCGTTCATTACTGCATTCGGAGTGAGTGAGTCGTGCCTTCCTTTTTGTCCCACGAAACCGTCACTTTTCTACCGGAATAGCTCGTTCGTACTTTAATTTACAATAACCTTTCCGTACGACCGTACTGGTACGAGTACCCGATACAGCAATTAATTTTGTTGGTTTCACTGATAATTTTTTAGAGTACGGTACTTTACGTAGTTCTCTTACTCGTACTCGCTCTCGTAATCGTGGTCGGTCACATCGTTCACAATTCGTCTTCGGAAATAGAGGAACATAGCACCGCTAGCAAGATGTTTTCCTGGTCCAACAATAATAGCACATCTACATCCAAGGTCGGTTCGACCTATCCAGGACGAAGACTACAGCAAAACCGAGCTTCTGCTTCTGCAGCAACCCCCATTCAAGGCTCAATACGACCCCCAACGCACACTCGTGCGCAACATTTGAAGAGTTACCTCGAGGACCCGACTCTCCAACGGTCGACGCGGCGCGTATCTTCTGGTACGGATTCAACGCGTTGGATGATTTATTCGACTAAATTTGAAAACGACAGTTTTTATTGCAACCAAAAAAAACATCATCATGATATGTATCGCTGTTTCTGACAGAAACTACTTTTTTGTCTCGTTCTGTTGTTCATTTTGATTTTATACCTATCGAAGACGATACTACATTTGACACAGTCTTTCAGACGACGAAGGGCGATACACTGATATTGCGAGTGAATATTCCTTTGGGCAGCAGCTTCGCTGCATTTTGCCCCACGATGACATTGGCTGGAGTAAAAGTTCGCCATCCCTGGGTTTCCGAGTCATCGTCGATGATGAGAGTAACAGGTTACCCACCTATTCAATCCGAACAAGCCTGGAAGAATTCGAACATGCTATTGGGAGCGGCGGTTCACGAGGTTGTGAAAAATTTCCAATTAAATGCTCCGCAAGTGTTGGATATCACAGATAATGGATTGCGCTCGATTCAGACGAAAAAGACGGCAGGAACGAGAACACCGACGCAGACCCCACCACGCAGCAACAATGGGATGTACAACAGCACCAGCAGCACAAGAAGTTCTCACGACGATGCCCCTCCCAGTTACAATGTGGTGGCGGAAGCAGAATCCACCCCGGCACCAGAAATTCCCATGCCACCAATACCATCAACATACGACGAAGTCGACAATGCATCACGCGAAGAATTGGACGAAATATTACAGGACGACCTCGAATTCAAAGCCTTTGTTCATAGACTAAAGATTTCTGACGAAATATTTACCATAGGGTCCAGTCGGCTCGACGAAAATGTTCTGTTGGCAAACGAAAATTTGGAGCAAGAGGCCAAGTTGAAAACCCTACAGAGCGAAGTGAACGAACTTCACAGCACGCTGAAATCAAAATTAGATGCCTTTTCGAAACTAGAAAAGGAACAGGACGTAATCTGTGCTCCCCCCGATTTGAAATCAACCATCAAAAAACTTCAGAAGGCAAAGAAGGAAGCCTTTGAAGAATCTGAAGAATTGGCCGAAGAATGGGTTGACGACGGCGTGGGTACCGTGGACGATTTTTGCAAGCGATTTTTAGAACAGCGGAAGGTCCATCATATGCGTGCTGCCAAAATGGAAATTTTGAATAATCAAGAACGATGACAATAGGAAATTGTTACCAGGGACATCTTTGGAGGGTGTATTGCTATTGCATATCGCGTTGTATTGTGGAAGTGCATCATGTTTTGCATAGTGAAGTATCTTCTTTCGGAGTCATTCAAAGCAACATGGAGCGCAGCTTAGAGAGGGTTTTATAATCACTTTTTGTCATTTCTGAAACCGGTGTTGCATCGGCGGATGTTCGTGGCATCACCTGCGTTTCGAACATAGGACAACATCAGAATGCGTTCCATGATGTGATGCAGTTAGGTACCCATAAACGAAGTCATCATATCCCTATGTTGATGATGTATTTGAAAGGTGCATTTACTTTTCCCTTGGATAGTCAAATATTGTCAAAGAATCAAGATTTCTCACCTATCCATCCTCACCTCGATCTGGAGGAGAAAGAACCCTTTCGACTCAGTAAGATAGTCTTGTGAAATACTTTAGAAAATTTCTCAAAGGATAAAAAAATTCGAGTAACCGGGATTTCAGTGGAGTAAAAATTGGGGAAATGTGTTACCATTGAGCCCTAACTTTGATAGTTTGAAGCTCCTAGAGAAGCTAATTCCCCTGACCTCAACAACAACTAGTATGCATTTAGTCTGAGGACTGGAATTGTTTTAATGACACCTTTTCTTCGTGGCTATCTTGTTCATTTGGTTGGTTGGCTTCCTAGCATCAGTAATATTTGACTATTTCAGGTGTTAATGGACTGCTAGCTCCTTTCTGTTGAACAAAATTGTAACAACACAAGCACAGGGCCAGCCTCAACACTCTATTTAAACCAGAGCAGCAGTTCCCAATAGCAGGGTAGCTTCCAAGGGGCAATTTCCACCCAGCTGTTGTAGTCAATAAATTGTTTCCATAGGTTTGTTATTAGAAGGAAGACACGAGAAATCAATCGAAAGCTGGATTTAGTGTAAAAAAACTACAACAGCAACATGTACATTCAAGAGAGGATCATCTACATTAGTAGTAGTAGAACTAAGATCATATAACTAGCACTGCTTCTATTTTAATGCTCTTGTTGTGTTTGGATCCCAGCAAGCATCCAGCCCTCCTCTATTCAAGTCTGATTGCTAGTACTATTGTTCTTGCTAATATTTTGAATAGAGACAGGAAATAAAAAAAGTTTGAGCAAGGATTGCCCCCCCCCCTACCTCTGAAAACAAGAAAGCAGCTACTGTATCTACTACTTCTTGTTCTGTTGAGGATTTATACATGAAAATAAAGATGTCTGTTGATAACCTTCTACTATCAAGCCCTCAAGTTCTCCTTACTGCTACTGGTGAACAAGCAATGAAGAAGAAGAAGGCAATTGATTTTGAAAAGCAGGAAGAAGCCCACATTTTGGCTAGTAGCATTCAGATGAGAGGAGATTGCATGGTCTTGAACAAGAAGCTCCTCCTCCTCCTGAAAAACTCTTAATCTTCAATGTGGTGGCTAGTACTGCTCCTGGTGCTGGTGAGATACTACTACTAGTAGTAGTACTAGTAGTAAGGACAAAGCACCAAAGATTTGCAAGGCAACTGTGTGAAGAAGGTCAAGCACAACAAGAAATGATTGAAGTCAATAAGAATAAGAATAAGAATAACAACAACAAGAAGAAGAAGTATCCAGCAACAGGGGTAATGAGGAGTTCTTTTGTTGCTTCCGGTTGTTAACAACAAGAACAAGAATACTACTACTACTACTACTACTAGTGGCAACTGTTTTTTTCTGAAATGAATTCAGCAAACCAACATAGATTGTTCAAGAGAAATCAACTCATATGCAACTCCTACTACTAGTACTACTAGTATGCTGCTACTACTAGTTGCACTAGTATTAAACCACTAGTAGTACTACATCACATAGTACTAGTACTACTACTAGCTAGTACTGTACTCCTGGTTGTTCTTGTATTATCTTTTACGTACTGGTAGGGTAGGTATGTACCTCTATTTGAAACACCTCATGTTTGCGTCGGAATCCGGAATCCGATCTGTTTCCTACGGTACCCCTCGTCAACGTGCCCTCAGTGGAACATTCGGATCCGAAGAGCAAAGTTGAATACCGAAATCTTAGCATTTTTGTTGAGGAACATCGGGTCGGATCAACAAAACGTACCGGTACGTCGGACAAAACAGGATATCCACGGAACCGAACAAGAGCAAACCACTGGCCGACATGCCGTTGATTCAACTCAATCTGAAAAATCAAGGGGACGACGAAGACTCGTCCGATCGACCCGCGGCCGCGGAACCGGCAGCTGAGGCACCGACATCGAAGGGTTCGTCGTCCCTTCCTCGCTTGGATCGTCTCATGCAGGGCGAATTTTCGGTAGAAGCCTCCGATCTCGTACGATTGATTTTGGGGTTCCTGACGTCGCAGGGACTTCACGAATCGGCGAGGGTCCTCCGAAAGGAATCCGGTGTCGGATTCACGAACGGAATGATCCGGAAAGAGGCCGTCGCCGCGGCTATTCGACAGGGAGACTGGGGTTCTGTGATGCGTTCGACGGTGTTATTGGCAGAAGACAATCGTCACGACAACTTCTACAGCGTTGAAGAGAACGGGGATGTTCGCAAAAAGGGGAATAATGACGACGGGGGTTCTGTTTTCGGACGTATTTCGGAGCAAGTCATACTGGAACTGGCGGAAGAAGACAAAAACCTGAATCTGGCCTATAGCTTGCTGAAAGTTCACAGAGATGCGTTGGATAGAATCGCCGAAGATCAGGAAGAAAAAATTGATACAGATGGAGACGACAACACAATAGGGGAGTCCAGAAATGAGAAACGACGGTCGAAATCCTCGAAGTCGGCCAAATCATCATCGAGTCAGCTGACGAAGGCCAGATCCCTCGAACAAAAGCTGGCCGAAATCGCTGCAAATCCAACCAAATTTTCGAACAATGCCACGGAAAGGTTCATCGCACTATATGGTTCTCGGCGTTCCAAGCAAGAACGGCGAGAGGATTTGGCGGAAAGGGTGGAAGACCAAAGGGAAATTCCCCTCAACAGATTGCCGACCTTGATTCAACAAGCGATGAAATGGCAAAGCCACACCGGACAGCTTCCATGGATCAAAGAAGCTTATTATGACGAATATAGCCCTAGTGGAGAGCAATCTGGTGAAAGGAACAAGAAGAGACGAAAACGCAAGCGTTACGATCTGGTGCTGGGAGTAGCCGCCGGGGATTACGAACTGTCGGTGGGAGACACCTGGAGAGGTGGCAAAAATGTTCACGATGAAGACGAAGATGTTCTAGCAGAGATTCCCCAAGATATATTAGCAAAGGTCAAGTTCGGCAAGTCGGCAGTTTGTGAATCGGCTCTCTTCTTTTCCCGCGGACTGATCACGGGTTCCTCCGATTCCATGATCGAGATTTGGGATCCAAAATGTTCGTACAAGGATCTGAATACCACGGATTACCCCTATCAACAAGATCATGTTATGGGTCATTCGGATTCGGCGGTGTTATCCATGGCAGTCTCCAATGACGGTGAAATTTTGGTATCCGGAGACTCCGCCGGAAAAGTGAAGGTGTGGAAGCTTGCAACTGGGAAATGTCTTCGGCAATACCAAGCACACGATACGTCGGTCACGGCTTTGTCTCTATCGAGGGATGCTTCGAGGGTGTTGACAGGTAGTGCCAGCGGAATCTGTCGCGAGTTTGGAATCGTTACGCAGACCGTGTTGCAGGTCTACGAAGGACACGCATCCTATATTCATTCTTGCAACTATGTTTTGAATTGGACTTTCGCAAACGCAAACAAGCCAGATACGGCCACTGCCGAGGGATGGGTTGTAACCTCGTCCGCCGACGGAACGGTTCGGGTTTGGAAAAAGGGTTTGACGATTCGAATACTACAGCCTCCGTCGGACTATGTCAAGGCAGTGGAACAGAAAAACAAATCTTTTTCGTTGGTGGTCGACCCAACCCTCGTCAGGACAGAATGCCCTGCAATTCACACAGCATTACAAGTTCCTGGCGAGGAGAGTCGCATCCTTTTGGTTCCAAGATCTTCTACAGCATTTCTTGTCAGCATGGAAGGTACTGCGTTGCAATTGTTTCATTCCGAAAGTCCCGAAGCAGTATTTTTGGCTGCCTCAATAACCACTTCTACCGTTTATCTTGCTTCCTCGACGGGAAACTGCTTGGTCTTTTCACTCCTCACGGGGAAACTGTTACAGAGCATTAATGACTTTTCTTTGGATAGTACATCGAAAACAAATACTGATCGCCGAGTGGCAGAAATATCAGCATTGATACATCACCCATTCAAACCTGTTATGGCCGCATTTTCGAACGACAAGACACAGAAGAAAGGACAACTGACGATATGGAAATAAACGATGCGATCAACGACAAGACACAGAAGAAAGGACAGCTGAAGATAAAGAAATAAACGAAGCGATCAATTGCAGCTACATGGATGGGCTGCGAGGAAACTCAGGAATGAAACAGTTCAGTATCTCAAGTGTCGATATGCTAGTGAGAGCACCCGAGTGCAGTACATGATTTGACTACTCGATCGGTTGCGCATAGACGAACCGGAGCGACAGTTATAGAAATCGTAATTCTATATTCCAATTGAAGTTTCGTTTCTCCACAGACAATACAAAGTTTTCTAATAGAAGTTTCCTACTAAACCTTGGTCATCTTCAAAATTGTTTTTATTGTCAATTCAAAATACGGCGCTTCTCTCGTATCGTCGTCATAAAGCTGTTTTCTGTGCCATATTCTATCTGCAAAATTTGAATCGAATCACTTTTTGGGCTTTACGTCGCTGGTGGTTTTACAATTCCGAATTGTCGCCAGCTGCCGGTTCATCCGTCGTATCTTCGAGGTATGGTTTCAAGAATGGACACACCACACGCAACCCTCCCTTCAAAGTTTCAACAAGGCTAAACCCTTCGTCAGGAAGACCTCTTTGGTAATCTTCTGTCGATGGTTGTCCGGCATGAAAACCGATGCCTTTCGACAAGGGAATGTAGTGGGTACATTCTGCTCCCTCTACACTGCATCGGGAAACGACCACGGACATGTTACCAGGCTCTCCTCTTTCTGCTGCCAATTGTCTCATCTCCGGGATAATCTAAACAATGTGCACAAAAAAATGTTAGAAATTCAATCTCCGTAGAAAATACATCTCAGGATTTTTTTCCGACACATACCTTGTACGAAAACACGAGACCCGACAAAAAACCGTTCGAGAACGGAAATTTGATTGCTATTGAATCAACCACCGGTAAATCGATGGATTGGTAGAGAGCTTGCTCGAATAATTCAGAAGCTTTCTTCTCACTTTCCGGTTCGTTTTTGTGAAGCTCCTTCTCTCGCTTGATTTTTGGATTCTTGTTAAAGAGCGGGTCGCAATATTTCTCGACATCGTCGGTTGCTACCACACCGCTCATCCAACGCGTATGAGCACCCCCAACATCTTCTGGATTGTCCAAGTAAATGTGGTAAACTTTGTCTTCAATCATCTTTTTCCTTTCCTGCGCAGAAATTCCTGCAGCTTCGTCTTCCTCTTTCGGAAAGGCCTCCAAAACTTCCGCCATGAGTCTTCTTCCAATACCCATGCTAGTCACATAGTCTCGTGCGAAGTTCTTGTAACAGAATTGCCCACCAGGAAATGGTGTCTCGAAGGGCTCGATCGTAAGAAGGACTCCTGATAACCAGACCGAAAACACGAAGCAGGTAGCGATGATCAGACAAATAATTTTGAATTGGAGCTGTCTTTGAGGCGAATCCTTGCTTTCGCTCATCGTCAATTCATGGTAATTCAACAACATCTTGGAAATGGGTGGAATGAAAATATTGGAATTGGACTTCTTAAAATTGTTGTTTCAACTGTCTTCGTTTTCCAATGAAGAATAATCAAAATTATGACAACGACGAGGATCACGACGACTGTTGTCGATGTTTTTTTTGTGATGATGCCAACGTAAATAAATTGTTGATGGGCTCATACATTTTGTGGATGATTTCTTCAGAAACGATGAAGGATGAACTTCAGTCGACGAAAGAAGAAGTAAGCAGCCACCGTGAGCAGAATTGGAAGAAGTTCCGGCAGACGGACGCAGATTGGTAAATTATTGTAACATTCACCATGCAGCATTCGGCATTACTACTAACATTCACCACTACTCATACGTATCTCGTACGTACACACGATTAAACCAAAAAAATACCCTACGTACCCTACGTTAAATCGAAGAAAAAGTAGACGATGTACCACGGTACCGTAGGGTACGTACTGTACTGTAGATGACTGTAAAACCATACTGGTACTTCTACTGTAGGACGTACTTACAGGAGGTAAGAGTAGTACCTTCTACTGTTCGCACCTGTGAAATTAAAGTTTGCAGTCGTCAATCGTTGTTTTAAAACCCTATCTTTAATGATGAAAGAAAATCAAGTTTTCTCATTACACTAGTAATTGAGTCACGTTTTGAAAACAAGCGGTGAAATCCGAACTATGAGTTACTCGTACCACCGTACGTACCTGTACAACAGTTTTCACGACGCTTGTTGATCTGAGTCATTCTTTTATCTCATGCTGCAAGTGCGATAATCGTGTCGTGGTCGGGGGATGTTCGGTTGTGAGGAAAAGATACAGTACTGTGGTACCAGTACGATTACCTGGTGGTACGTACTACAGGTGCGTAGTTCAAATCTGGTGATAATTCTGAGTTTGCGTCAAAACTCGACATAAATCCGAAACTACACAAGCCGTTATTCCAGTTCCATCAAAAGTGCGAGTAGCTTATCACTAAAGCAGATGGTATAGTGTAGAAGGAGACCAAGCAGTGCTAGTTGTAATCCACTGCCTTCGAAACAAATGGAAATACCGGGATTTTTGTCTCTGTAGGCTCGGAAATCTCGGACATTTTTCGGCGAATGATGCCATCTGCCAGCTGGTGCAGAAGTCACGTTCTACGACTAGGGCAAAAATGGACATGGGTGCAATCGACACACGGTCAATCGACGGGATTATCTGATCGATTACGACTTCAATCAACGCTATCCTCTTCCTCGAGAAACCCTTTTGATGTAATGGGAATCCCACGCAACTCTTGCGCGGATGTAGTGAGGACGACGTTTTTACAGCTGGCTATGCGCTATCACCCCGATACGTCGGGAAAAGATACACGCGAAAAATTTGAGGAAATTAGAGATGCATTTGATAGGATCTCAAAATCCGATGGCAAGGAGAAAAAAAGCAAGACATGGTTGACAGAAGAAGTATTCAATAAGTGGTTCGAAGAGCACACGGGACTTCGCATGGATGCCGCAACGCGAAGGGAAGTCATGATTGCGTACAGAGATGGAGCATGCAGTAACTCTCACTCAAGAACACGCTATCTCCCTCCGGCATGGCAAATTGCTTTCATTCTGGAGGAAGAAGGATTGTTCACAAAAAAACTTTCAGGCGCCGAAAACTCTTTTCAGGACCAAACTTTGCCAGCGTTGGGTTCCCGTCGGAAAAGAGGTTTTTAAGGTACGCAAATTTCAATCTGAAGATTTTCATAAGTGGAGAATCGAAGCAACTGTACGCATTAATATTGTACCTTATCCTCAACTATTACAGTGAATGCTAAGGACGAAAACCCAATAGCACAAAATTTTTGGATTTGGAATTAGTAAAACATGCTGAGCAACTGCAAAGAAGAAAGACTTCAATTGGTGATTCAACGATATGTGCAAGAGATGGAGTGTGGAGTCATTATTTTCAGTCAATCGAAAGGATAAATATATTGAAAAGTGGAATTCAGACTAGAGAAATATGCCCGACCCTGATGTAATCATCTAATAGATCGAATGAACAAACAAATGATTTCGCCCCTATCGTCTTTACTATGAATAGTCCGTCAATAAGTTGGAAAATAAGAATGTAAAAATAGTATAGAACCATATTGATAACACTGAGTAATCTCAAAATGGCTTTACTTTCTACTTCGGCGATTATTGTATCATCGCAACTTTCCCCAATGCACTAGATTGCGTTATTAGGGTGTTAGTTTGTTATCCTTATCACTTTCGTTCTTGATATTAACATTTGCAGCACCTCCTGTAATCACGAGCTCATCCCCATGTACTTTGGTTTTAGCAATGTCTACTGCATCGGCTTCTTTCTCGGCGTCATTGTCACCCAAACTATTATGTGCTATGGGCGGAGATTCTCTTAAAAAAGTATCTACTATATCCGTGACATCACCTGTTGGGACTGCTGAGTCCATAATTGAAGGATTCGACCCATCGTACTCTTTCTGCTCATTTTCTTGCAATGATTCTCGACGTGAACTGCGACTGAAAAGATTCCAAACCGTGTCAGTCGTTGTTCCTTCGCAATCTTCGTTCTCAGAGTTTGTACATGGTGATGAGATCTCATTCTTAAACTGATATTCAAAATTAATCTCGTCAAATTCTTTGTTCGATTTGTACGTATTATTTTCACTTTGCGTCGATGTTTCGTCGACAGCACTCTTCGTACTCGTGGCGAATAGAAAGTCAGAAAAAACTCCTTTTGTTGCTTTTGGTCCCAGACTTCTAACTTTATCTAATTCAAACTGAAGAATTCGAACTTTGGCTTCTTTCTCTTGAACATTCTCTTGAGATTCTCTTGTTTGGATCTCAAGTCTTCGCTCGAGTGCAGCGTTGTGTTGTTTCAAACTCTTGATCTGACGTTTCAAGCTCGATCTATGGGCACTCGAGTCCATCGTAAGATTTAAAGATTCAACTTCCTTTTCAAGGTCTTTCTTATGCGAAATAGCTTCGTCAATCGCTAGGTTTAGCTCCGTCACTTTTTCTCTTGATCTCATCAACTCATTTCTCGCCTCAACCAGCAGTTTCTTGCCCTCTCTCCTTTCTTTCAATAACGTTATGTAGTCAGCTCCTTTATCTCGAGCTCCGAGCTCCCATTTTGCATCTCTGAGCTCATCTTGAAGCTCTAATATGATGCTTTGTTTTTCTTTTTGTCGCAAAGAATTGTTGTACCTTGTCTGTTTCAATTCATCTTCAAGCCGACGGTTTTTCTCTTCCAGTTGACGTAAATGGTCGTTTCCAGTCTCAGCGTTTTTCTTTTCCGCTTCGTTCTCGACTGTATTCCCCACCAGCTCTCTTTCAGTCTGATCAAGATTTAGCTCTCGTAACCTATTGGCAAGCTGTTGGTTCTCTTGAGTAATGTTCATTATCTCGTTTTGCATGAAGGCAATGGTCTCATCTTTTTGTTCCATTTTTTTCATAGATGATTCTTTCGACGTATTCAATTGATTTTCCAACTCATCGAGCTCTCTTTCGCGCTCCCGTACGTCTTCTTTAAGATCCTTGTTGGCTTTCAAAATCGCTTCGATCTCTTGCTTCTGTTTTTTAAAATGACCCTCTTGCTGTACGATTTTTTCACGTAGTTCTGCTATCTCAATCTCCAATTCCAGTTGGCAATCGTCTTCAAACGATTTTGCGCTATCTGTATCTTCAAATATTTGCACACTATCCATACTTCGGATGGTTTCGAGTCGTTTTGAATGGTTTGATATGGCCTCTAAATGATTTTTTTGCTTTCGAAGTTCTTCTATATCTTGACGTAGGGCTTCATTATCGGCATTCTTTCGCTGCTTCATCTCATTTAACTCTTTGCGTAATATTTCTTTTTCCAAGTCCATATCTGCCATTTGCTTGTCAATGCTGTCGCGTATAATCCTTAGCTCTTTGTTGCGTTGAATTTCAATAGCTTTCTTCTCTTCTTTCATTTCAGATTCACGTTGACAAAGAGATTCGTTCTTTTTCAAAAGGTCAATTTTTGAACTTTCCACTTCTATTATCTTTGCCTTCAGTTCCTCAATTTCATTTGACATTTCTTTTGTTCTAAGAGCATCTTGCTGTGCCATTTTCTCCTTTTCTTTTATTTCAGCATTGAATTCAAGCAGAGATTCGTTGTCCTTCCGGAGATTATTGTTGATAGCTTCTGTTTCTATTACCTTTGCCTTCAACTTGTTAATTTCATTTTGCATTTCTTGTTCTTTAAAAGCTTTTTTCTCTGCTGTAATGTTCTGTTGACGAAGAGATTCATTTTCTTTCCAAACATCATCTTTTTCAGCCTGTACTTCCAGTATATTGGACTTTAGTTCTTCTACTTTATTCGCCATTTCTCGTTCTTTTAGAGCACCTTGTTCATTACGTTGGCGAAGAGACTCGTATTCTTTCAAAATGCCATCCTTCTCAAGTCGTATTTCCAATATCTTTGCCTTCAATTCCTCGACTTCATTCTTCAATTCTTGTTCTCCAGAGTCATCCTGCTGTACTGTGGCATTCTCCTTTCCTTTCCTTTCGGAATTATTTCTACGAAGAAGATCATTTTCTTTATATAGATCATCGTTTTCGAGTCGTATTACCAACATCTTCGCCTTTATTTCTTCAACTTTAGCCAAAGCTTTTTCTCTGGAAGCATTTTGCTGAATTGCAACGTCCTCCTTTTCTTTCATTTTCACGTTATTTTTTTGAAGAGATTCGGTTTCTTTCCGTAAATTGTTATTTTCAGCTTTCATTTCCAATAGCTTTGCCGTCAACTCTTTGACTTCAATTGAAGTTTTTTGTTCAATTGAATCATCTTCCTCTGCTGTATCCTTCTTTTCTTTCAATTTTGAATTGCTTTCACGCAGAATTTCATTTTCTTCCCATAATTCGTTGTTTTCAGCTTCTATTATCTGAATTGTCTTCTTCGTTTTGTTTAATTCATTTAAGAGCTCTTGTTTTCCTCGAGTATTGTCTTCGTCCTCGTCCTCGTCGTCGTTAATTTCAATATCTGAACTGAATGACTGATGCATTTTCTCGAGAATCTTCTCCTTCTCGAGTAGTTTAGCTTCCTTTTCTTCTAGATTCTTTTCTTTTTCTTCGATAGTTATCTCTCGCTTCTCTAGTTCTTTACGACGTCTGCTAGAATTATATTCCTCAGTGTGATTCTTGTACTTTCGCGGACTGTCATTCAATTCATGAACGAGCTCCTCCATATCTGCTAATTCGTCTTCCATTGTGCAGAATTCTTCTTCTGCTCTGACCAACTTGGCTTCAAGATATTCAACCTTATCCACTTGTGCATCTACTGCCTCTGTCAATTTCTGGATGAGTTCATCTTTCTCAATCACAGCATACTCGTATTCCTCAAGTTCCATCTTCAAGTCGTTCACTTCGACATTTGACGACTCAATCGATTTCTGTCCCAACGAAGATTGTTTACTAAATTGTTCGACCTGTCGGAGCTGTCTGCGGAGGGCAACTGTCTCATCCAACAGAACTGCGTTTTCTTCCTCCAAGGCATTTATACGCCGCAAATCTGCCTGTAATGAGTGTCCCTCCCTGGAAGCGCACGAGGGATTTTCACCTTCACTCAAAGTACCTTTCTTCTTTTTCTTCGAAGATTTCTTACGACTTTTTGACGCTATGGAGCGAGACGATTGTATCGTTAAAACACTATCGTCATCGTCATATTCGTCAATTATTTTTGATTTCTTTTTCTTCTTCGATTTTTTTCTGTTGCTTATGATCGAAGTTTCGTCGTCGGACTTTTTGGTTTTGCTCCGAATCGAAATTTCGTCGTCCGTCAATCGTGACTCCGTTTTGTTATTTTCCTTTGTTCTGGTGTTCAGAATAGTAGATTCTCTGGCTGGCCTTCTATTTGATTGTTCATCTTCAATGCGACTCTTGCGCCTTGCCCTCGATGGGCCTTCGTCAAAATCAACCTCGATATGAAACGTCGTTGTTGAAGAAGCTTTTGAGGAGGTCTTTGCACTTGTAGCAGACCTGCTGGCTGTGCTTCTAGTCGATTTGCTGGTGCTGCTTCTATTAGATTTTTCATCGCCAACCCGACTCTTGCGCCTGACCCTCGAGGATTTGTCTTCGAGGTCGACTTCGATACGTGAACTCGGCTTGGTAGAAGATTTTGACGAAGACTTCTTTCCCCCCATAGTCGTGCTCTTCGCATTCATCTTGGAATGTGAAAAATAAATCACGGTGGTTGTGCCTCTTTGTTGGCTGCTGTTTCATCTCTTATCACTCTAAAAGGGTTTGAAAAGCATCAAAGTGGGCATCATGTTGTGGGTTGATTGATGAAAAGGGCGCGAACTAGTACACGTAGCTTGAGACGACAGAAAAAATTACCATGCAGGTTTTACTACTATTTTCGTCACATTTCACGTAGAAGTAGTAATCTGAACATCTTGAGATGAATAATTCCCTGTCAAGCGAAAACACTTCTTGGTCTATTACAGTATTGTGAATTGTTGAGAATATTTTCCTGCAGTTAAGTGTCGGTCATAATTATTGTTTTTACTATGCCTAACAAACTTCATCTATTCCCCGGGTGTCAATTTTTTTCATTTTCCAGTCTTTCTTTCTCCTCTCCCCCCCCTCGACACAAAGAACTTCGTCCCAAAATATTTCTATTACTGGTCCTTACTACTGGGGATATAAAATCAGTGCTTACTACTTGAGAATTAATATTAGTGCTTACTAATTGATCACCTCCATTACTACTTACTAGTTGGGATGCCATACTAGTAGTGAACACTGCGAACTGCTGGGTAAGGGGGTTCTGTTGGTGCTGCTCTCCTCTCGACGATACTAGCTGGTGGTGGTACTAGTAATAGATCAATCCTCAGGTTGTCTATCTGTGTTTGACATCCTCCTTCAGGGTTCTTGTAGATATCAATATCTAAAAAATTTTAGATGGTGGCTTCTTCATTTAATTGTCCTTCCCACTACTACTTCTACTACTACTACTACTAGTAGTAGTAGTAGTACAAGAGGGAGGGCGAATCAAGTGTCATTAAAATAAAGAAGTTTATTGATCCCAGTGAGATGCTTTTTCATCAGGATACTATAGGGTGACGACCGGAACGAGCTGGAGCAACACAAGCCCTAAGGTTAGGGGATAATCATCACAATCATCCTCCAACATTGCCATTTTTCCAAACCTGTCTCTCCAAACTAAATTCAAACAGGTACCACAGGAGCCTCCAGATATCAAGATAGCACAGGTTTCAAAATGGAGGCGAATTCTGCTTATTCCAACTTCAATGGCAACTATGAGTTTTAACACGAAACATTTATCAATCGGCGTTTGTCTCGTGTTGTATTTGAGTCGTCCAAAAGATCTACTTGGTAGTTTGTTTATTCTTAGACTAGATTGAATTAGAAAAACCAGGATACGAAATATTATGTAAGGATCAATCACCGTAAAGACCAACGAGAAGTTGTAGAAAGAAGAAAGATAAGAGGTTCGGTCATTCTCTTGCACCTCTTTTTGTAACTGTGATGTAAAAGTCATCGTTTGTTCGCAATAAATTTCTTCGACGAGTAAACGCACAATATTTTCTCTGTTTAGCCCCTTTAATCCGACGATTCGGATCTCAGAGTGTAGCTACACATGGTGTCTACGCTTAGGCCTTCATGAAGTCACCGACCATGCAGTATCCGGCTCCAATTTCGGTAGGTTCGTACGTATCAGTGCCTCCAAGCTGGTCGATACTGACAACGAGACGTTCAACCATGGACTCTTCGGCGGCACGGAGCCAGGCACGGGGGTCGTAGTATTTCTTGTTAGGTGCGTCGTCACCATCGGGGTTTCCGATTTGCTGCTGGAGGTAATCGTGTTTTCCTGCTTCGAATTGACGGACCCCGTCCCAGTAAGCCCACTGAGTGTCGGTATCGATGTTCATCTTGATGACACCATTCTTGACAGCGGCATTGATTTCTTCCCTGGACGAACCAGAACCGCCGTGCATCACAAGGAAGAGGGGCTTATCGAGATCAGACTTAAGTTGCTCCTTGGCAAAGGTCTGGGCCATGCCAAGACGTTCCGGAGACAACTTAACATTTCCGGGTTTGTAAACTCCGTGAACATTTCCGAACGCAGCTGCGATGGAGAACAAACCTCCGATCGGAGAAAGGGCCTTGTAGACATTGAAGACTTGCTCGGGGCTTGTGTAAAGTTTGTCTTGGTCGACGTCTTCGTTGTTGACACCATCTTCTTCTCCTCCAGTGATACCAATCTCCATCTCTAGCCACATCTTCATGGGCATCATGCGCTTAAAGTATTTCGCGCAGAGAGCAATGTTTTCCTCATCTGGTTCTTCCGACAAGTCGAGCATGTGGCTCGAGAAAAGAGGCTCACCGTACTTGGCGAAGTACGCTTCGTTGGCTTCGAGCAACTTTTCGAACCACGGGAGAAGCTTCTTGGCACAGTGGTCAGTGTGGAGAACGACAGGAATTCCGTAGTATTTTGCGACCGAACGGACGTGCATGGCAAGAGCAATCGATCCGGCAGCGGCGGAATCGGCGCATTTGACACCCTTTCCAAGAGCAAAGCCACCGCCTCCGTTTGAGCACTGGATGATGACGGGACTCTTGGCCTTGCGTGCGGCCTCCAAAGCGGCATTTGCAACGGAAGAACTAATCCGTAGTGGAATGGTGTGTATGTTTGTGTGTGTGTATGAGTGAGTGAGAAAGAAATGGTTAGAAGTTTGCGGTGGAAAAGGGGCATCGTACCTGCCATACAATTATGGCCCAGCTTTCCGGTTGTATAGTTGTCGAATTTGAACAAACGTACCTTGTAACGTTAACAGCGGGAAGGGCAAACTCGTTTTCCCGGCAGTACTCCATGAGAGCCGTCATGTCGTCTCCGGTGACAACTCCAGCAGGAACGATATCGTTGAGTGCGGTCATGATTAGATGTGATATTTTTTGATAATGCTGTGAAAAGTTTTTGTGAACAAGGGATTGAATCGAATTGTTTCGAAACGGTCGTAAAAAGTATTCGAAATCCGAATAGAACGCTTTTTTGTGCGTGGAGGATAGAATGATGTCCGACGCTACTTTATCAATTTACTGACGTTAGCAGAATATTAACAAGGATGAAAATTATTTTCTTGTTTCTCAAATCTTCCGAGGCAGAAGGCGAAGACACCGCACTCCATTCATTTTTTGAAGTGGGAATCGAATGCAATTGGATGATATCCATACGATGGAAGGCGAAGGCGTTTGGATTCCGTTCCGCCTGGAGGACGTGTTAGAAAGCGAAAATTCAAGAGGTTCATCGGATTTAAGAGGGCCCGAAAAAGAAAGTCGTCGTACTTTTGATGTGAAAGGCCTGATGAAAGGCCTACGTTTTTTGGAAGTTGAACTGTCGAGAACTTGAGACTTCAAATATGGACAGGTTATGATGACGAACTGTGTTGACTGGAGTTTGAGTCAAAGAGCCTTTGAAGTCAGGGGTCATAAATTTAGTAAAACCATTCAACTTTTAGTAAGTACTGTAGTTTATCAAAAATATTACTGCAAGTAATATTATTTTTGACTATACTGTCTAGACCAATTTTTAAAGAGGATTCTGAATAGTATGCCACCAATATTTTGACGAGCTATGATATATCACCATGCTGGATTTTCAATTTTACACCTACTTCTAAAAAAAAAAACTTAACATTATATTTAACCTTGTGAACTAGAAGAGGCACTAGGAAGGCCAGAACCATTGCTTTTGTGAAAAAGAATGCTCCTAGCTGCTCCGAGGGGCGGCGCATCCCTAAATTTTACTCCTACTTCTACTCCAGATCAGGATTACCAGCACTAGTAGTACTGCCAGCAGCAGTTTGTAATGCTCTGTCCTTCATCAGGTTTTGCCCACCAGTAAATAATTACTAAGCCTAACATTGTGATACTACTAAGCAACTTGTTGGTCAAATTGAATATTAGGTTGATGTATACTAGTACTACTAGTAGTAGTAATTCTTCTTGCAACTATGCCACATGTGACGTACTAGATCAGTGTTTCATCACCACCAGGATTATAACTAGAAACTTTTTAATGTATTTCTTTAGTACCTTCAAACTTTCACCAGTGATAGTACTAGTACTACTAGTACTAGTACTACTACTACTAGTGCTAGTAGTACTACTAAATGGCTACTACACCAAAAATTAATTTGCTAGTATGGAAAATATTGGTATATTCTCAATCCTCTTTGAAAAGTGGTTATGGCAGTTGTATACTAGTCAAAAATTATAATAATGGTAGTATTTTTTATGATGAAACTACTAGTAGTAATGATTCTGATGTCTCAGGTACTATGAGTGGTCGCAAGAAGAAAGCACAAGCTGAGCTGGTGGTGTTTAATGTAATCACACAGAACCAGAAAGAAGCATTTGATTGGGACAATGCTGTTGAGCCTCATGATACTGAGTTGTTTCATTGTTGGAATAATGGAACCATTGTTGGCAACAGTACTATTAACTACCCCAAGGTTCCAGAATGATATCAAAGAAGAAAGGAAGCCAAGATTGCAAGAAGAAGACCAGCGGGTTGGAGAGACGTCAAGAATAACCCTGGTGGTTGGCATCCTTATTACTTCAGACCCAAAATTGAGACAGGAAGTAGGAATTACAAAGGAGGTCACTAATGTCTTCCTCCTGACTCCTGCTGCAAGCCTGTTAACATTCCTAAGCGCTTGGAGGATGGTCTTGGCAAGGAAGTGAAGATCAAATGCATTCTTGTATTGTTGGGCCTGTTGAAGATCATTTCATTATTGGCACCTTTGTTCTTCATAGTAATATAGGACCTGGAAAAGCTGTGCAAATCCCCTCCACATGTCACAACAGCTGGTGATATCTTCTTCCTTTCTGACTCCATCTTGGATTGGATGGGTGGGCAAGGATTGGGAATGATAAGAACTGTGGCAAAAATACTAGATTGCCTTCAGGAGTACTGCTGGGAAAATACTTTGGTAAAAAGAATAGTGCTGGAGATTCCAACACAAGAGGAAGACTCAAGGCCTCTAGACTTGCTTGGTGCCAAGCCAGTAATGTTGGTGAAGACTGTGGACGATGAGGCTGATCCTGGTGAGGAAGGAGGAACAAAAGCTTACAGGAGAGTCCACTGCTGCTGCTTCCAAAATTTCTAAAGCACAGGTACATGGTGTAATCTTGGATCTGTGAACTTGGTATCCTCATCATATCTCTACATTCACAAAAAGGAAAGAGGAAGTGCACCTAGTGATAAGAAGCAGAGGTGGGGGATTGAAATGAATGAGACGCAAGAGCTGTATCTTTATACACATAGTACTAGGAAGATGGATAAGATTGATGCATGCATCATCTCCAGAGCAAAGGAGATTGGCTAGTACAATTCCTGGAAGTACTACCATGCAGTAATCAAACAGCAAGCCCAAGAAGCTTTAGAAATTGCTACAGCTTTTAGTATGACATTTGCAGGGAGTGCCTAATGGAAGTATTGGTGAAGACTGGAGGGTGTCTAATGTAATGAGTTATCAAGAGTTTTGACAAAGGCTTGCCCTTCAAATTATAAGATTTGACCCAATGAGCAGGCATATAACTGTGACACTTGTCTGCTGCTGAGATAGCACACTCAATCATCATAGCAAAAGATTCAGAGTGGCAGGGCTACTAGTAGAAGGAGGGCTTTTCCCCTGTGGCAACACTAGTAGACTGTTTAATTTTATGTTCAAAAATAATACTTTATCATGCAGATGAATAGCTATTTTTAGTCTGTGGTACTGATTCTACAGCTTCTACAGAGTCATGGCTAAAAATAACCCCAAGTAAACAAGATGTGGACATGAATTGTTGGGACAATGGTAAAGTTCCAAACTGTACATTTATAGTGGGGCAGAGGAAGTGGCAACAACTAAAAATTACATCTATTGAGGAGGCATTGAGAACATTAGTTTAACTTTCTAACAAATATTAAGTTAACGGTCCGAATGTTAACAGTGTGGTAGACCTGTGAAGAAATGAGTACTATGGTTTTGCTTCAATGTAACATTCTGACTGTTAACTTCACATTCCACTTAACATTCTGAATTTTAGCAGGCAAGGTGTCCTTCTTCTTCCTTTTTACGTATCCTCACTCCTGAAACAAGACCAAAATTATTGATTTTTAATGCTAGTGCGCTACCAAATGAAGAATGGGGATAATTCTAGTAGGATCAACATAGGCCTATGTTGGTATAATAACACCATTCCAAACAATGCTAAATTATATTCAGAACATTTATACTAGTAACATAAGGTATGTGAAATTAATGTTCCAAATGCCTTCATAAACATGATTTCATTTGTTATTTTACACGTAGCAGTAATACTTTGGTCACAAGAATTTAAGTTACGGTATGTAGTTGGATATGGATCGACGGATCGACGGTGCCTCTCCTGCCCACTCATGGAGGGCCCGAGGCTCCCGTTCGGGCCAGGGCACGGCCTCTCGGCTCTGGCATTGGGCAGGGAAAGAAAGTATTTGGAACGACTGCGCGGCACCGCAGCCGAGCCGAGATAGCAGAGGGGAAAACTTTTGAGGTGCACCGATTGCGTCGATGGTTTTTCTCAGAGAAACCGCTAAAGTGCACCCAAGGGTGTTTGGCAATATTGAATGTACAGATTAAGGATTTTTACTAGTTACTAACCCTTTCACACTTTGTAGAATGACGCAGTCTTCGTGTGCACTACCGTGCTACATTGGTTGATCCCCAAGCACCGGCATCCAAGGAGGGGCTTGGCGGGTTGTGCAGGGGTGCGTGTGCGTTTGGGTGCACCGGCATCCCGGTTCTTTTCCACCACCGGCGCCGAGAGAGCCCGGACCGCGGAATTCGCGCTCTGGAATCGATCGGATCGCTATCGGATCGGGCGGGATCGGTGTTGCGTGCGTGCGTGCCCGCTCCTCTCGGTTCAGAACCCTTGCCCGGCGCCGGCCTTGCGCTTCCGCGGTGTCCTCGAGGGTGCGCCCCCGTCGTCGCTGCTCTCGCTGCTCTCCCCGCAAAAGTCCTCGTCTTCCTCGTCGTCAAAGGCCTCCTCGCCGTCGATGCTCCAGTAGCTCTCGCGCTGGAGGTCGCACCAGCACCGGTCCCCGTCGTCGTATTCCAGAAACAAAAAGTGCTTGTTGTCCTTCGCGCACTTGGTGGCGAGGCCGCAGTACTTGTTCCCGTCCTTCCACTGCACCACGATGCGCTTTCCGAGAAAGCCCTTGTCCATGTCGTCGGTCAACTCATCGAGCCGAATAATTTTCTCGGGCACGACCTTGATGGCCTTTATGCAGTTGAGGTCGACCCAGTTTTTGGTCTTGTCCTTGTCCAGCCAGTGGAGGTACACCCATTGCTCGCCCTTGGTCTGCTGGGTCTTTGACGGATTCGGAAAGTACTTGCGGACAATCGCCTCGTGGTAGTGCTCGTCGTGGTAGCTGTCCACCGCTATCGTGCACCCGACCGGATACTTCTTGGTGAGCTCCATCCGTGCCTTTTCGAAGCGTCTGGCGATGGAAGCACTTTCCTCGTCCTCCTCGCTCTTGATTTTGGATTTGGCCCCGCCGGTCTTGGTTTTGGTCGCAGGTCTTCTGCCGGGCCGTTCGTTGTCCGGCGAGAGGTTGTACCAGACCTTGTCCCCGTCGTCGTAGTGGATGAAGACGAAATTCTTCTGGTCCCTCAGCGACTTGATGATCTTCCCCGAGTATCGCTTGTTGTCCTCCCACTGGACGGTGAGGCGGCGGCCGAGGAATCCCTTATCGGTGCTGCTGAGGGTGTCATCGGCGCAGTCCTCGAGGGAGATGATGTTTTCGTCGACCAGTTCCACGGTCTTGGTGTCGTTCAGATCGATTGTCCCTGGCGCAGAAAGACAAAGCAAGAACGCGCAACATCAAGAATGGGTAGGCGTGAGACGAACACTCCGGCGCGTCGGCAGAAAGCGAACCGGAGGGGAAACAGATGCCGCAACATAAACTAACAGTCGCAACCTCGTGCAAGACAAAAACGATCGCGACCAATCCAATCCAACAACGGCAACGCACCGACGGTTTTGGCCTTGTCGGCGTACTGCACCTTAACGACGCCCTTCAGCTGGAGTTCGTCGGTGCTCTGGACCACCGCCTCGAAGAAATTCCCGTGGCCGTAGAGATCCACGGCCAGCAAGGTACCGACGGGGTACTCGAGGGTGCCGCTTTCCGCGGCGGAGGACGCGATCCTCGCTCTCTTTTCCTTCTTGACCCTGGTCATCTCGTGTGGTGTCTTCTCGTGAAGTGTCGAGTCGTGTCGTGTCGTGTCGTCTCGTGAAGTGCGGGACTCGCTCGTCGACGAAACAACGCCGTCTCCGGTGTGTGGCGGGAGGGATAGACCGCTCGTTCGCTCGCTCGCTCTGCTGGAATCCCGGGGTATCACCTCGGTTCGGATCGATGTCGGAGATGGCTTTTCCGTTGCTTGGTACGATACCAACACCCTTCGGTTCCCGGTGGCTTGGTGATGGCGATGGGCTGCGTTCTGTTCTTTGGATGATCAGCGAACCGCGAAGGGGTAGCGGTTTCTGTTTCTGCCTCACCAAATTTCACTGCCCCGCGGTCACGAAACGCGTGAGATACGGTAGGTGAGGTACCATGTACGTGCTTGTATCGTACCGTATGGTACGAACCGTGCGGTACAGCGAGCACGGAGTTGGTCTAGAGAAAAAGTACGAGTCATGTACCGTACTACTGTACCTGTTTCAGCAGGCAGTACGGTAGCATAGCAAAACCATGCAGAAAAAAAACGAGCAACAGGATGGTACCGTAGGGTACCATGTGGTACGGGACGTACAGTGCGGTGTGTACTTACTTCATCGTAGGCCCCCGGGAATGATTGCCGTATCTTTGCTTCAGAGGTACGAGCGTACCGGTACGTGCGTACGGCACACAACGATGTACAGTAAAGTACTTTCCTACGATGCGTGCGTCGTACGAAGTCATACATGTTGTCCTCTGGGGCGATTTTTTCTCTCACCTGTTTCGTTTCGCGGGTTCGGAACGGAGGTGTCCATACGAAGGACACCGATTGCTAGTGAGTACGAGTAGTTACTATTACTACTAGTTCTACTTCTACTATTACCTATTACTGCTGTCATAAGACCTGTACCGTACTACTCGTCGGCAACTCGGTTCCCTCCTTGCTCCAGAAACAACGGAAGAGCCGGTTTGCAATCCGAACCGGTGCTTCCGAACTAGAAGTAGTACAGCACTACAGAAACTGGCACGTACGGAAAGAATCAAACTTCAAAAATTGGTTCTAGTTGTAGTAGTAGTAGTGATGGTTCTTGGAGTGCTAGTAGCATCCCTGTCACAGAGAAGTGCTGGTGCAACGAACAGCAAAAGGCATCTATCTGCTGCGAGTGCCAGCCGAGTGCTCCCGCTCCTGCTACTTGCAGCGTCTCCGCCGTAGCCAAACCCGCCCAGCGGCAGCGCCCCGTGGAACCCAAAACACGCCGACCGCTGCCGCCGCCTCTTGGCTCTCGCCGCGCTACTGCGGACCGGACATGGGCAGCTTCGAGGCGACCGGGTTGGCCTCGCCGAGGTCGAGGCCGGCCGCCTTCCAGATCTTCGTCATGGAGCTGCTGGTGTACTGCGCGCAGAGCGGGTCGCTCTCGTGGTAGGCCATGACGTACTGCATGAGGGCGTATCCCTTGGAGCCGGTCCCAAAGCCGAGCTCCTCGGTGAGGGGGGTCTCTCCCCCCAGGTAGACATTGTTGACCACGACGTCCTGGATGATGGAGTGCTTCAGGCCCATCTCGGTCTGCGGGTCGGTCTGCGGGGGGAGCTGGCCGACCTGCGGCGGCGTTGCGAAAGCGCATCGCATCAATCGCGGGGCAGGAAAAGGATCCGGGAAAAGGCGTTTGGGACGGGGTGAGTTGAGTTCGGGGGTCGTTGACAAGCCACCGGACACATTCGATCCGGGTCGGTGCAACCCATCCGCCAACCAGCCAGCCAACCAACAAAACAAACAAACAAACAAACAAACAAGAAGAACGCGGTTCAGATTCAAGGCACACCCACAAGACTCACCCGCGTCGCCACCTCCTCGAGAATCTCCGGCTCGATGAGCGCCGTTGCGACCCTGTGCACGATGTTCCGGGCGTCGACGATGGAGAGCTCGTTCCCGTACTTTTCTTCGATGGCCTCCCGGTCCAGACCAAAGGCGACGACCAGCATCTCCCTCCAGGTGTCCCGTCCCTTGGCCCGAAAGTCCTCCTGGACCGACGGGTCGCACTTGGTTCCGACGAACTGTGCGAGCTGCTGGGTGTAGAGCATGATCCCCTGCTCGCTCGTTTCGTATCCCAGGGCCGCGACGACGTGGAGCTGGGCGCCCAGGTAGATCTCCATCATGCGCTGCCACTTGACGACCAGCGGGGTTTTCGATTCCGGCTCTCTGGCCAGGAGCTCGAGCCGCTGCTTGCCGACGCCGTGCTTGAGGATCAGGTGGTTGGCGGACTGGATCCCCCTGGCCATTTCCATGTTGAGCTCGGGGGGAGGCGTCGGCTTGAACTGGGCCTGCGGGTCGTCCGGAGGGAGCTCCTGCATCGAGGAGAAGGAGCGCTTTTGGATGCAGATGCTGCCACGGGCGGCGGTGGTGTGAACATTCACATCCACATCCACATTCACATTCACATTCACATTCACATTCACATCCACATCCTTCCAGAGCCCGTGGGCGGCCGCCGTTGCGGGTCGTTTCGATGCGGAAGAACCCGGTCCGGTCCCCGCGATCCTTGCCGCGAACCGGTGGGAGAGGGACCCCGCGGTGGTGCGGAGGGAATGCCTTGCGGAGGAAATCATTGGAATGTGGTGCGGTCGTGTCGTATCGTGTCGTGTCGTATAGTGTTGTTGTGTGGGAACCGGAAACCGATTTCACGGCGAGAAGAAGCATCCGAGCGGTGCACGATAGAAAGATCGTCGTCGTCGCGTCCATAAACTATCGTACCGTACCGTACGGTACCGTAGATACCAGCTACCCTACACTACAGCACGAAGATCGTTTTGCGGAACGAACGGGAACTCGTCTGGCCATCGACCTACCTTGGGAGGCAGAGGGATGTTGTTTCCCAAGACTGAAACGAGGAAGGAGGAAAGAATCCGTCACAGCTCCGGAAGGTGTGAGTCCCGAACGGAGAAGGGTTCCGTTCCGGGCTCACGGGTTCTCGTACTCGTACAAAACTACCAGGTACTCGTACCCGTACCGGTTGTCGTACCGTAAGATAAGACCGAGCACCAAAATCGAAGCAATTTGAATCTGAATCTGAATTCTCCGCCCCGTCGACGGTCCCGGCACAACAAGATCAAAAACTTCATCCAGCACAGAACGCAATCAAAGAACGGTCATTCCGTTTTGGATTCACACCGCAACGCCACGCAACACACCGCGCTACATCCCGCTTCAGACCATGGGAATCACCTACGAAGAAGCCCTGGCCACCCTCGAGGCCATGTTCGGCGACCCGTGGACCCGGGAATCCCTGGACGCCGTCCTCCGGCACGAAAAGGGGCACATGGAAAACACCTGCGAGCGGATCCTCGAGCACGGGGAAAAGGACCCGGTCCTCCTGGTCGAGCGCCTCCGGAACGGCGGTCCCGAGCCGCAGGTGGCGATGGACGAGGAATACGCACGCCGGCTGGCGGGACAGGAGGAGGGGTCTGTTTCTTCCGGAAGGGGAAGCAGCCGAAGCGGCGGGGGCCACCGGGACGGAGGCGGCAACGGACGCGGGACCCCCACAATACTCCCTTCCGACTTTTTGCGCCTCCCCGGGTTCCGCCCGCCCCCGTCGTCCACGGCGTCCTCGTCGGCGTCCTCGTCGTCCGGGGCAAACCGGGCGGCGGGGGCAGGCGCCGGAAGGCGGCAGCCGCCCCACGACGACGAGACCCTGGCGCGGATGCTCCAGGACGAGCTCTTCTCGGAGGAGCTGGCCCGGAACCCCGATTTCGCCCACCTGGCGGGGAGGAACCCCAGGAGGTCCTCGGCGCGGCCCTCCGCCTCGAACGCCCGGCTCCCGGCGGCCCCGGCGGGGGCACCCCTGCAGAACCCCTTCGAGGGGGTCAACGTCATGCAGAAACTCTCGAGTGAGTACCTAGCGAGCGAAAGGCAGAGCTTGGCACGGCACAGCAGAGCACAGCACAATACAATGCAATGCACGGCATCATACAACACAATACAACACAATGCAGCACAGCACAGAGTAATTGTGGGGTGGATACTGTAGTGCTAGCTTCCAATGTGATACCGTATCGCTCACGCTTCTTTTTTCACGTTGTGCCTTTTGAATCCGCTCCGATCGTTCCGTGTTTTTGTTGGTGGATTCCGAATCGTTGTGCCACGCGACTTTCTCCGTCTGTTCCCAATCGGTGCAATCCCACTCGTGGTGATCCATGACCCCGTCCGAAACCCCGCTCGATCGGCGTTTGTTTTCCAGCCATGGGCGACGGAGCACGGCGGAAGCTCCAGCTCTTCGCCACCAACTTTGAGGACAGAATGAAAGGGATCAACCACAACAACGGCGCGCACACCGGTGGCTTGCAAGAAGCGAGAGGGGCCGCCGCGGAGCGAAGGGGCCTCCTGGACAACGACGACGACGACTACGGCGAGGACATGATCGAATTCGAGACGCGAAAGAGCAGGTAATGCGGTGTGTCTGTCTTTGCAGTGGTACGGCAATGAGCAGTAGCAGTAGCAGAAATTAGCAGCGCAATCAATGGCGGTGCTGCGGCGAATCGAAACGAATCGAATCGAGACGAGACAAAACGAAAGGAAAGGAAAGGAAACGACACGGCAAGGCCGATAAAACTTTGCAAGTCGCCGACTCCGAATCGCTCGTTCGAATACCGATTTGACGGAACCGTACCGTACCTTACCGAGGGTGCAACAACGGAGTTTTTAGAAACTGAGCGAAATTAGTAGTTTTTCGTTTTTGAAACAACAAAGCAGGCGGCAATCACTGCACCGGCATTTTCTCCTTGATTGCTGCACCTGTATGCGGCGATTATGTTCTTTTGGCTCGTTGAATCAAGATACGATTTAGTTGTTTGTGATTGCTATTCTGAAATTGTACCACGCTGGAGGGAGCTGTTCGAAAACCAATTCAACAGCACCGTGCCAAACTGTGCAAAACCATTTGTTTTTGGTGTTTGAAACAACAAAAGCAAACAGGGTACCGGCATTTCATTGTTGCACTTGCATGCGGCTACAATGCTGTTTTGGATCGTGCGGGGGAGTTCCAAATAATTCGTTTTAGTTGTCTCTATGTTAGCTGCTCTAGGCTTGCACCGATCCGATCCAATCCAATCCAATCCATCCGCAGCGGTGGTCACACACCGTGCTCCCGGGCACAAAACGAGCCATGTCTACAAGCGGCGATCGCTGATGAGGGCCCGGATCTCTTCGGATTCGGCCGCCAGCCGCGACACGCGGTCGCGGTCTCCCTCGTTCGGTGGACGGGGGGGAGGACCCTGCCCCCGCTCCCCTACACCCAGCGAGGGCCCCCCGGCGGCCGTAAGGCCCCCGGCCCGTGGTTCCCCGAGGACCGCCTCGACGCCGCTGGATCCCAGAATGTTCAGGTCGACCGGGAGGCTCGGGCTCTTGTACCGGATGCCGAGCTGCTTCGAGAGCTCGTGGCAGAAGGTCCTGGCGTGGCTCCGGCTCGTGAACAGGGAACCGAGCTGCTGCCAGTTGTTCACGTGCTGGAGGACCACCATGTACTCGATGTAGCCCTTGTCGGTAGAGACGTCGCAGTTCTTGATGTCCATCAGCTTGCCCCACTCCCTCGGCCTCTTGTGGACAAACCGCGCCACCGCCTCGCGGAAAATCTCGAGCTTCTCGAAGCTCGTGTCGACGCCGAACCGGAGGGTGACGTACAGGTACGCGGGGAGGGACCGGGCCCCGTTCATCACGCGGGAGTTCGCGATCGAGCCGTTCGACAGGGTGGCCACCTCGCCCGTGAACGAGTACATGACGGTGGTCGTCAGCAGATCGATGTCGCGGACGATCCAGTGGGTCGACCCGTTGAAGCTCGACTCCTGGTCGACGGGCTGGATGGTCACGTAGTCCTGGAAAGCGTGCCGAGGGTGTCGCGCACGAGGGAAGAAAGGAAACAAGGCCGTTGAGCATCGGACACGAAAAATTCAAAAACAGCAACGGCGAACAAGTGGCGCACGCCCGCACCGCAGCACCGTGCTCACCCCGATGTCGTATGGACGCCTGCAAATGATGAACAAGAGACCCTCCACAAACTTGGAACTGGCCTGTGAAATCATAAAACTGAATGATAGGATGATAGAAGAAAGGCTCCCGAACACAACGAGGGCGTTAAAACCGAGCGCATTCAGAATCAACAGAATTATCACGAAATAGAAGACTACGTTAAAGATTTGTTCGAAGGATTTGTCAATCTTCTGAGAACTCCTCACGGAGGCTCTCAGAAGCTTCATCTCCTTGTAGACATTGTCCTGGAAGAAACACACGAACGATTTTTCAGAAGGGCGATTAGAAGAGGAATCCGTGAAAGATGCGAAAGCCAGCGCAATGACATGAAAAGGTTGATACGCACCACAGATTTCACAAAGTCTATCAGACTCAGTCGCCCGTCGCGGTCGGGTCGAAATAGTTTGATCAGCGACTTGAGTTTTTCTCCGTCCAAGATCCCGTCGCGCTGCAATGCCACTAAACCCAGCGTGTTGAAATGCAGAACTGGATCCGGCGATTGGCGTAGCAGACGCAGGTATAGACTTTGAGACGACTGCACGCAATGATCACGCATATTGGCTTTTCCAAACGAATACGAAAAAGGATACTTCGAATCAAGTTTGGACAGCGATTGTCTAAATTGAAGAATGGCTCCAATCGAGACGCTCTCGGTCAAGATTCTTTCTCTTTCCGGTTCTTCCCACGTGCCAAGCAGTCGTTCTATCCGGCGCTTTTGGGATTGACCCAGCAAAAAACCCTTGACAAATTCTTTCTCTCGATTCGAAACGAAGAGCTTGTGCTTGGTCGTGTCGGTGTTTGACGTGACATTTGTCCTGGATGCGATGGAAGAATCTACGTGCAGGTCATCGTGGTCGATGTCATCGACACCCTCTTCTTTGTCTATGTCTTGCTTTATTATTTCCGCTGCTGTTTCGATTCCTGCAATTCTTGCCTGCCTCCCTGCCCAGCCTTCGAGGTTCGCGTTGCCGTCTCTAATCTTATCCTCGTCGGGATCGCTAAGATCGTCGTCGTCTTCCTTCTCCAATTCGAGTTGGATGGCTAGATTTGAGACTTCGGAAATTAGAAGAATCTTTTTCATCAACCTGGCAAGTTCCTCGGCGTAATTCAAAAACGTCTTTCGACCTTGCTGAAAACCAATGAGAAGACGCTTCACCGCAACTACAATGGACAACGCTAGGGCAAGCAGCTGTACTTTCAGGTTCATCGAACTTTCAACAATTGTTCCGCTAGGATTGCACTCGTTAAATACTTCGATATAGGGTTGCCAATAACCCCAGTGATTGGCGAATCGGGATTTGCCTTGAAGCATCAACATGTTGCAGATGGACCAGAAAAATAGGATTGCAGGCCATCCCTGAACACCACGAAATTTTATCAAGTTTTTGAGTTCTTGTAGAAATGATTATTTTGATTGCCTCTCCTCAAAAGCTCCGAATCATCATCGAACAACACATCAGATATTCAAACTTACCTTTGCCTGGACTATCAACAGCGTTATAGTTGATCCCATCCAAGATCCTACACATCGGCATTCCAAAATTAAAAATTCGATCATGAAGATTTCCAATGACCATGCAATTGTCAAAGTAATGGGCATTCGAACAAGTAAGTACAGGACCCACCAGGAAAACGACGCTCCTATTTCATCCTCGTCCTCTTTCTTTGGGTCTGGAAAATAACTACACGTGCGATTCTGTCCTCTATCCCTCTGGTACTCAATTGGGGGATTTCCGACACCGTAGAAGAGTACCACAGCGGTTATCGCTGAGAAAAGCATCAGCCATGCGAGATTTTGGAGATAAAGTACAAAAGAGGAAGTGCGTGGCTTTAGAAAGAATTCAATGTCCCTAACCAAGCCAATTTTCCTTAAGAACCTGGCAAGTTGGGACCGTTTCCTCTTGTCCGTATTGCCCGATGATATTCTGTTCGACCGAAATGTTCCTGATTCGATATCATCATAAAAAGTTTCATACGGATGCTTTTCCTTCGATATTTTTGCATCTGGTTCGTTCGGCAATGAATCTTTTTGCAACGTATTTGCGTCTTCATTTGAAGCCGCCGCTTGATGATGAAATGGCACCGCTTCTTTCTGCGACAAAGTCATATCACGACTAGATGCGTCTTTTGTGACCGGTTTGCCTAGGGTCTCGTCCTCACTGGTGCTGGAGAAATGACCCGAATCAACGGGGGGAATGGGAACTTGTGCATCCGTATCTACGACATTGTTCGTGAGCGGAACGGTTTCTTGCTCGCTTAAAAGTTCTTGTTCGGTAGCGGGGCTAACATCAATACCCGAGAAAAGACGGGCTAGGTTTTGGTTGAACAAATCCAGCGAAGTAGAAGCTCTGTGGTGCGCTGTTGGGAAGGATTTGTCGTCTTCTTTTTCTTTATTTATTTCGTGGTGTCCCGAGCCATTCGTAGCATCTAGTGCCTGGTTCAGAAAAAAGAGCTTTTCTTCCATGGTTTCTTTTCGGCGGTGTTGCTTTCGGCGATATTCGTAGGGTTGTCGGCGTGCATGGCTCCGAGCAGGGCTTCTCATCGTGGACGAGATAGTTGGATCTATATTAGCCGGTGTATGCGTCCGTCCGTGGCTGCTCGGGTTGTTAGCACCCTCGACGTCGGCGTGACTCTCCGCCGCGCTGCCGATGCTGTAAGATCGGTGTCGTGGCGGAGACAACCCATCGTGTCGAATGTGCGCGTTCGTGTTGTTGGCGGTGCTTATGATGGATTCTGACATGGCCGTGCTAGTGGAAATACCAGCCACAGAAGAAAGGTGAGACGAATCCCTCGTTTTGTTTGTGAATAGCCCTTCTGCTCCTTCCGGGACGTGTTCAAGCAGTTTCGACTCGGTGTCACTGAACACGCTGGCGATTGCTTCGATGTGGCGTTCTTCCTCACCGTGATCTTCCTGTTGTTGCTMCTGTTCGTGCGATTCGATCGCTTTGATAATTTCATAGGTTGCTTCGCTTTCGATGGGGTGGAGCTTGGCCAGGTCTTCTACCTTGATTGCCGATCCAGACGTCGAATCGCTTATCCTAGGTGTTGTTATCGTGCCGAAACCATCCATGCCCTCGTGGGCCATCTTCGCTTCGATGGTCGAGACAAGATCGATTGCCGCCTTGGCGATCACAGCCTTCTTGCTGTCGCTATCCTTGTTCGTTTCGTCGCTATTGTAGTGGCCAACGACTTGTTCTGACAACAATGCCGGTATCGAGTTCGCGAAATTGTCGTCATAGTTTTGAGGTATCACGATTGTTTTCCCACCCCAACTGACCTTACGGTTGTGTCGGGGTGGGTCGTTCTGCGGCTGTTGTTTCGCGTCGGTATTATTGCAAGCAACGACGTTCTCGCTATTGCCGTGCTGTTTCTCGTCGTGGCTGTTATTGTGGTCAGCACCGACTACATCTGCATCTGTCGATCTCGCATCCCCCTGTGCGTGTTGGGGAGGCTCTTTCGGAATTTGGCTGCTCGGGTCCTTATATGAATTCTGATTAGTCGCCTTCGGTTGCGCTGCTTCGCGATGGTATTCGTTCTGGATAGTATTCTTCTTGTTGCTGCTGATAGACCTTTCGGCGGCGGGGACAGGAGTGCCTGCGTGGTAGGTAGATTGGTTCGGATCTTGGCCGTTCGGGCCATGGATTGCCGTCCGATTCGATGCCTTGCTTTGCGCTGCTTCTGGGAGGTACTCGTTGTGGATGGTACTCTTGTTGCCAAAGCTGCCGACAGCAGCAACAGGAATATGCCCGTAACGTGTTGACCCTTTCGGATCTTGGCGTTCCCGGTCCTGGATTGCCGTCCGATCTGGATTAGCTGCGCTACCGTCTGTGCCCCCACCAGCCGAAGCCACGGTTGTGGCCTCATCTTCTACTTGGTCCGTGACGACTGGCACCGGCTGTCTCGGCTTGGCTCTGGGGGGTGGGTGCCGGGGCGGCAGCAGCGAGAAAAACGGCGAGGGTGAGGATGCTGCCGCCGTTCTTGTGCACGGGGAAAGTGAAGACGAGGACAGGGGTTGTTCCCGATTCGCTTGATGGGGCGTGCTTCCGCTCACTATAGTGTCCTCCGCACTCGTGTCCCTATCAGAGGGGTCCATAGCGCCGAGGCAACGGAAAAAATCCTAATCTATCTCGCGGGATCTATCGTGGTCGGCTGATAGGAAGAGAACTGATATGGATGATGTTTTCTCCACCTGGGATCGCGTCGTGCCTTATCCTTTTGGATCGCGAGCACTATCTTTATGTATTAACAAATACTACTTTCAGTCATCGTCATGGTGTGAGGTGTTCCCGCACAGTTGGTTTCTTAAGTGTAAACTTTTCACACTGGTACACCTAAATAAACGTTGTAGTTGCAAGAAATCGAAAACTTGTACCGGTATTCTATGGAATGAATAAGACAGCATGCGTTTGGAAGAAACGATGAATTTTATACCTATTGTACTCGTACGTACTAAAAAATATTACAGTAAAAAACAGAATAGGGATATTTTACAATTCACAATGGAAAATCCTCGAAGAAAATAATGAAAAATGAGCTAATCGTCATTGTGTTGATTCTGCTATTGTGTCATAGACAGGTCCAATCTCCTAAGTAATGTCGGTCATGAAAACAAAAAAAAACACAAAATTCGAAAATATTTTTGTAAATCTAAAAACCCAGTTCCAACTGTACTCTCGGTACTTGGTACGAGTACGGTAAGTCGTATCATTCTATGATTGCTAGGTTGATTACAGGTTATTGTTTTTTGGAAGGAATTTACTTAAGTGCTGCCATCGGAGACCTGGCAGTTACATAGCGCGATGGTAGACAGTTGCTTTCCAATCGTCCAAATACCTTGCAATAATGCTTCTGCCGGGACTTTTTTAATATGCCATGTTGGTCATGAAGTCATATTTAATATTTCAAAGCGCAGCCGTCAACGAACAAAACCTACTCGAAATCGGTCGTCCCGTATGGTATGCTGCACAAGCTTTAATGTGCTGAAGTGTTCCCTATTAGAAAGGGTACAAATAATATTGTTTAGGAATTGGATCAATAGGGAACGCTGATGAACAATACTAAAGCTACATAAGTAGGAAATAAGAGAGCGACAATAATTCAATCTAAAAATAAAAATACACCCTGTAGAGTCCCTACCAGTACCGGATCCTACCTGTACATCCCAGCCCGTACAGTACATGTAGGACCAGTTGCTTCCACAGCGGTATCGTCGCTCGGAAGGCAGAAACAGAAACACCATCCTTTATTGCGACAACACTAGACTACTCGAGGAAAGACAGAGGGATACGCTAGCGAGAATTGATTCAACTTTCCGCTGTATTCAACGTCGATTTGATTCGGAGTTGGCCCTGCTTTACTAACTACTTTACTAACCACTACGAACAGTTCCGTACTCTTACTTGACGACACACAACCTGGAGAGTGCAAGGCTTTCATCATCCACGAACGGAGCGAATAATCGCTCGATCGGTTTTGTTATCTCCGGTGGAACGAGGGGGAATACCGACAAAACCGGCCTTAGGAATTAGGGTCGACTGAGTTCGGTTCAACTCGATTCGATTCGATTTGATTCGATTGGACTTTGAACCAAACCAGAGGAGCGCAGCACAGCCTTTTGCAACCATGATGCAAGCGGCGCAGTTCGCGGCGGAAGCCGCCATGCGGGAGGCCGAGGAAGAACGGAACGCGAAGGCCGGGGGAAGCAACGGCGTCGGCCACCACAATAGAGCAGGAAATAGCAATCATGCCGGTTTTCACGGGGATAGCCACGACATGTCCATGTCGGCAATGTCCCGCCTGAGCATGATGGACGGGATGCAGATAAACGAGTCGTGCAGCTCCCTTATGACGGACGTATCTGGGCAGATGAGCCTGCTGCAGCAACAGCAGGACTATCACCGCTACAACCGAGATGAGCAGCAGCACCGCTATGAACAAGAGCAACACCAAGAGCAACATCAGCCATACGGTGCCGGGTTAGACAACAACCAAATAATACTGCAAGAGATGCAGCTGATGGGTATCGATCCAAACGATCCGGAAAGTGTGCAGCTCTTTCTGCAGCTACTGCAGCAACGAGAAGAACCTGAATGGCAGCAGCCAAAGCGACCTGACGAGCACTATATGACAATTGCACAAAATGGTACGTGACATCAGTATCAGGAGAAAAGCTTGATTTCTCTTCCATGGTCCGGTTTTTGCGTGGGATTTGCCACACCAGCAATGCAATGAGAACAATATCTCGGCATGAAAATTGATTGACAACTTACGCTATGTAACTAACGTCCATTTCCAAATTTGTAATCTGATCTACTATTTCTCGTACCGCTTTTTTTTCAATACCCCGTCTTTTTTTGTTTGCAAAGGAATGATACTCGAGGCGACAAAAACGATAACTGGCTATTCTCCCGACTCTCTTTTGATGACATCTGCTTACGACAAAATTTATGAGGACGACCTAAAGGGTTTGCTCGCCGTAAAGTCCCACTTTTGGGACAAGGGCCACCCGGACGTGGAAGCCTATATCCGGCGGCGCTCGAAGGAGGGGGAATGGATATGGCTTGTCACGAAGGCGGTATCGTATGTGGAACATCCCATACCAGGAATTATCTTGGTAGAAAAGCGTGTAGCATCTCCGGCAAGAGACGGCGAGAGCAACTACTGCAAAGATAACGATGATTATGAAACGTACGTGGCCGACATGGAGGCAATCTACAGGGCAAAAGCCATCAATTCGATAACACGGATATCCGCCATTCTTATTGAGGCAATAAACGAAGCACAGAAAGTGGTGCCGGCTCTGCAGGTGTCGTCGACATCACAACAAAACCCCGGGGATAGACAGCCAAATGGAAACAAAAACCAGAAGAATATAGACAACATCAATAGCAGCAGCAACTACCGCTCGAACAGAAACGAGAACGATCAGGATTCGCTTTCCGGATCATCGGTGGACAGCGCCAACCCAATACCTTGGGTCGCGGATGATGCGGCGGCATACCAGACAATGCTGTTGCAGCAGCAAAAGCACAGTGCAGATGCCGATATAGCGAACGACCCCCTACAGCAGATTATGAAGGTGGCAATGGCAGGTGGTCTGTCGAGCAAGAGCCGGAACCGTATGGCAGCGAAACTAGAACAAGAGATTATGGAAAGAGTGAATGGTGCCACAAAGATGGAGAGCTTCGACCCGTTTTCGGTCTTGGAAGATGTAAGGGAAGGCGTCCGGCTCGACCTTGGAATGGTTCGTTTGGGCCGGGGCGAAATCTACCTCATGCAGATGCTGCTAATGGGCCGAATGACTGTTGATGATTTAATACTGATCGTTTTCCGTGCACTGACTTCTGGTGTCGAATTAGGAGCGATGATTGAGCTTTTCATCATGGAAAGGCAACAGAGCGATGCACAGTACGGCATCGCGATGGTCAATCTTCCGCCGCCTATTTCCGTAGTCAATCTTTCGTACACATACATGGGAAATTCTTCCGTGGATTTATTCTGTGAGGTCATCGGTATGGACAACTCGCACCTTAGAACGATCGATGTTAGTTTCTGCGGCCTGGGAGACCGGGGAATTCAGGCCCTTTCGCGCGCTCTGGCACGTAGGAAACGGAAATCAATCATGCCATTGCGTGGTATAATTCTATCTGGAAACTATATATCGGAGAAAATAGCCTCCGAATTGGGACGGGCCTTGTCTCCCGACGCATATGAAGGCACAAGTAGTATTGACGCCTACTACAACAAAGAGTTTGGCTTGCAGGTTTTGCATTTGGGTTTAGCGCTTCAAGAGCCCTTGGCTATTAAAGGTTTGCTCCAGGGGTTGGGACCATTATGCCCCATCAAGGAACTGAGTCTCACGTCGAATAAAATTGGCATAGACGGTGTCGAGTGCATCATCAGCTTTTTGGAAGGGAAGGATCTCGAATGGAATACAAAGTTTCCGGACAAAACACATGGCCTGGTCATGCCATTCTTGGTTCGTCTGGACTTTTCTAACAATAAGATTGGAAACGAGGGCCTTAAGAAGCTCACGAAAATTTTGCCTAAGCGTCAGAATCTAGAAGAATTGAGACTTTCAAACAACGGCATCGCCCACAGTGGCATTGAAGAAATGATGAACAAGTTGCTGCATCGCAATCTCGTTAGCTTGACGCTGGACAAGAATGGCATCGGAGATCAAGGATGCCAACTGATTGCAGCTTCTTTGTTGAGCATGAAATGTCTTTCACGCCTGAATCTTAGCTTCAACCAAATTGGAAGCCGAGGTGTGAATAGCCTAATGCGCAGTCTTGTAGCCTGCGATACCATTACTTATCTTGGTCTTTCTGGAAATATTATGAAAATTTCTGGGGCCGTTGCTCTTGCTTTTACACTTGCACAACACCCACGAATAGAAGAACTCGATGTTGATAATTGCTGCTTGAGTCAAGCCGCGCAATGTCATATCATAGCCGGAATAATATCGAACAGATGGGTTCCTTTAACGAGAATGAATGGCTTCGAAGCTGGGCCACCGATGGTTGCATTAGGTGCTTTGAAAGTTTCAGATCAATGTTTGAGCAATGAAGAATGTTTCAGGATACGAAGAGATGAACAAATGAAAACAATTTTGCAATGGATGGAATCAAACCGTAGCAAATCGGGGAGAAAAGACCCTAATTCAGCAGGAAACTCAAGGATGGAAAGCCAATATCTGCCTCCAAACTTTGTTCAAAGCATGAATGACGTTGAAGGCATACCATCTCAAAATGCCTACCTTCGGTTACTAAGCTGGCTCAGTCGGATTCCATTCGACGAAGACGAGCTGATCTCGCTCCGGAAGTACTTTTATGACTCGGATGGTTTGTCTGAAGATCGTGGAAGCGATGGCTACGTAAATTTGAAGTTAAGAGGGGATTTGCTTGCAGCACTAGAAAGTGATGTAGCCGATGAAATTAGAGATGAGACTCCTATGCTGGTCCAATACGATGGCTCTGTTGGCTTTGATATAGATCGAATTGATGACGAGTCAGATAAAATTAAATCGGAGAAAAGCTCAGATCCAGAGTGGGACTACATGATGGGGCATAAATTCGACAAAGCAGCAAGATTGTTGGCTTCGGATTCAAAGATAGATAAAGGATTGGACGATGTGAAGCATCATTTCCGAGGAGATGACGATGACAGTCAGTTCTCCACTGATGACGATCTTGCGCATAATAGAAAACGAAGAATTTTTCCTTCGGCAGAATTTCCGGAATCAAATTCACGAGGAAGTCCTCCCAGTCCCTGCTCTACCACTTCGACAGGAAATTTGCACAGTTTGCAAAGTATGGTGAATAGCAGCTCTGAACGAAGCAACCTTAGTTCGGGCGAAAAGGAGATTAAACGAGTTGCCTTGAAAGCAAGAATAACAATGTTTCCACAGTTTGAGGGTAAGTTGGAGGAACTCAAGTACACCGCTACAGAAATGATTGAATCGGAAGAAGATCCCGAGCAACAAGAGATTATTCTTACGCAATATGCCGAGGCTTCACTTACGATTCTTCGGCAACTGAGATATCATTGTATGAACAATGGACTCGACGGGTGGCGACAGGGCTCTACGAAGCGGAAGGTCCTGATCGTTGATGATAGTCTTGTTACTCGAAAGCATCTATCTCGAGTCTTCGAAAAAGCTAATTTCATTGTAGATTCAGCGGAAAATGGTGCCGAAGGAGTAGAAAAGCTGAAGCAGGCCATTTACGATATTGCTTTCATGGACATCGACATGCCAGTCATGAACGGCTTTGAGGCGACCAAGAGGCTCAGACAATGGGAGGATAATATGAGACCGGGAGTGCGACAGCCGATTTGTGCTCTTACAGCTGCCCATGTAGACGATTTTGAACGAAGTGAGTTGATGAAATTCAAGGAAGCAGGTCTAGATGTGTTCGAGAGCAAACCATGTAACATTCCAAGGCTGTTCAAAGTGGTCGATGATGTCTCGCCCATGTTTAGTGATTTATCGATTAGCGTCATACAGCAAGAAAGGAAGCAAGCTTGAGGTCTTACGAAAGGTGTGGCCTTTTCAATTCCGCAAGGAAAGAATCAAAGACAGCATGTAGCTAAGAAACTAGAATCACCGGAAGAAAGACACCGTCATAGATGTTCGACAAATAGAATCAGCGTTGACGATGATACAATTTAGGATGGTTTCCGATGGCCATGGAAGGTTGCGACAGGTACTTGCTTTTGTTCTTTTTTTGGGCTGGAACGAGAAGAATGATGACAGGATTAGTGAGAATTCTCCTACTCTTGCCACAAATCCCTTGCCAGAGATGCGAATATAGAATTGCTATTGATTATATTCTACCCATTCGTATTGGCTCTGGAAAAACACTGGTATGCCGTTTTCCTGCTTTTTTGTACAAAACACATTTATCAATCTAATCAAATTTGAGCATTTCAACGATGCCCCATTCTCCAGACCATCGATAGAGAGGAAAAAGGTTCTCGGTGCCCAATCTACGCCAGCAGTTCAACGAAAACAGTGAATGACGGAGTTCAGTAATCTTTTAAGAAAACTTTTAGATCAAATGGTAGAAGAAACTATGGTAGTGTACTCTTCATGATAGTTACGACATAATTCCGTAGAATTCGATACACGTGCGGTGCTATACTTCAAGACACAACCTCTCGCATATTCTCCGCAACGTTATCTATCATTTACAGTACTTTTCACGACAGCTAAGAAACAAAGATTGCTCATATAAATAATGTATGAAAATTTCAGATAAATTCAACTTCTATAATATATTTGATCCCAGTAAGAGTGAAATGCACCTTTTAATCGATTTCTTCAATGGTAGGTCCTCCAGCGGGGTCCTCGGCGGCAGGGGCGCCTCCTGGAGCACCTCCTGGCATACCACCCATGTCAGGCATGCCTCCAGGCATACCTCCGGCAGCACCTCCCATCTTTTGGAGGATGGGCATGGCAACACCTTCAAGTTCCTTTTGCTTCTCTTCGTATTCCTCCTTTTCGGCAGCGGGGTTGCTGTCGAGCCAGCTGATGGTCTCCTCGATCTTGCTCTCGACTGCAGTCTTGTCGGCAGGGTCCATCTTGTCGGCGACTTCGCCACTAAGAGATCCCTTGAGAGAGTAGCAGTAGTTTTCGAGTCCATTCTTAGCTTCGATACGGTTCTTGTTGGCATCGTCCTCGGCCTTGTACTTTTCGGCTTCGGAAACCATGCGCTCGATTTCTTCCTGGGAAAGACGTCCCTTGTCGTTGGTGATGGTGATCTTGTTCTCCTTTCCGGTAGACTTCTCGAGGGCGCTGACGTTCAAGATACCATTGGCATCAATGTCGAAGCAGACATCAATTTGTGGTTGCCCACGAGGCATAGGAGGGATTCCGTCGAGGTTGAACTTTCCGAGGATATTGTTGTCCTTGGTCATCGAACGTTCTCCTTCGAAGACCTGGATAAGAACACCGGGTTGGTTGTCGGCGTAGGTAGAGAAGGTCTGGGTCTTCTTGGCAGGAACGGTAGTGTTTCTCTTGATGAGGGTAGTCATGACTCCTCCTGCGGTTTCGAGACCAAGGGAAAGAGGAGTGACATCCAACAGGAGAAGTTCGGAAAGCTTTTCGGACTTGTCGGATCCGCTCAAGATAGCGGCCTGGACGGTGGCTCCGAATGCAACGGCTTCATCGGGGTTGATAGACTTGCAGAGTTCCTTTCCGTTGAAGAACTCAGTGAGCATGGTCTGGATCTTGGGGATACGGGTGGATCCTCCAACAAGGACGATTTCATCAACTCCGGCCTTGGAGATCTTGGCATCTCTCAAAACCTTTTCGCAGGGCTCCATGCACTTCTTGAAGTAGTCCATGTTCAAGTCCTCGAAACGGGCACGGGTGATGGTGGCATTGAAATCGATACCGTCAAAGAGGGAGTCAATTTCAATGTGGGCCTGAGTAGAGGAAGAAAGAGTACGCTTGGCACGTTCGCAAGCGGTACGAAGACGACGGAGAGAGCGCTGGTTCTTGCTCATGTCCTTCTTGTGTCGTCTCTTGAAGTCGGTGAGGAAGTAGTCAACCATTCGGTTATCGAAATCCTCTCCTCCCAAGTGGGTATCTCCGGCAGTGGCCTTGACTTCGAAGATTCCTTCTTCGATGGTAAGAAGAGAGACATCAAAGGTACCTCCTCCAAGATCGAAAATGAGGACATTCTTTTCGTCTCCCTTCTTGTCCAATCCGTAGGCGATGGCAGCGGCGGTAGGTTCGTTGATAATACGAAGAACATTAAGTCCGGAAATGGATCCGGCATCCTTGGTAGCTTGACGCTGAGAGTCGTTGAAGTAAGCAGGTACGGTGACAACAGCGTTCTTGACTTCCTTGCCCAAGTATGCCTCGGCAATGTCCTTCATCTTCGTAAGAACCATGGAACTGATTTCTTCGGCCTTGAAGGTCTTGGATTCTCCCTTGTACTCGACCTTGATGATGGGGGTACCTCCGGGTCCGGAGATAACTCCGAAAGGCCAGTGCTTCATGTCAGCTTGGACGGCGGCATCAGTGAATTTGCGTCCGATCAATCGCTTGGCGTCGAAGACGGTGTTATCGGCATTCATGGCGGCCTGAGACTTGGCAGCATCTCCAATAAGACGCTCGGTCTCAGTGAAGGCAACATAAGAAGGGGTAGTACGGTTACCTTGGTCGTTGGCAATGATTTCGACACGGTCATTTTGCCAAACACCGACACACGAGTAGGTGGTTCCAAGATCAATTCCGACGGATTCTCCGGTGACAGCTGTTGCGATGAAAGGATAAAAAATTAATTTTGGTTAGTTGTTTCGATCAACGGAAAATTGGTACAAATTAATTTCGGAACGCCTTGCACGGTCATTTTCTAAAGGGACAGAACAATTGACCAATGCGCAACTTCGCCGCCATGGTAAAATAGTCAAGACAAGCAGTTCATAGCGCAAGATAGGAGTTCAGCAACAATGTTCGGTCAAGTGATCTCGTTTCAACTTACCAGCCATTGTTGTATGCTATTATTTTTAGTATTTATTTAAACTTGTTTGGTTTCAGATTACTCTGATTTTAATTTGTGAGCTTGTGGTGTTCTGAAAAAACGAATGAAGGGGAAGACCAGGAGCCAAACTTTTGCGAGGTTTTATGCGGATTCCCGCGACGTGGTCTGCTCCATGCCTCTGTTTTTTCTGATTTGGCTTCTTGGCCTTTCGCAGAGTCTCTTCGATGGAGACACTTGGTTCGTGGTTGGGTCATGGTCGTACAATGTGTGGTGGAGAAGTTGTTGTAATGAGAGGGGGACCAAGCAACGTAGAGAAACACGACAGAATATTCTAGCGATCGTCGTAACACGTGGTGTCATTGGTCAAAACTTCAGTCGTGCCAAAATATTGAAATATATTGAGAATAGGAATCCCGCAGATCCCTTGGTCATATGCACGACTGAAATGGAGCTTCTGAGAGGCACGAGAGCAAGGTACAAATATGACCCGTTCAAATACATACGTGCACTACTCGTACCATTTTGAACGCAACCAATGCGTTTCGAGCGTTAGAAGCCTGCTGGCATGCGTTGCGATACAATGCCCCAAATAATCGCCTCCTATCATTGCCCTTCGCCAAAGTCTGCAATTTTCTAACGGTTCAAAAACGGATAGCGACTGTGATTGGCTGGTGCTAGGCGTGCAGATGGCGGGAAGAAAGGTTTCACAGGGAATTTCCTTCCAAAATAATTAGCAGTATTTCGACTCCGTGCAGATAAGAAAAATACGAACTCTTATGACTCAGGCCTATGACGAATGGACACATAGGTACTAAAGGTATTATTAAAATTATTGAATTCCCAGAAAAATACCGTATCGTAGCACCAGAAATCCATGAAGCCCAGAGAACGGGATAGTGTTGGCGAAGAGAATCCCTTCGTCAATCAGGATAATTGTCCTGAATAGATCCTAGTAGATCCAGCAGAGACACCACTGTTCCCAACGATGCAATCTACTGGTATATGACAAAGGATCGGCTTACACCAAATAATAGTACCCACCAATTTCAGAAGTAGTTGAGCATCAGGGTGCATTTTCCATGTTCGATCATCAGAAGATGTTCATGGTACCTGCAATTTTGGAATGTCTTGCTTGTTCTTTTTCCTGAAAAGAAACCTGATTGCCCTCGTTTGCAGACGATGGTGAACTATGTATTGATTTTTTCCTTCAATTGACTCCCCAAACTCCGAAGAGTCGTTCTGCGGTTCCGCCCATGACGGCACTCTTCTCCTCCGGACTACTCATCCACGAAAGCACAGTGTCTACGGCACCTTGGTAGCCAATTTCTTCCTGTGTCACAAATGGAAAATCGGTTCCGAACATCAACCGATCGGGGCCATATGCCTCAAGGAGGGGTTCGAATCGTTCGGTTCGGACCCTCTCATACTTGGGAGCTCCGGGGTCACCCAGGCGAAACAGAGCCGAAATTTTTACCACCGTGTTCCTATTTTTTAGGCTTAAGACCTTTTCGAATTGGTCCTGGTTCTCCACCGATGCAAACCCGAAATGATCCAGGACGACCACGGTCTCGGGGCTAGTATCGCACAAAGATTCGATGTCCTCGTAGTGCAGATCGATCCCCTTGAAGCACATGATTCCCACCGGGAACTTCAACTCCGCACAGCGCTTGAAGATTTTCACCGCCGCCTCGTTCTCGCACATTTTTCCCTCAAACAAATACGGATTGAACCGCACACCGACGTACCCCTGTAGAACCAATTCCTCGAACCTGGCCAGGGCGGCATCGGGATCGGATTCGGAGGGATCAAAGAGCAGTATCCCCTTGAACTTATCCGGGTGGCCCTTCAACGCATCGGTGACGTACCGGTGGTCGTATTTGTGGTTGATCGGTTGCACAATGAGTGCACCGTCCACCCCCGCCTTCGACATTTGGTCTAGGAGCGAGGAGGTCGAGGACGTGTCAATAAGGGAGTCGGGGGGCGTTTGTTCCGGCGCGTAGGGGTAGGTGGCGCTTTCGGCCGAAGATGCCCACACGTGCAGGTGCGAATCGATGATCTTCATCTGGAGCGCGGTGGAGGAAGCGTAGCTGTTGGAATCGATGGAAGGGGAAGAGTGCAGGAACGATTGGGTGGATCGGAACTTGGAGCCAAGGAAGAGGATCAGCGGCAGATTGAATCCTTTAAGCATTTTTGTGGTGCGTCGATTGTTTGTCGATAAGAGCTGTGCCTTGACAGAATACATATACAAGGGTTGAGCTCGAAGAAAAAGAGGTTGTCCTATCTCTCCCAGTGTGACGCCGTTTCAATCGCATCGAATGTGTTGCACCACATCAACAGAAAAGGAAAACGAAAACAACGATCTTTCTTGATCAGCCGAAGAAAAAAATAGAAATAAAATTTCGTACACATGTCGTACATACGTACTGTACAGTAAGCACGCCGTTCGTCCGTTCGTACGTACTACTACTTCTTTTTTGTTTTCGCAAGGAACACGACATTCATGATATTTTAATCGAATGAATCCAGTAAGTAAAAGTACAGTACCTCATACGACAGGCTGTCAACCAAGGAAGTGCGGATTATTTTTCTATGCAATAACCATCGACAGCAAGAGAAAAAAAGAGCGGTCGAGGACGTGATTGATGCCTGTCAAGAAGAATAGTAATTTGAAATTCAACCAGGACAAAAGAGACTCAAATACAAGAAAGAGAGAAAGAACGAAAAGAGATAATTGGAAGAGCAAAAGAGAAAGAATTCAGACCTTCAGGATAATAGTCAAAGAACGATCTCGCAACAACGAATCCCTCATCATCGCCGTTGTCGCATAGCAGCTGAAACGTGCCATTACCAGCAAAGATACGATGGCATCCAACAACGGTCAAACTCCGGGAACAACCTTCCCCGTGATGCCGTTGTCTATTCCCAAAGATATTGCCCAAAACGAAGCAGCGTTGTCGTCCTCTCTTCCGTCGTCCTCGTCGTCGACGACAACGATATCAAAGCCCGGTGTCCCGGGAACACCAAAAAGCATATACGAAATGATCATGTCCAATCCACCTCCGACGTCGGCTAACTACACCCCACAGGCTGCAATGCATCGTCCCGTTGAATATTATAGCGAAACCAACAGGGTGGATCGAGGACGCGGGTACAACAAAGACTACGCCCTCGACAAACTCACACGAAAATCCCTCCCGTACTTCATGCCGTGGAAGACTTCCGGCGGACCCACCGAAATACCCCCCAACTATGCCTGGTTGATGGACGGCTGCGCAGGAAAGGCTGCCATCGGTGTCTTTGGTGGCGGGGTGATGGGGCTGTTGATGGGGGTATTTCTAGGAGCCCTCTCGGATTCGCAGCCTCCCATCCAGGTCGCCGGTGGAAAGGACGTGCCGCAGGCACCCTTCAAGGAGCAGGCCCGGTACACGATGCGGGCCACCGCCGAGAAGTCCATGTACTGGTGCCGTAATTTCGCCTTCATCACGGGGGTCTTTGGTGGGTCCGAGTGCCTTGTGGAAAAGTTCCGTGGCAAGCACGACATGTGGAATCCGGTCGTCAGCGGATGCATCACCGGCGCCGCCCTCCAGGCACACGCGGGGCCGCAGGCGGCTGCGGTTGGGTGTGGTGGATTTGCGGCATTTTCCATCGTGATCGACAAGATTATGGGAAACTATGACTAGCGAACAATGAGCACAAATCAATGGAAGAAAGACAGAGACTGGTAAAGTTCGACCGAGTCAAGAACGCTATTTTATGCCGTGTCGTACGATCCGTGTCAGTTTCATTAGTAGAAACTACATTGATTTGAAGTTCACACAATATGCACTAACTTTTTCGTATCATAGACTGAAAACAGTAGCTACGGAGCAAACCAGTAAAATCTTTATTCTTATTGAGTTCTTTGAGTTGATATCGATGTGGAATGTAATTCATCGGCATGAACTTGCTGCTTTTCCTATTATTTAAATCGAATCGACTGTCCCTGGATCACCTTCATAAGAGCCTGCTCTTCCCGAAGCTCTTCGGGTGACAAATCCTCCCACTGTCTTGTGGAAGCATAAGAACTAATACCGTCATCAAGTCCGGAGCGTCCTAGCTTTTCGTCTCGAATGAGGTCTTGGAGATTCTGCGTTGACAACGAAGTACCTATTCCGGCATTGTCACTCGACCCCCAAAGTTGTTCGATGCCAAACACGTTGCTATACAAGTTGAATACAAGGTATCCCAGCGAGACCAACCCGACGATTGCTGCTGGCAATATCCATCGCTCTACACTCGATTCGGTAAGAACTGCATTGGAATTTGCCAATGCCTCGTTTCGAGATAGTTTCTTTTCGTATTGTAGAGTCTTGACTCCGGGCAACTGCTGGTCAGATCTTCGATACCCGAGTGATTCGAAAAGATCAGTGGATGGCTTTGCTACCCTCGCTTTCTCGCCGGCTGCTCCCGTCGTTTCTGGGTATGCGAGTCCAATTATACGGGTCGCCCCTGATTGAATGGCGCGTTGTTCGCCTTCTCGGATCAAGTCCTCCAGAAGAGTTGTCGTAGACACCTGCTTCGTCAACCCTTGTTTGGCAGTGCCATCGTCTTCATCCTCCGACCACGATGAACACACACGTCGAATCGCTGCGGCGACCTCGGGTTCTGACACGGATGATCCGGATGATTGGTACACGACCTGGGTGCCGGTTATCATACCCAGCGTCCCCACGATGGATGATTTTCGCTTGTCGCCGTTTTCGTCGTCGTCGTTGTGATCGTTGCAATCCCCTGCCACGGCTACCAAAAAGCACCCACCGTCCTCTTTCGAATACGATTCCTGCAGACAGAGTCGATTCAACACATCTAATTCAAGGGATCCTTCGGGATCAAAGTCATCGTTGGTCGTCTGGGCCTGCTCTCTTCTTTGCTCCAACAGAAGTTCGTAAATAGATTCGGGTTCGTTACCGTTCGAGCGCCAGTCGCGAATGGTTATTTGCTGGCTTTGAGCCCAAAGCCGGGCCGACAACTTGTTCAGGGTGCTTCGGCACCGGTGATCACTGCCATGGTGGAGGGACGAATGCAAAATCGATCCCCGGGTCGAAAAGGATGCAAACGCATCGACAGTCACGTCGGTAAATTTCAATAGGGCTACCGATACAACGACAACCAGTTTCAGAATCCGAGAAGGTAGTATCGGCCGAGTCATTCTCGTCGCCGAATGATCAACAAATGAGATTGCTTGCACGGTACAAGACTTGTCACTTTCATCGATCATGAGTCTTTCGATTTCAAGTGCAGTTGTTCCTAATAGCTCTTGAGGATGAGTTTCTCCTGGATCCTTGTACTGCTTTCTGTGCTGGTCGATCGGTACGATGGTGGTATCCGCCTAGTACTAGTAGTATGATAGTACAGGTACTAGTATTAAACTAGTAATACACATATCTATTTTGCACTATCGGTTCTTGTTAGTACTAGTATTTCTTATGTGACCATTGTATCACTTCTCTTGATTAATCTCATTCTATTGTTCTTATTGACTATTGATCGCAGTACTATTAATACTAGGAATACTAGTACTAGTAATACTAGTAGTAGTAATAGTACTAGTACTACTAGTACTAGTAATACTACTACTAGTAAAAGTAATCATACTAGTAGTAATAGTGGTAGTAGTAGTAATTTTAAGGGACTAGTAGTAGTAATACCATTTTAGTATTCTTATTACTACTAGTACTAGTAGTACTAATCTGACTAAGTCAAAAAGCAGCAATGGTTTCCATGTGGAATAAAAAATAAACATTCAAAGAAGCTGCTTGTGGTAGATGGCATCATGTGTCCCTTAAGAATAGATAAACGGGGGTTCTGGGAAACAATTTTGCTGACAATTAGAAAAAAATAGATTAAGGTACTAGAAATAAAGAAACTCTTAAGTAGCTTTTTGAGGAGGAAGAGGAGGGGGAGGAGGGGGAGATGGATCGTGAGAACCAGCAACCAAATCACCAACAAGAACAGTATCATCAACTGACAATAAAGAAGCAATTGACAACAAAGCAACTGAATCACCAACCAAATCACCAACTGAATCACCAACCAACAACAAAGAAACCAAATCAGCAAATTATCCATTTTTAATTATCTGTTTTTACTATTTTGTTTGTTATAAAACTTCTTCTAATGGTCCAACCACCATTGTGCTCAATTCAGTACTACTATCTGCAGTTGGTAGCGTTAGTTCACTGTTAACAGTGCTGCTGCTTGGTGAAACAACAATATCAACATCAGCATCATCAACGCTAGTGATCTACTCATCCTCATCCTCATCCTTGATGTCCAATAAGAGTTTCATGTACTCAGTGTTATCTTTCAACTCCTCTTTGCTTGGAGGTCTCCAATTTTTCCTGTCTTCAGATGATTTGTCATTTCTAACTCTAGAGCAGTAGTCACTTCTTCCAAGCCCAAACCACTCATAATTGGGGTAGTTGCTGTGACAGAACTTCCAGATGGGATCTCCATTAAAATCCCTATGCTTTGAATTGCTTACAGTGACACATAGGGGGACTGCACATAGCTTGCACATGTTGTAAGCACCATTATGTTTTTGCTCCTTGACTTTGTAGACCCAACAGCCTTCAGATGATTTGCATACTCAGTCTGAGTGAAGCAAATCTTCCAATTGCCTTGTACTCTGCAATGGTCTGCAAATTGTGATATCCAGGCAACTTTCCATTCTTAAGGAGTCTTCTCACTAGCTTTTCTTCTAGTTGCCCTACCAGTTCTTGACCTTCTTCTTGTTGCTTTTGTACATTCCCTTTTCTAGTATCACAGTTATATGCCTGCTCAACAGGATTGTATTTAATCATCTGCAAAGCAAGCCTTTGGCAGAACTTGCGGTAGCTCATAACAACATTTCTTACCTTCCACTCATCACCCAGGCTACCATCAGTACACTCTTTGTAGCTATTGTATGCTATAGCAATGGCCAAGGCTTTTGTGTGATAAATCACAGCATGGTAGTATTTCCATGATTTGTAACCAATGTTGGCTCTGGAAATATGTGCATTGATATGGTCCAGTTTTCCATATGTATAAAGATAAACCTCACATGACTCATTTATCTCAATGCCCCATCATCTTTTGTCATTTCCCCTTCCCCTTTCCTTTTGATAAATGTAAAGAGATGAAGATGAAATAGAGTTCACTGAACCTAAATTGCATGTTCTGGTGCTCTGGAATGAACAATGGACTCATCTGTAAGCTTTGGTTTCTTTGTCAGGATCAGCTGGTACAGTTTTCACATCAGTAATAGGCTTAGCAAGATGTGATGTGTTTGCTCTCTGTTTCCTGTTTGAATCCCCAGCGGTGTTCTTCTTATGAAAGTACTTTCCAGGAACCTTAGTGTGTAATCTGTTCTTAGCAACAGTTCCCATCATACCTAACTCTTGCTCACCCATCCAATCCAAGATGGAATCTGATACAAAGAAATTGGCAGCTGTGATATGAGGAGGAGATTTCCACAGCTTTTATCAAGAACAAAGTTTTCAACAATGTGATGAATGTCAGCAGGGCCAGTGCAGGAATGTCTATCATTGCTAGATTCCCATCCACAATGCCGATGTTTCCATGCTCTGGGTTGGATGCAATCAACATCCAACAGAAGGACTGTTTGTCTGCCTCTTGTAATCATCTTTCCTTTGAGATGATTAACAAGTGGACCACTAAAGCTGTGATGTGGCCAGCTCATCTCATCAAGAATACATAGATCTAAGCCAGCCCATTCAGTGAAAAAATTTGTATTGTTGACAATGGTCTTGTAGATTCAATCAAACTTCTAAGCTACCCTGCCACAGATGGAATCTCCAGGGTAGGTCCTTTCCAAATTGTTTTTGCATAGCTTCAAGTTCCTTCTAATTTCATGCCACCTTGTGCAAGTCATCGTGTTTGCAATGTCCTCATTAAATGAAAGATCTTTTGCATCCCATCTATACTTGACATTTTCACTTGCTCCTTCACAAGCTCCATCCATAAAAAGGATGTTATCAAAATGAACTGCTTCAGGTAAGGTGACAGGTTTCACTTGGTGACCTTCCATTTGAATCAGAGATGTAGACATTAGTATGATATTGCATCACCTTGTTACTTCCTCCGGTCCACTTTATGTGTCATTTTAGCACCTTTATTACTGAAATAACAAGGTCAAAATTGGGCAATTGGAATGCTTCTTTTTTTGTTTAACATATCTATTATAAATATGTATACAAGTATAAAGATCGTATTAATTGAAAGCGTCTGACATACTTGTGGCCGTTACTTAAAGAGGCCCTTTTTTGGCATATCAATGTGATTTTAACGTCAGTTGGGTTCTAACTTTCATTTTGATACGCTGCTACTTGCACATGATAGCTAAGAGTGACACATTTTTGAGGCTGTAATTCTCTTTAGGATGGAGATCTTTCTTGCATCAGTCATTCTTGTTCAAAAGAGGTGCCTGTTACCATTGTCAATGCAAACTTTAGTTCCCCATCTTAATATAGTGTATTTTCATGTGTAAAAATTAAAATATTTTTCATCAAGCGCATGCACATTTTTAGTCTTCAGTACTGATTGTACATGTTCTACACAGTCATTTGTACAATCCAACTACCAAAACACTCAAAAACTGTTAAGTAAAGTGGAGAGACATATACAGGATCAACAAAAACAGGTTACAATGACACATATAGTGGACTGGAGGAAGTATATTTAGTATGCTTCTTCTCAAGTTCAATCTGATACTGCTGAGCTTCCATTGAATCAGGGGCAATAGGTAGCAGCAGCTGATAGAAAAAGAGTACATCTCCATCTTCAATGTGATATTTTGTGAGCCCATGTTGCTCTAACTTTAAAATATCAAGCTTCCCCTTCCTCTCGTCCGGAAACATGTTCTCTCGAGTAGTAGCAATTTTCCTTGCAAACTGGTTGTTAGGATCTTCCACAGTACCATCCCACCCAAGGTAATGAAACTTCCACCCTTTTCCCTCCCTGATGGGTTCCTTGCCAAGACCAGCTAAGTTTTTAGGAATTTCCACAGGCTTACTACACTCAGAAGGAAGGAAGTGATCTTTGTATTTCCCCGTACCTGCTTCAAACTTGGGTCTGTAGTAATATGGATGCCAACCACCGGGCTTGTCTGCATCATTGCAGTCTTCTGGTTCTCCTTTGTCAACCTTTGGATCCTTCCTTTCATAACCCACTGGAACCTTTGGATAGTTCAGACTGGTGCTGTCAACAATAGTTCCATTCTTCCAACAGAAGAACTCAGTATCATAAGAAGGCTCAATTGTGTTGTCCCAATTCCAAGCTGTTTGGCTCTGAGTGATTACATTGAAGAACTCTGCTTGTGCCGCCTCTTTGTGACTCATTCCAGAAGCCTCCAAATCATAATTTGGCTCAGTATCGTCAACAACCTCTTCATTGTCACTTGAGCTTTCATCATCCTCAAACAAAGTTTCCACATCTGATTTGTGTAACTCCTCAAAGGCTGCTGCAGATTGGGACTCCACAAGGGCCCTGACTGATGTTACTGGTTATTGGGTTGTCCTTCTTGTTGGTTGTCCCGTTGTCCTTGATGAACGTTGGTTGGTTATGTTGTTGAGTGACATCAATAGTGTTGCTGGTAGTGTTGGTGATAGCTTTGTTGATGGTGTTGCTTAGTGTCCCTACTAGTGTTGGTGAGTGTCGCTGGTGCAGATGGGTCTTGTCGATTCATTGTTGTTGTTGTTGTTGTTGTTGTTGTTGTTGTTGTTGTTGTTGTTGTTGTTGTTGTTGTTGTTGTTGTTGTTGTTGTTGTTGTTGTTGTTGTTNTGTTGTTGTTGTTGTTGTTGTTGTTGTTGTTGTTGTTGTTGTTGTTGTTGTTGTTGTTGTTGTTGTTGTTGTTGTTGTTGTTGTTGTTGTTGTTGAAGAAGAAGAAGAAGAAGAAGAAGGAGGAGGAGGAGGAGCAGCAGCAGTATTGGTTCAACATTGGTGCAACATTTGACATTATTTTAGTTCAATATGCTCATCAAGAATTTATTTCCAGGAATTCGACAGACATCAAGACAAAATTTCCATTAAAAAAAGGTGTAGTTAGACAAGATTTTGAGATGTCAGTAGCTGCATTTGACATCTTTTAGTCCGGAAAAAGATAGCCCAAGATGTACAACTAAGTCATACATTTGCTGGCCAAGCCTATACAATATGGCAATGATTAATAGTAATTTGTACTTAGGGGGGGTCAGGAAATTACTGGAAAGTTACGGGTTGGAGCAAAAAGTGAAGACCCTCAAGTGGATGAAATGGAGACTGCTGAGGAGATTTGTCCTGTCTCGTCATGAGTGTGGTGAGTGCCAAAACCAGGATTCCATGCTCATTCTTACTACTAATACTAGCAGTAGTAGCAGCAGTAGCGACAGCAATAGTAGTAGTAGTGGCTTCTAGACAGAAACTCTAGTGCTGTTATCAGCAATGTTCTAACTAGTTTTATTGATGCTGTATTTGATACTAGCCTCCCCTTTCTTTGTAGTGACTTCTGCTACAGATTCCTGTAAAGTGCCCTTGTCTTTGACCTCAACATTCTCCATTTCCCATTTCTTTGGGAAGAAGTTGTCAATTTTCTCTGGATTATCTACTTTGCTCTTTCTTTGTTCAATCCTTTTCTGATTATCCACACAACATCACTTCTATTTGAAATACTGTGATTCAATGTAAACATTTTCTTTTTTGCTATTAAAACAAATTCTTTACCACTGAGGCTGCAGTACAGTCAAGTTTTGCACAATTCTAGTATTGGTACTTTTTTGCTTCCCAACTCAAATCCATAGATTAAGCTGATGTTTAAGATCAGTGTCCTTTAATTTTTCTTTGATAGTAATGCTGATCAAAGGCAATGTTTGAATTTGATAGTATGAGTACTAGTAGTACCACTGCTACTAGTACTGCTACTAGTACTAGTACTAGTACTACTAATATTATGAGTCTTCCTAGTACTAACCAAGAGGCAGTGAAGCATAGATTTCAGTTTAACACCAGTTGAAAGGGTTCTACTACTAGTAGTCATAGTCATTTTGATATGTCAATGCTTGTACATGCTAATAGCTACTATGTTTAAGGTTTATGAGGCTTCTGTCATTCTTGTTCAACAGAGTTGTCTCAGTACTACTACTACTAGTACTTAGTTTGATCTAATGTTTATATCACCAGTGAATGGAAATAGTGGTAGCATTTGATTGCATATTGTACATTTCTATTCTCTGGTACTGATTCTAAATTTTCTATGCTGTCATCTCCTACTCCTGTGAAATCACTCCCTCCTAAACTGTGGAATAAAAAATAGTCAGATATTAAGGACCAGTGAAAACTATGAATAATTACTTAGTACATTTTGGACTAGATGAAGTACTCAACAGCACAAATTTATTACAATATTGCAATCATATTGGAACACGAGGAGGAGAAATGGTCAAACTAGACAGGGGTCATAAATTGGAAAAAAAGAAGAAAAACTCATATTCCATCAATGGCAGGAATAAGAAAATTTTAACCCCAGGGATTTTTTAAAATATCAATTTTACTGCATAGCACTACTAGTAAAACTATCCAACTTGCCAACTTGTGAGTAGTCATACTAGCTTTATCATAAAAAATACTACTATTAGCCATAATTTTTTACTACACCCCCTGAACCAGTTTTTCATGAGTATTCTGAATATGCTAATATTTTCAGCAGCAAATGGATTCTTGGTATACCCTGCATTTACTACCTCTGAAAGGTTGAAGGTAAGGAACTACATAGATAAGAGGTTTCTGCTGGTAATACCAGCAACCTATATGTTCATAATCCTGACTAAAAACTCATTTCTAGTTACAAGAGTTAGTACTAGACATAACCTAATATTAATTTTGACCAGGTTATTACAATTTTAAACTGAATTTTTTCACTGAGCAAAACCTGATGAAGGATAGACCATTTTGCACCAACAGTGCCATTAGTACTGTGGTATTACTGGGATTAAACTGAACTTGATCTGTTACTGAAAATATTGGCATATTCAGAATCCTGATGAAAAACTGGTTCAGACAATGCAAGTGTAGCCAAAAAATAATACTGGTAGTAGTTTTGATAAAGTTGTTGCTACTTCCAAGTTGGTTGTTTTTAGTATTAGGAGTACTAGTAGTACTAGTAGTGTTTTGCAAAATTTAATCCCTGGGGTTAAATTTTCTTATTGCTGCCACATATGGAATATGGTTGTCTAAAATGGTGCTGCAAAAATTGATTGTGTTGTGCACCACTCTCTAAATTTATGACCCCTGACACAAGATCCCTATTTTGGAATGAAACTTGTCCTCATTCTATGAAAGCAAGAAAATGAAAGTTCAAACTTTTTTCTAGAAGAGGGAAATTGATCCAAACTAGCTATTCTTGGAGCTTTTAACAAAGGTCATCTTTATCATCTACTAGGAAGAGATAGAAATATGTTGTGGGATTGACCAGGCTACATGATTTGACAGCAGCACCAGCATATTCATACTACCGGCAGGCCAGTAGTAGCAGACTTTTTTGGAGGACTGGGTTTTCAGCACTCCCAGGCTGTTCAGATCAAAAATTTTCTTCCAGAGTTAACCAGACACTCATCCTCTTTGGACCAGAATAGGCTAATCTGAAGACTCAGGATAATAATATTTCACTACCAGTCCCAACAGGTTACTACAGTAGCAGCAAGCAATGATTGAGGACTGGATTTGCACCCCAATCATACCCTTTTTTCACTAATTATTCTAGTAGAAGAAGTACTACCAGGAATGTGTGCCAATACCAAAATAGAAGCTAATACTAGAAGCTCTGATGAAGTGGGGTACATTGCTTAGATACTTCTTGGTACTACTACTACTACTACTACTACTACTACTAGTAGTAGTAGTAGTGGGAAGAATGAGGACAGGAGGAAGAGATTTTTGAATGGTATGATGGGATAATCCACTTCTAGTAGTAAAAGTACAAAAGAGTTTTGAATTCACACAACAAGGTTATCCTTGACAATGACAAGGTTCCCAAGGATTGAGTATATTCTTTTCTGAGGAAACATTATACTCAACAAAGGAGCAATCCTGAGTGGAATTGTGAGGAAAGAATTGATAAGAATGCAAGGGAAGGAGTATTTGTGGACATCAAGCATGAAAGAGTTTGGTTAGGTAAGATAGTCAAACCTACAGGTTATGATCCCAATTAAATAAAAATCATCACCGCCATGACAATTGCTCTCTCCTCACATGACTCTACCATATGCTTGCCTCTCATTGTTCTAATATTTTGAATGCTAATCATGTACTACTAGTATGTTAATTTCAAGTGGAACCACAGGAGAGTATTCATTTCTACACAGGCTTACAGGTCAATATTTGGAATGTCAAATTAATGTTCCCGATGCTTCAATGTATGTAATTTCAATTGTTATTTTATGTGTAGTAACAGAATGACTAATGAGCTACTGGGGGGCCCTCCGTTAGTATTTTTTAAATGAAATAGTTTCCTGTACACTTAGCAAAACAAAGAGAATTTTCTCCTTGTTTAAAGGGCAATATTCCCATTGTTTCTTCTTGTTGTAACAAAGATAAACTAAGAGAGTGTTGCTTCTCCTTGTCTCTCTCTGCACTCTATTTCCCAGCATTGTTTAAATAAGAAGGAGAAACACAGAGAATATTGCCTGGGCAATGTTTGCACTGCTGGTGTTTCTCTTTGTTTAGTAAGCAGGGTGAATATAATCCAGACACTATCATCTTTGTTTTGCATGGTGCAATTGCAATGATGAGGCCAGGACAGTTCCTGTTCATACAAAAAGAGAAACAGAAACAAAGGAGAGAATATGATTGCCTCTCCTTCTTGTTGTTGTTTCTTGTTGTTGCTGTCTTTGATTTCTTCTTGTCAATTTTCTACCAAGAGAAACAAAGATAGTAATATTGCCTGGGCAATACTCTCTTTGTTTCTCTTTGTTTAAACATGGAAAAAATCTATGGGAAACCCTGATCTTGGTTGGTGACTGTCTTCCTCAAAACTAACAGAGGGCCCAGTATGGCTTGTGGCTTATGGCGTCTGGCTGAGCACTATCTAGATACCTTATCAACATAACTATGAATCATATGACAAAAACGCAAAGTTCAAAGTTCTTCCGAATCCTCAGAAGTTCGCTCCGAAAGTGCGCCGGTCAAGGATTAAAAAAATTGTGTGGTTCCATCTGTAATACCTATTCGAAGGGTCGTGTATTTGCGGAAAAGAAGAAATTGTGGAACAATCGTTTCAACAAAGATTGGCCGTATTTTCTGTAATTTCGAAAAATGTCAACTAATTCTAGATTACCAGACACTCAAAGGACCACTACTTTTCTGCCCTCTGCTCACCAGATTTTGATTCGAAGAAGATATTTTTTCCTCTGAATTCTAGCAAGGCATTTGGGGTACTTCAAAAGATCGCGCAAATGCAATACAGAGATTTTTCGTCGGATGTCCCATGCGTGTCTTAGTACGTGAAAACCGTGTTCCTCAGTCGAAGGTGGTCTCCGAAAAAATCATAAATATTTGAGTGACTTTGAAACCACGAAATCCAAATAAAAAAAAGACCGCAAAACACTTGTCATAAAATATAATACAAATCAAAACAAAATGTTTGCCACTTCAGCCGCCGTCAAGGCCATCGCACGCCGCGAGGCAACCCTCAAGGCCGCCGTAAATATTCGTGCCATGTCAAATCTCAGCGCATACGATGATTTCGGAAAGAACGTATTCACTGGAAAGGTTGCCGACGAATATTTGAAAAAGCACGGTGCCTCGGGAGAAACCCTCAAGGACCCCAGTTGGGTTAACAACGACGCCGACAAGGTCGCCAATGCAGTATTTGATTGGTGAGTAATCTATAGAATTTATTGAAATTAGAGATCGGAATAAGACCAACCCTTCGAAATTTTCATTTATCGACGGTTGCAAAATTATGGCATGTCGTTTTGTCAGTGTTCTCATTTTTTGTTGTATTTATTTTCGAATACTCTTGTCACAAAATAATCCGACAGGGCCCTCGACCGTGGTGCAAATGTCTTCTGCCACTGGTTTCAACCCATGGCCTCCAGTGGAGTTCGTCACGGATTGACCGGACAAGTCCAGAATATGATGTTGAAATTCAACGGCGACGGCGAAGTCGAACAAGATTTCAAGGGAAAGACTCTTGTCAAGGGAGAAACTGATGGTTCTTCTTTCCCCAATGGTGGACTCCGTGGAACTCACTGTGCTGGAGGATACCTTGCGGTCGATACCTCGTCCCCTATTTTGTGCCGTGGTGATACAATTTTCATTCCTTCAGCCTTCGTTTCGTACTACGGAGCTGCTTTGGATGAAAAGACCCCTCTTCTCAGAGCGAACTCTGCCCTCGACAAACACGGAACCCGCCTTTTCAGCCTCCTCGGTGGAGACGCAAGCAGCGGAGTTCAGTCGAACATCGGTCTCGAACAAGAAATTTTCCTTATCCCTCGTGAAGAATACTACCGCCGGCCCGATCTTCAATTGACGGGACGCACCATCATGGGAAAGAACGCCCCGCGTGGACAAGAGATGTGCGATCATTACATGGCCCCTCTTTCCAGCGCAACTGCTGCCTTGGCCTGCATGCAAGAAATCCAAGACGAATGCTGGAAAATGGGAATTCCTCTTAAGACTCGTCACCGAGAAGTCGCTCCCAACCAGTTTGATTTTCCCCTCTTTACGGAACCAACACCACCCAGATCGATCAAAATGTTTTCGTCATGCAAATTATCGAAGAAACCGCCCCTAAGCACGGTCTTGCCGCTCTTCTTCAGGAAAAGCCATTCAATGAGGTTAATGGATCCGGAAAGCACAACAACTGGTCCATCGCTACACGCTCCGGTGTCAACTTCCTCGACGTTGAAGACGTTTGGGAAGCCACCGGAAACCCTGAGGCGTTCCCTATCATCATGGCTGCTATTGTTGCCGCTGTTGACGAAAATGGTGACCTCATGCGTGCCGCCATTGCCAGCCCCGGAAATGATTTCCGATTGGGTGCCTGCGAAGCACCTCCTGCTATTGTATCCACCTACCTCGGTGAAGATTTGACCTCTTACCTCGAAAAATTCATTGCCGGAGAAACCTCCGAGTACAAGCCTGGTAAAAAGATGCTCGACCTCGGAACCCGTGAGGTCCTCCCATTCGAGGTTCCTGCCGAAGATCGCAACCGTACTTCTCCATTCCCTTACGGAGGATCTCGATTCGAATTCCGTGCCGTCGGATCATCCCAAAATGTCTCTTTGGTAAACACCGTACTCAACACCATTGCCGCTGAGAAATTCGCCCTCTTCGCCGACCGCATCGAAGCCGGTGAGGCACCCGCCGATGTTGCCCGTGAGGCCCTCAAGAAGCACTGGAAGGTCATTTTCAATGGAGACAACTACGATGAAGCCAATCAACAAATGCTCACCGATTCCGGTGTCTGGCGTATTGATTCTGGTGTTGAAGCCATTGCAACTCTTTCCAGTGACAAGAATGTTGCTCTATTTGAAAAGATGGGTGTCTTCAACGGCGAGGAATTGTCTGCCAGGCAAGATGTCCTCCACGATCACTACACCGGAACCGTTGAGATGGAAGCCTTGTGTATGGTTGACATGATCAACCAACACGTCATCCCATCCGTCAAGGCTGCTGGAGTTGGTCCTCTCGATGAATTGTCCGCTGCCGTTACTACCATCACTGCTGCCGTCGCCGAGATCCACGCTGCTGAAAGCTCCATGGACAAGGCCCAACTCGCTCGCGTCCTTCGTCTCGAGACCATGATTGACATCCGCGCCACATGCGATGCCGCCGAAGAAGTTGTCCCTGCCGAAAATTGGACTCTTGCCACTTACAAGGAATTGATGTTCCTCGACTCACACGTTGACCCCGAACCTGATTTTTTCGGAGAATAAATTCTGGTTAAATGAAGTCTGTAGCATTTGCTGACAATGCAATTTGCTCTGTGATATCGCCATTCGTGGGGCAACTTGAGAATATCTCATATTTTTTACTTCGTAATTTAGTGCAGCATTTTTAGAAAATAAAATGAAAATATTTTTTTCTATTGTTTTCTAGATTCAACAAACATTTTAAGCTTCATTCTAACGCACAACTTCCTGGAACACCATCTAAAGTTGAAATAATTGTCTCACGCAGTGGGATGAATTGGAATAATTTGCACCTGCAGTAGTTGGCAAATGTCTTGCGTCATGAGTTCGAATCACAACGCTTCAGTATTAAATATGATTCATGTCATTTGATTATTTACGGGATAATAAATTACTTCTGATTTCAACTCTTATGAAGCCAAATTACTTCCTTCTGGAGTTATCCTTGCATGGCCCTTACTATCGTTGTACTTATAATTTTGTGAGTCGATTTCAAGAGCAGCTTTGTCGACAGCGGCAAGTATCGAATTGTGAACCCACAGTGTTTCTGTATTTTTCTTGATAGTTTTTAACAAAACGTATCCATTGTCGGTCAAAATAGTTGATAGGACGGCAGAAGGTCGCTCTACTGTCATGATGTTGAAGCGATACCTGGAGAAAGGAAAAGATGCCATCACCAAATCTTCAGCGCCCTCGATGTCAAGACTTATGTAGTCGATTATGGTTGGGACATCGAACTTTTTGAAAACTTCTAAAAGCGAAACCGTATATCTCGGATGGCCTTCGTTCCATTGGTCACTTTTATTGTCAAATGCATTTCCCAAGATACCTCCCTTTGGAGCTTTGGCCTTCGGAAATCGGAACGAAACTTCTTCCATTGTTTTGTTACCAACTATTCCCGCAACCACATGGCATTTTCGGTATGACAAGCCCGTCCAATAAATGGGATTCGGTTCCATACAGAGACCGTTCCAACCAAAATATGTCTCTAGTGCGTACGTGTTCGAAATACGAACAGGGTCGTTGGCAGCTAGATCAATGAAATACCCCCCTCGCTTACCATGTAGTAATTTGCTCACTATTTCGTCTTGTCGAAACTGACTGAACCACCTGTTAGCTCTAAAGTATGGAGTTGAAAGGCCCGTCGCGTCGAACATGTGTGCATTGTCACCGTAGAAAACATGAATATTCTTCCATCCCTGATCTTCAATTTCTGAACTTTTAGTTGTTGCCATGATTTGTGGACAGCGAGGTCGAGAAAGCTGGCAACTTGGAGAATGGGAGCTCTCGGGATCGTAAGAAGTGAAATTTGACCACGAAACGAAAAAAGTGAAGGAGCACCCGAACACAAATCCGAGAAGCATTCCTATTGCCAAAGTAGAAGTAGTTTGCCGCATCTTCTCGTGTTTCTTTCTTCCATTGGCAAAAGGAGAGTTTATCGGCGAGTGGTCCATCGTTGTTCCAGTTCGAATAGGGTTGCTTCTTCTTTATCCGATAGTGATCTATTGCATTCGATGCGGTAGCCGTAATAGTTTCAATGTCACAAATCACTTTCAAGGGGCATCTCACATCATTTTTTGTAAGGAATTTGAAGTTGGTTAGAATCGGATTGCCAATTCAAAAATCATTTCTGAATTTGAATTTGAAGAATAAGGTTTAAGACAATACAGTGCTTAGTATGATCAATATCTACGACAACTATGAAGTCAACAGTTTCCATAGAAGGTTCGTCCCTGAATTCCAAATGACATCATCCTCATGTCCGAAAAGCCTTGTCGAATGAGAAAGCCTTGAATTGTTTTTAACAAAGGAAGGAAATCTGACATCTTCACAAAAAATGAAGTTTTACTTCGAAAACGAGGATTTCCGGAACCGTCAACAAGGTATTGAACACCGAACGCATGACCGCGTCGAAGCACCGGTACTTACCAGACGACAATTCCTTCGGCGATTGTAGACAGGGAATAATGCCATAAACTCTTCATACACTACGGTACAAACCACAGTCTGCGCAAACGAGAAGAAGCAGCGGAGCCAACTGCATTTTCTCCTCGCAATCCCGACTCGTCAGGAGACAGCAGAATCATACTACAGTCCAACAGCAGCAAACTTTATCGCAGATTGTAAACCAAACTATGGTTTCTTCTCGCCCATACATCCGTTATCATGGCTCACCGCTTTTTTTCATGATCAAAAATATCCTCTTTTTCGTTTTGGTTTCGAATGGTATAGAAAAGGCCCAGTCGTTTTCTGTTCGTCCCCTCCATCCACCCTCAACGAGAAGCTACACCGGTAATGACTCTTTACTGAACGCGGTCAACAGCAAAAGCATAGTGGCCGTAACGGATTCAAATTACAAAGAACTCTTTTCGGGAGAGAAGTTTTTGTTGTTGGATGCATGCGCTCAGTGGTAAGAAAAAGTATGACGAACAAAGGATTTTCGTACACGTTTTAGTGAAGACCAACGAAACACTGAGCGACAATCACATTTTTGTACTTACGCATACATGTTTGGTCTTCGCCTTGCTATGTGGTCCCACATCGCTGATATCTCAAAGGTGCGGTCCCTGCAAACTCATCGAGCCGTTGCTGGAGCAGTGCGCCCGGGATTGGAAGGACACGTTGGTGGTGGGGAAATTTGATGTGGACGGTGCAAACAGCGAGAGCAGGGATCTCAAGGTCGAACTGATTTTGCAGGGGGCGATGCCAAAGGCATTGCCGGCCTTGATTCTGGTTCACGACAACAAGATATTGGATTCTTGGAAAGGATTGATCAGTCCGGCGCAGTTGCAAGACATGCTGGCAAAACATGTCAAGAACGGCACCAAAACAAAAGACAACAACCCGGTGGCAACGAAGCCACGCCCGTTCCGTGGGATTAGTTTCTTCAATGAATCGATGGCTCTTTAGTGAGAACAAAGGACGAAATTCAACAGTATTGCAACTACAGAGATTTGCATGTGCCCACTTTGCACGTTATGCAAGCATTTTGTAACGCAACACGATTCTCATACCTTCCTCTTTCGAAAAAGAAAGTCTCAAAATTTTCGGTGTGCCGATAGGATCGCAAGAACGAATAATTCTAAATAATGTCCGAGGAAGAGGCACTGTCGCATTGGGTTGTTTTCACAGGATATACTAAACCTGCACAAAGAATTGTTACTTATTTCTGTGATCGACTCGAAAATAGTATTTTAAGGTCCGCAATTTGTCCATTGCAGATGCCTAATGTAACCAATGCCATCTAGTGAAGAAGAAAGTTTATTGAAGATCTTCGTGGCTGATACTGAGCTAATAAAGATTGTTGTCAATTGGACCAAGATTGTACCCTGGGTCGGAACCCTAGCGATCCGACGACCGGAGGGAATGTGTTGTTCCAATATTACAGGGATGCACAACACTGTGGTGCGGCACTATGGCTACCCCGCCGGAACGGTCGTTCTCGTCATTGCCATCGCTCGCTGCGCCCTTGTCTCTCGGATGGCGTCCGTTGAAAAAAAGTAAAAGAAGGCAGCGATCAATACCCGTCGATCATGTAGGTGCGTTTCGTCCCGGTGGCCTTTTCGGCCAGCTCCAGCGCGGGCCCCTCCCATCCATCTGGAACGAGCACGTTGCGGCTCTTTGCGACGCTCACCGTCGCAAGTTCGTCCTGGTAGGTCCTGTCGAACTTCCACAGCCGGGCTCCCTCCCGAATAAGACCCAGGTACGACGCACTCGGCGGCCTCCCGTCGTTGCTTATGGAACGCCGTTGCTGGGTCTGTCTCGGTTCTTGTCTGCCGGACGCGGGCACCCTTGATTCCACGAGCGTATAGGCCCGGATCGGCTCGACACCCGGGTCGATCACTGCGTCTTGCCCCGCTCGTTTCCCGTTGCCCCGATAGGGATATACGAAACAGGACTGCCACCGATAGCCAAACGGGACCCCCTCCGTCGACCCTACCATGGCGAATTCGTCCTCGGTGAGGGTGTACAGCAATCCGTGAACGGCAGGCCCCGTGGCACCTCTGTTGGGATCGTCGTTCTCGCTGGCTTTGTCGCTGCTGCGTTCCCCGCGGTCGCCCGCCGGAGGATCCGGCAGGGGGCGCACAAAGGCCGCCGATTCGAACCGCAGCTCGTAGCCGGGCAAGACGGCGGCCGTGACCTCCCGGACCTCGATCTGCCGGAGTGCCTTCATCGTGCTGGGAATCACGTTGGATCCGTACCCAAAATACCGGTACACCGTGGGTGCCGCCAGCGCTGCGACGAACGCAACTCCACAGACGGGAGCGGCACCGGGGACGGCAACGCGGACCGCTGCCGCCACCACTGCCGCCCAAAGCAAACATCCCGTCCGCAGACGCCTCATTCCGGTTCTCCCGCAACACATGCTTGTCGCTCGATCGCCGATCCCGTCTCTAGTTCGTGGATTATCGGGAGGTATAGTGCAGGTGCTGATTCCTGAAAGAGAGCAAGACGGTGCTTACTGTATTGGAATGCACGGTATGAAAATGCAGTAACATAGCTGATTCTTTATTTCTGTTTCAATTTCTACAGGTATTCATAATGCCGTACCACACTACGTACCATACGTACCATACGGTACTATTTCGAGTAACCTTTCACACATACATACCGTACTTCCAGTCGAATGAATCATTGCACCAGCACGAACCGTCACGATGTTTGTTTTCGAGTCACATTTCGCGGAAAATATCATTCGCGCGAAAGCGCGCGTATCGTGATGATGGTTTCTGCAAACGGTGAGGTCATCATCGATCGGCACCTTCACTATTCTATCCTGATAGGACAAAACAAAATCATCGACGTGGCGGACAGGGATACGAGGGGATATCGTGATTGAAACCATCGCAAAATCCATCGATGACCGCGAAATAACGGTAATCGTAACCAGAGCGCCGAGATTTCCCCCGTCATCCCGATCTGCGCTGGCTGTGAAGAAAATAATTGAATTGAATGCGATGATCCCGTTGAACTGCAGTACAATCTCGTACCGGTACATTGGTTTGTACGGCACGTCGTGTTTGGAGACGGGGTTCTCGAGATTCTCGACCGAGGCCTGATGGAACGGGAATGGTTTCTCTGCTCTGATTGCATCTGGACTCACAGCAGACACAATTCGCCATCCAGCAAACTTCTACAAGAACCACAGTTTGCGTTTCGTAGCATTTTCGTCAAGCAGTCTCGAACTAATCGAATCAAACAGCAATCATGGGTAAAGGAGGAGACGCCGCCGTTGCCCTTAAGGGAAAGGATGAATTGAAGGAGATGCCCAAATACACTTGGAAGGATGTGAAGGAGCACTCGGTTCCTTCGGATGCTTGGATTGTCTACCACAACAAAGTCTACGACGTTTCGAATTGGCACGAGCACCCCGGTGGTGCCGTGGTTTTCACTCATGCCGGAGACGATGCTACCGACATCTTTGCCGCCTTCCACGCCCCCGGATCGCAAAACATGTTGAAGAAGTTCTTGATCGGGGAATTGATCGTGGAGAGCGTCGAGCACAAGGATGCCCACCAGCATGCCTTCGAGAAGGCCTACAGAGACCTTCGATCGCAGCTGATTGTCATGGGAATGTTCAAGAGCAACTTTTGGTTCTACGTTTACAAACAGCTGTCCAACGCCTCCATGGCCGGTGCAGCTTTTGCCGCCATGGTTTACTCGGAGAACACCTTTGTTCACGTAGGTGCCGCCTTGCTGATGGGTCTTTTCTTTCAGCAGTGCGGTTGGTTGGCGCACGACTTTTTGCACCACCAAGTCTACAAGAAGCGCCGATACGGAGACTACTCCGGTCTTTTCTGGGGAGGTGTGGCACAAGGATACTCCATGCAGTGGTGGAAGAACAAGCACAACGCACACCACGCTGTTCCCAACCTTCACAACTCGAGCGCAACCTCGCAGGACGGCGATCCCGACATTGACACCATGCCTGTCTTGGCATGGTCGCTCAAGCAAGCTCAGTCTTTCCGTGAGCTTCGTGCCGATGGAAAGGATTCTCCTTTTGTGAAGTTTATGATCCGAAACCAAAAGTATTTCTACTTCCCCATCTTGTTGCTGGCACGTCTTTCGTGGTTGAACGAATCCTTCAAGTACGCCTTTGGACTCGGAGCCGCCTCCGAGAACGCCAAGCTGGAGCGCGAAGCCAAGGGTCTCCAGTACCCCGTTCTCGAAAAGATTGCTCTTGTCATCCACTACGCCCTGACTTACGCCTTCTGCACCGGAATGGGACGCTTCTCGGCTGCCTACTCCTTCGGTTTGTTCATGATCATGACCTGCACTTGCGGATTCTTCCTTGCCATCGTGTTTGGTTTGGGACACAATGGCATGGCAGTCTATGACGCCGAAAAGCGACCGGACTTCTGGAAGCTTCAGGTCACCACCACCCGTAACATTACCGGTGGACACGGAATTCCCCAGGCCTTTGTCAACTGGTTCTGCGGTGGACTCCAATACCAGGTCGACCACCACTTGTTCCCCATGATTCCCCGACACAACCTCGAGAAGACCCACGACCTTGTCACATCCTTCTGCAAGGAATGGAAGGTTGGATACCACGAGGCCGATCTGGTCGATGGAACCTACGAGGTATTGAACTGCCTCGATCGAGTCGCTGGGGAATTCGTCACGGATTTCTTATTAGATGGTCCTACCATGTAAATAGTTTGACGCAAAACTAATCATAGAAGACTCCTTTTTTGAAAATCACGACGCGTTGCGTCATTACTAGACAGTGTAGCAACCAGTGTATTCTAATCATCATCTTCACGTTGTGTCTTGAGTTTCCATAACCGCCTTCAGATTAAGACTTGTAGCATCGAATCCCTATATCTATTGAAACCATGATCGTTGGGTAATACCTTGTGAGGTTGTAGAAGTTGGGTTGAGATGGCCTCTGCTATATCATCACCAAATTCTTTTCATCAAAGTCTAGCGGTACACCTAACCTACCATAAACAGAGCTCCTTCTTCACAACCGAACACAGCCCAACGAGTTCCGGCGCATCGAAAGAGAAAAAGTGCTCAAGATGCAGAAATGTTGGACGAGGCTCAAAAAGAAAATCGATCACCGGTCTTTCAACTTAATAGCAACATTTAAGTCGAATGAGTCAATTATTCACTTCTGCTCTAGCCCATGTCTTCTTCCTTTCAGTCGTGCACGTCAAAAGATCGCGTAGAAAGGTCGCATCCTGGATCCTCGATCCTCTTCACTATTCCACGGCACTCCAGTAAAAAAGTACGAGTACGCATCTTGTATTTGGATCGAACAAGTATGAGTACTGGTCCAACAACAACGACGTGACCGATTTTGAGAAAACATCGCACATTGAGCTTTGGAATGCGACGATGCTGCACACAGAATCACTGAAGCCAGAGATTCAGTCGTGAGATAGCGTTTCGGACAATGACCGCACGGTTCCACACAAACTAAAAGTTTCAAGAAATTCGCTGAAGGATCCTACACCACTCCGGCCGAAACCATGAGCAGCAGCAGCAGCAGCAGCAAAAGCAGATCCTGGAAGACTCTTTTCACCCAGCGGTTTGGGTGCCGCCTGCCCCTGATGGGGGCACCGATGGCGGGTGTTTCGGGGGGATCCCTGGCGTACGAAACGTGTCGCGCGGGTGGCCTGGGTTTCATCGCTGCCGGGCACCTGACCAGCGAGGCTTCGCTTGCCAAACTGGAGCGAGAAATAAAAGTCTTTCGCGATCTTGCATCGCAGACACAACCGCAATCGTCGGACCACTCGTTCCCGCTCGGCATCGGATTCATCGGCCACTCGACCTTCGGAAAAGGCTCCGAGGGCTGGGGGCTCGTACGGCGCATTCTGGAATCCCACCGGCCCGAGTCCGTCCAGATTTTTGCCCCCGCAATTTCCAGAGCCCCGACCGGAGAGGACCCATCGTTGTTCACCACCAACGTCGAGATGTGTCAATCGTTCGGATGCAAGGTTATCGCCCAAGTCGGTTCGGTGAATGACGGGGTCGATGCTCTTGCGGCAGGTGTGGATTGCTTGATTGCACAGGGCACGGAAGCCGGAGGGTAAGCTTGTTGGGGGCAGCTAAGGCCCATGCCGCAATTTATTATTTATTGGTTTTGTTTTCATCAATTTTTAATTCGTTCGCATTGGTTCAGATACATGGGGCCAGGCACAATCTTACACTTTATTCGCGTCTTCAAATACTCCTATCATTAACGACAGGCACGGAATCCGGAGAGACGTGGGAAATAGTACGCTAAGCCTAGCATCTCGATTGGTCCGCATCGCCAGCGAAGGGCAAAGAAACGTCCCCGTGCTGGCAGCGGGGGGAATCGTTGATGGCCGGKGTCTGATGGCCGCACTGAGCCTCGGCGCGGACGGAGCCGTGTTGGGAACGAGGCTCTGGGCTTCCGAGGAGGCCCTGGGGGACGGTGCCTACAAGAATGCCCTGGTTGCTGCCGGGAGCTGCGACGACGTGGTCCGAACCCGGGTGTTCGACACCATCTGGAATTCGCAACGGAGCACAAAGTGGCCCTACCCGTTTGATTCGTCCGGGGTACTGAGAAACCACACCACGGACGCCTGGGACGCCTCCATTCCCGCACTTGAGAAGGAGTTGAGTTCCGACAACAAGGCGCTGGTGGAGGAGCTGAACGATGCGGAAACAACTCATCTTCCGAGCAAAGGTTGTGTTTACAGCKGGCAGGGGGTCGGAGAAATCGACTCTATCGAGCCCGCGTATGATATTATAATGCAGATTGAAAAGGACGCCATGTCATCTTTGTCCCGTCTTAGTGAAGTAGCAGGCGCGTGAAACGTGCGAGCGAGACCTTTGACCATCAGGCAGTATTCCTACGAATGCGACGAATTGGAAAATAATTCGTCCTTCCGGATTCAATCTCATCGACTACGACTAATTCATTGAAATGATAGTCGTTAACTTGTGCAGTTACACTTACACAGAACATCACCTCTATGATGTTTCGATTGAGCAATATTTGGTGGATTAACATTTATATTTTTGAAGCATCGTCAAATTTCCCCCCTCTTTACTATCAATCGTTTAGCAAAATTTTGATTCGCAATTTCTGTTGGATTCTAGAGTTCTTAAAGGGAACACATAGATTCAATCTACAAAGAAATCGGCGAAATCTTTCTACTTAGAGCCTCTGAACGCACACGGTTGCTCCCGCTCAGCGGCAACACCTTCTAAAATTCCTTGAAAAGTGCTTGCTGCTGGGCAGTAATGTTTGGCTTGTTGGACTGAGGCTGGTTTTCTTCGTGCCTGTACGAGTCAAAGTGCGACGCATCCAGGGGATCCTTAATTTTGGGAATCCAGGGTGCAGGGATTTTCTTTCGCAACAACTTATCGACATCGATAACGTTGAACCAGTAGTGATCTCTGACATCCATGTCTTTTCGTGCGAGGCATCCAAATCGATTTGCCTGGCGTCTTACGATCAGCCGTTGGATGAGATCTTGGGCTGGTTCTGTCACCAGCCCGCCGGGAGGAAATGCGTACTTCACCTGTACAATTCGCTTGAACAAACTGACTTGATCGGTACCGTAAGAGTAAAACGGGGAACGCCCGACAAGCATTTCATAAATTAAGACTCCAAAGGCCCAGTAATCGACACCACTGTCGTGACCCTTCGAAAGAATGATCTCTGGTGCAAGGTACTCCGGGGTACCGCACAGTGTGTATGTCTTGTCGGAAACAATCTTCGCAAAACCAAGATCGACTAGCACACAGTATCCCTTAGAATCAATAAGAATATTCTCGGGTTTCAAATCACGGTACGCAATACCTCGGCGATGCAAATGCGATAGCGATTCTAGAATACATGCAGCATAAAATCGAGAGTTGCCGTTTGGAATACCATCTCTTGTCTCCGTATGGATCACGGAGAACAATTCACCTCCTTGGACTAGAGCAATCAGCATGTACAGATGGCGGTCATCCTGGAAGGTTGCTACAAGATCAACAACGAAGGGATGCTGGATGTTGGCCATGATATTCTTCTCACGAAGAACACCCTCTACTTGATGATGCCCGATGATTGCACGTTTGCTCAATTGTTTCAGAGCGTATGGGGCACTAGTTTTCTTGTGACTGACGAGCCAGACCTTCCCGAACGTTCCAACACCCAAAATACGGAACTTCACAAGATCATTGAGCTTAATGTCTTTGTTCAAGGTAACAGTATGCATGACGAGTGGCTTTCCAAGACGTTTAATATCTCCGATGACACTCTCGATATCTTTTCTGGTAAGAACTCCGCATTCTGTGTCTGCTTCGATCTTGACAGTGATGGGGGACGGGCTTCCGATTGGTTCTTTCAACCAAAGCGCTCCAAAGTAGTCGGCATCCATCAAGGTGTTGACTTGACCCTTGGAATTCGAAACTACAATTCGACCCTCACGAATAATATAGAGATTCGGTTCGTATTCTTTTCCCTCCTCCGCAAGGATGGTTCCGGCGGGAAAAGTTTGTTCCGTTAGCAACTCGGTGAGACGGGTCATTTCGAACGGCTGGAACTCAGAATTGGCAAAGACGGGAACACCTTCAAGCGTTCGTTTCTTTGCAGCTCGATCGATGAGATGCTGGAGTGGGCCCAAAACCTTTTCAAATGTGTCACGTGACAAACATAAGGTAGTGCAATTGGTGACAGCCGTAATGTTCGCTGACCGGGCATCTCCAGTCAGCAGGGCCCGTTCCCCGAACCAATCACCCGGACCTATGACTTGATCTACGTATTGACTATCCCCGAAACCGATGTCGTGAACTTTGACCTTACCTTCCCGAAGGATGTAGAATACCTCGCCAACATCCCCCTTATTGATAATGCGTTCTCCCTCAGGGAAGGTCACCGATGTCAGTGCATCGGATATGCGCAATAAATCATTTTCCGCCAGTTCAGAAAGGAAAGGCACCTTGCGCAAGACATCGTGGATATCCTTTTGCTGACTAGCATTGTTGTTGGCCAACATGTATCGGAATGTTCGTTGATCGACCTTCCACAAGCGGCAAGTTGTATTCGCCAGGCAAGTAGCAGCACGTGGACAGTTATAAAGCAAGGCTAGTTCTCCGAACGATCCTCCACGACCGCATGCACCGACGTGGTTTCCGTCAACAGCAAACGTGACATGACCTTCGTCAACTACGTAGAAGAAGTCTCCGGTTTCTCCTTGCTTAATGATTACGGTTCCTGCTTGAACCTTCTCCATGACCATGGCATCGATCAAGAGTCGACGTTCCTGTGCAGACAAGGAAGCGAAAATGAAATTGTCCACTAAGGAATTGTCAATGAATCGAACGGCACCATCAGATTTGGGATACTTGGGAACCTCGAACTTCTCGGTCAGATCGACCTTTTCTGCGAAAATATTCTCGGCACGTTTTTGCTTTTGTCTGGCCTTTCCGTGGGCGTTGATTTGCCGTTCTCGGTCCTCGGCGTCCGTTTGCATGGGTGCCACGCCGCCATCGTCTACCTTTGGTACAGGAGCTGGCGGAGGAGCAGCTACCGGTGCCTGTGAAATTTTGTTTGTTTGTGGTCGTTGTTGTTGTCGTCGTGATTGAACCACAGATTTGATGTGTGGTGTACCGTGCGTGCGTGGGAATTTGTTTTGGTGATTGGCATACGATTATGTCCGCATGCATCATTGTTGAACACCAAGTTAAAAGAAAAAAGAGAATGGTTGCATTGTGAGTATACATTGGTATTCGTAAATGTTTTTATCTGGGTTGGATGAACGGTCGGTTGGGGGAAATGGGTCGGAACACAAGAGGACAAATATTCATTGCACAATGCAACAGAGAGGAAATATTTTTCGCAAATGCTGAATAAGAGCGCCAATCCTCCAACCGGTTGGAATCTGGAGTACGTGACGCGACAATACGATCGGGTGCTCGACCGATCAATCGATCAAGCGTTGCAAGTTGATCTCGATATTATGACACTTGCATTTCCAGAAACCCTCGGAGAAGCGTGACTATCACTCTTCCTCTCCGACTTCTTCTTCTTGAACATTTTGTTTAACCGATTCATCTTGTATGTAAGTTCCGACTTCTTAATCTGTCCCGGCGAGCTTCCAAAGAATGCCTTGTGGGTTTGATTGTTCAGCGGAGATTGCTTGGTGAAAATAGGGCTCAGGAGAGCAGAGCACCCTTTGTGTCAATTGGTGGAAGCAAGTAATCAAACGAATCCAAAGGATTTTTCATTACGGGACAGCGGAGGTGCCAGAACCTCTCGAAATGCTCCCTACTACAGTAGTAAGAGCAACGAGTACCAGTACCGGTATGATGGTGGTGTCTGATAGTATTTCGCGTAAGGGTCATTCTCCCGAGCGTTGCGCCGAAGCACTTCTGTTTCTTGGCCAAATTCAACAAGACCAGACAGGCTAAAGGTGCCGTAACGTACGGGGGAGACCCCGTACCGTACGATCGCGCATGGCAGGAGATTTGGTCCGCACCGAGCGTGCAGCTTTTCCGAAGGCAGCAGATGGAACCCTGAGACAGTTCCAGTCATCCATTTTAATTCAAACTCTCGTACGGTAGGGTACGAAGAACGACCCTCCCTCTTTTCAGTCCCAGAACGTTTTTAGTCACATATTCGATCGAACGAATCAATCAATCACATTAAATGCACGGGCCATCACAGAATACATTATTAAAAACAAACCAAACCAATCCAAAAAACAACAATTACGAAAAAATAATGCAATTGTGATGCTCGGGCACGAAAAACTGTAACGGTGGATACAGACCGTGGCACAATTACTAGCACCGTTACGACAACTCACCGAAGATGACGCATCGGCGTCCTCTTTAACCCCTTCTGCGGATGTCGAATGCTTCTGTTTCTTCTGTGGCGTAGGATCAGTTGTCGATGGTGAAGGCGGCGTCTTTTTTTCCATTCTCGCCGACGGTTCTACCGACCGCGGCCGGTGCAAGGAATGTTGTTCCTGCGACTCTTCGGGGCAAGAAATGGCGGCTGTCGGATCTGTTGCTAGTTGTCTCTGTTTTCTACCAGTGCCCATGCATTGACCCATTGTTTTCTGATCGCAATGGCGGTTGAGGTTCAAATAAGATTTCCTCGAGAAGCGTTCGGGCAGCGTGGTTGGGATTCGCCGTCACGAAGGTGTGTTGTTTGTTGAAAGAAGTAATCTTCGGTAGTACAAGGTTCTCGAAAGAGGTTATTGATATCATCAACATAAAACTCAAAAAGTATAATTTTTAAAGGTCAACGGCATTTATGAAAACTAATGCACTATCGGCAGTCTCCTGTAAAAAATACATAAAAGTAATGAAATCTCTTTCTTCAATTATTGACTACCACAAAATAATAGTACTAAAAATAAAAAAGAAGAAAAAACAGTAGGTAAAACCCGAAAGTCTGGATGCCGTACGGTAGGTCGAAGGATTTAGAACGAACCGTTTTCCTTCGGTACGTTCATGGGTGATGGGTGATGGGTGATGGGTGATGGGCATCAGTTTTCGTGTTTTTCTGATGTGTTTTGTTCTGGCTGTCAGAGTACGAGTACGGTTAGGTGTGAGTTGTTGTGCTATTCCAGTCAATTCTGTCAAGTCGGTAATCATTTCCATTCCATTTACACTGTTCCATCATTTTGAGAGATCAACAAAATAAATTACACGATGTTGTCGCTTAGAATCGGAGCTACTGCTCCATGTGCAATGGTCCTGTTCTGCTATTTTTCTTTGTCCGAATCCTTTACTTCCAAGTTTCGTACTCCTACACCATTTGTCCATCAAATCCAGAAAGTGGAAAATTCGGTGCGATTCATTCAATGCAACGCCAAGAAAGGGCATTCGGAATTTTCCGTGGTCGATGAGGATGATGATGATGGCGTCGAAGTGGATTTTCGGCAACGAAAGCGCGGTGGGGGCGATTTGCTAGTCATAAACGAGGATGCCAAGTCTAGGCAGCGGTCGGAAATCGACGTTGGCAGCGACGACGCTTCTTCGGGTAGTGGCAAAAGTAGTCCCCTCGAATACGCAGCGCTCCGACCCGGAACTGTAGTCCAGGTTCAGGTAGGAGACCTATCCCTTGCGCGAAAGGCGTGGAAGAAGCGGCGGCGCACAGGGTCGCCCCTTTTGGTTCCTTGTAGTATCCTAAACGTGGATCGAAGGTCTGCTGTGCGGTGGAACTTGATCTTTCTGTTGGAAAAGTTTGGGCAACCCGGTAGGGGCAAACGGGGAGGCATAGTCATGTCACTTAAGGACTTGGCCAGTTCCTATCGCAAGTTTTTGAAGTCGTCGCTCGGACGGCAGGCCGCTGCTCTGGGATTCGATTCAAACCAAGCTATGATCGAGGAACTCTTCAATAAGAAAATTCAAGAATCCTACGGAGTCTTTTTTGATACAAAAGAAGAAGAAAGAGAGTACGAAGACGAGGACGGTAATCTTGTAACCTCCACTGTTACTATGTTGTACTTGACCGCGCCGATAAGCCGTCTCAAGGCACAGCAGCGTGCATCTAATCCTGCCATGCTTCAATTTCGACCACCTCGAGAGGGGGATTACGATGGTGTCGATGTTGCTGCTACCGCAGTAGGTGCTAGTGTCGACCAGGGCGTCCATGTCGACGATATCGGCACTTTGACTCACACTGGATGGATCCGATCATTAAAAGAAACAAAAAGCAGCGGTTCGGGCGAGGGAGGAGAACAGAAATTGAATAGAGAATACACAAACTTTCCTTTGTCCGCGTGCCTCCGTGTTTCCCAGAAAGATGATCTAGATACCGGGCGTGTGCTCGAAGGAAATATCCTACCTGCTGTTGTTTTCGATTTTGACAAATTGGGAGATGGAGGATCGCCCCTGTTGACTCTTTCCTTGAACGCAGCTAGTGGAGGTCGACAAAGGTTAAAAATCAAACCTGATCGAAAATACAAAATTTTAAAGGACACTCCAAAGTACCAATTCAAAGAGCTCAAGGTGGGCGATGGTCCCTATCGTGCCAAGGTGATCAAATTGATTGGAAGAAGACAGAAAGCTCTTGTCGACCTCGGGGTAGGACGCGAGCTTTCTAGTGCGGGCGGAAATGCCGTTCAAGTTCTTGGAACACTTCGATATAAAGACTCAGTTGAGTTGGTTGACGACGAAGCAGACTCTTTCGTTGGCTTTGATGACGAAGATGAAGAGAACATCGAAGACTTGATTGCATCGTCCTTAGACGAGGTAGACGATTATGACGAAGAAGACAACTTGGCTGAAGACCTGTTGTCACTCAGGAAGGGATCTTTTGAACCAGGTACTTTCGAAGAGGGTGAAATTGAGGAAGATATCTCCGCACTGTATGAAGTCGATGAGAATGGCCAACTGGTATTCAAAGATCCCGAAACAGGAGAATTGAAAATGGTTGAAGATGTAGAGGATGATGCTGACGTGGACGGCGACAATATAGAGGATAACAATACAGGAGGAGGGAACGATATTTCTGATGAAGAAATGGCCAGCCTGTTCTCTGCAAATGAAGATGGATCCATAACGTACAAAGACCCCGAAACTGGTGAAACAATGACAGTGAAGGAGGGTGACGAGGAATATGATAACATGATGATGATGAAATCTTTGATCGACGATGATCTCGATTATGTGGGCAACCAAAAGACAAAGCCATCATCAGAACCAGCTGGCGGAGAGGAATCTGCGAATGAGAAACCCAAGTTCAGGTCGAAACGGCTGCAAGTTGGCGAGTATGTCGAAGTTTACATTTCCAACGTATCAAAACAATCAAACCAGTTCCAAGTGACGACAAACCCGCTAGTCAAAGGTCAAAAAGCAAAAGATATCAAGAAGGAAGCTGGTACGAAAAAGAAACTGGACCGCTTGAAGAAGAATTTCGGCGGAAACTTGGACCGAATTTATGAGTTGAAAGGTACAGAATGCGAAGGCATTGTAAAGGCAGCATCCAAGACGGGTGATTGGTTGTATGTACAACCAGGAATAAAGGATCTACCAGTCGGTGTCGCTGCGCTGAATGGAGATGGGTTGGCCGGTCTTTCAGCTGGTGACAACGTGCGAGTTCGATTATCGGGAATAGACGAAGAGAGAGGTCAGTTGTCAATGGATGTCATTGATAGGCTTTAAAATTATAACGTATCGATCGTTGAATAATCTGTTTGCCAATGTTTTGAATAAGATGCTGTTGCCATTAGTTAGTAAAAGTTTCACTGCGTTCGAATGAAACACTTCTCATAACGAAACAATTGCTGAATATCCTGGTAGCCAAATTGCCATAAATTAGTAAAAGTTTCACTGCCCGCTAATTAAATACTCCTCAGTAGTTTTTCTGGTATTGATACCCTGTCGGATTCCTCCTAGTACCAGCATTGCTGCGATAAGGCGATTTGCGATGAGAGCGTCTCGCTCCAGGCCCCCCCTGCCTGCGAGGAGCATCATCCCAAAATTGACCGACTAATATGGTCAACAACAGTCCAACTAAGCCAAAGACTAGTGCCAAGATACCCTGCCACGGCAGAGTTGCAGATTCCTTAACAATAAGCTTCTGACGCCGCCGTTTGATGTAGCTTTCGACTTTATTAATATTGGATCGGATTCTAATCCTCGATTGCGACATTGAGAATTGGCGAAAATGTAAAGAATATATGCCATTATCTTCTTCATTCAGGAATTGTTTGATTTCGGAAAAATCTGAATCTGGCTGTGTTGCCCAATTAACTTTGGTTTTATCTTGGGGGCTTTCTTTGAGCAAGTGGATTCGATAAGTCCTAAAATTGCCCTCAGAGTCGGGTCCTCTGCTGTTGTAACCCCCCGATTTGTGTTTGTTCTTGTTCTTCCCTTTGGGGCGGGACGGTATCTCGTATTTATCGGTATCAATTGCAATGAAATTCCCTGCTTTATCCATCTTTATGGCTTGTGCACTATGCAATTGTGTTCTAGGGAAGACCGAGATCAGTCTGCGTCTACCCGGTGGAGAAATCTCCAAAGTACACTCTTGTTGGTGACAAGTTAACCAAATAGACGCTAATCAATTTAATGCGTTTTTTTTTCACCAGTCATCAGTCGATTCCGTAAATCACCATTTCACAATTTATTGATTTTTGTCAAATTTTTAAACGCAAAACCACCAACAGAATATATGTAAGCTGCAAGAAATGCACTGGGGACGATTGTCTAGAGATGAAGTTCACTAATTCGTTTGCAAACATCAAACCGATTCAACGCAAAAAAAAGACAAAGACTCACAATTCCAATGTAACAATGATCGAATACCGTAGAATACCATAAACAGTGTAAAGCCGAGTATGTAGTACGTCCACCTGGTATAACCACTAGCCTTTTTCCATGCCTTTACGACCGGAGCATCCATCTTAATCGATTTTCCAGAGCCATCGACGTGACCCAGTCCTCCTCCTCCAAGCAGCCCGCTGCCGCCGCCACCGCCACCACCATATGACGTGCTCGGTAAGGTTTCTCTATGGTTGCTCCGACGAAACATTATTCAGTCAAACCAAAAGATTGGGTACAACTTCGCAAGCCAACAAAGTCGAAGGTTTTCTTTAGTATGGAGAAAAGGATCACAACGAGAAAAATAGAAAACAATCGACGAAATCGCGTACGGTACGACAAAGGTAATTACGCAAGCCATAAGAAAAAAAATTTGAGAAGGAAAAAAAAATACAAAATACTGTACAGCAGTACCTGTACTTATTTTACAGTACCAAGTACTTACGAATACAATGAACGGAAAACAAACGACGGTACAGTAGAACGCACGACAAAAACATAGAACAAAACATATTAAAGCTAGGGATAAAATAATATCACAAGATTCATTACTTCGGGAGGTACAAACCAAAACCAACTCCAATACCCCCTCACAAACGAACGGCACCACTGTCCCAGCAGAAGACCAATCCCCATACACTTTCTCCCATTACTTTCTACTTCATTTGTATGAAGGTAAATGACAAAAAGATCTCTTTTCACTTCTCAGCTATAGTCTAAAGCAAACAATTCAGTTACAATAACACTCCTGATAGATTTTTTGTTGCTGAGGAAAATTATCACAAAGTAGTAAAAACAACGTTGAAAATTAGAAAAGTTCAATGCTGAACTTTACATTGAGAAAAGGGTAAAATTCATCCTGCTATGGGTAGAAGAGAATACTATCTATTTTTCTTCATTGATTTGATGATCGGATAGAAGTCTACATAACAGATGACTAGCTAGCACTACTTGCGATGTCTGACAGAGGGAAAAGTTTGTTGTTGTACATTTTCTATGAATTTGAAAGTACAGGATGAAAGATCTTCATAAAAAATACAAACAATATCAATGTTTATTAGTTAAAAAGTGTCGTCATGACGTAGCGTTTTGTCGCGGAGAGGCATGGCATCGTCGAACAAATAATTGTTTAAATTGCGCATTCGCATTTGTTCCCAAAGTATCAAAACAACAAGAAGAAGAGCTTGATATTATCAACCATAAAGTACCGAAAGGAAAGAATCCTCTGCGATAGGACTTCACGGAGTGTTATGCTCCTCACGGGTGTTTTGAATCTGCCCTCGCAAAAGTATTCCAATATTTTCACGGGCTTCGTGATTAGCGTGATTCTGGAAACCGAAATCCCATTTATCTATTGTTGCTGCTTCCATGGATTGTCTACATTACGTTTTTACAAGAAAAAATGAACGCAAAATTCAAAGTTTGTCAGAAAGAAGCAGCAAACGAGTCCCGACATGACCAGAAGTGTCCTGTGATCCTTCAATTACAATGGTATCTTCGTGCCTTCATTGATTAAACACAAGTAGCTTACCAAATGGTGGCTCGAAGAACTCCATAAAGGCATCGACTTCGGCTGAATCGCATTCACTCGGACGCTCAAACATCAGAACCACGTCGCTGCAAGACCACTTGGGTTCATTCGAACCAATAGCTCCAACGACTGTGTCGAAATCGAACTTGCGCGCTGGAATCATTCTTCGTTCCCATTTGGCTTTAAGTATTGCCCAGCAGGAAACAGAGATCAACAAGAGATAAAACGAAAACAATCATTCATAAGCCATCGCATGCGACCCATTTCGTTGTCATCCCGGTCCCGCGGTATAACATTCTTACCACCCACTACCTTGATCGCGGTAACGCCAATTAGCACATCACCTGGTTGGATCTTTCCTTGCACATCTGCCAAACCGCCTTCTACAATGTCTTGGACAAAGACGCCTTCACCGGCCTCGATTTCTTCGAAGACAATTCCAAGTGGTTTTGTCATCGACACTTCGAACACGCCTTTCGGTAGATTAAATACTTCCGGATATTCTGCTTTGTCTTCGTCTGTAAAAGGACTCATGAAGGAATCAAAACTTCTGTAGAATTTGAAGTCACCCTTTCCAAAATTTAGTCCAGATCCCCACATTCCGGGAACGGTAAGTGTCTCGTGACACGCCGTGTCGAAGGACGCCGACGACTTGGATTTCAGGGCTGTGGAGGGTCCCACGAAAGCAGTTGCCGATCTCCACGAGACAGCCACTAGAAGGACGGCTTTTTGAAGAAGCGACACCATTGTATTGCGAAAGAGGAGAGTTGTTGTTCTGCGAGCAATAATTATTTTGTCATACGGCGATGATAGTGAATATCAAAGATGTCGTGCTGAAAAGGGATCCAGTGAGCAATCGAAGAAGATTTTTCGAATTTTTGGAACATGAAAGCTGTCGGCGTTGTTAGGGCTCCCACGGTACTTTTTGACTGCCAATTACTGTACCGTACGTACCGTACGGTACGGTATGATGATGATGTGGTGTCTGTGCGTCTGCGATTTGTTTTGGGGGAGATTGAATCAGTGTCGATTGTTCTCCACTTCTTACGTTCAATATTGTAGTGACGTGTTGACAAAAATTTCCCCTTTTTCGTTCTGAAGGGAAATAGTAAATACTACTACTAGTACTAGAACTACTAGTAGCATTGATAATGGTGAAGATATCAAATGGCACCTCCAATTTCTGAAAAAATATCAAATCAACACAAAAAAAAGAGTGCTCAAATCTACTACTTACCATGAACCCTATTGGATTTCTGTTTCCAACAACAACAAGAATGATATGTCACCACCACCACTGCTGGTGCTAGTAGTACTATTCACCTTCTTCGTCTTGTTGTTCTTCTACTAGCTCCTTGTTGTTGGTGGTGGTGGTGTTCATCAGCACTTCTTGATGTTTCTTGTTATTCTTCAGTCATTGTCCCACCCTCTCCCTCATCACCAAAAGTATGATGTTCTGCTTGATGCACTGATGCTGGTGACTGTGCTGCCTACTAGTAAACTACTACTAGTAGTAGTAAGAGTAATACTAGTATGCACATGAATTGAAAGCCAATAATAAGAAAAAGAGGATTCTTCTATGATATGGTGTATAGTGCAAGAGGAATACTAGGACAGATTGCTGGGGTATTACTACTAGTATTGTTTCTCCTGGTATATGAAAATGGTATGAAAAGTTCACTAGTTTACACCGGAGTGATGCTACCTAGTACAGTACAAATGTACGTTACTGAGAAAAACCTCAATTGATCAATTGAGTGAGAAATTACAGTCAAAATACATGCAAATAGCATGGAGTGATAAAATCTGGCTTGATCAATCAATTTTGATGCTTTTGCTCCAACATTTCCAAGCTGGAAACCACACTCCAAACCCTCACAAAAAAACTAGACAAGATGGAATCTGGCTTACTATTAATAAGCATACACCCGGACACAAGAATGAGAGATCCAATCAAGGGGCTAATTGAATTTCAATCTGACTTTGCAAGTGCCCCTCAATCATCTGCTAACAGCTCTTGCCAAAGCAAAACCAATTCTGGATCTGACAAGGTCACATACTTGAGAGTAGTTCCTTCCCCACTTGGAAGCAAGCCTACTAGTAGAGGCAACAAGCTGCTTGCAAGTGGCAACTGCCTCTGGGTCCTCCATGCCATCAATGGAGTAAATAAGAGGTGTGTAGTGCTGGTGGGTCTGATGACAAGGGTCCTGATACTTGTCCTTCTTCTCTTGCTCTTGGACCTGGAGTACACACAGTGGAGCCTTTGTTTCATAGAAATGTGCATCAGTATTAGTGATCCTGATGTCAAATACTGCAGCAGTGCCTCATTTCCAAAATCCATGCACTGCAAGATTACCTCTGAGACCTTGTGGTGGTAATAGGGTGTTGCTTTGGCGTTGGTTTTGAGCTGGTGGTGGCTGATAGATGGGTATTCCTGGTTCATCAGTAACACTGCTCGGTGTCAACCCCTTGGCGCAGAACTGGTGCCATTCTCCTGCAATGTTGTTGTGGCATTGCAGGATGAGCCTGTCCTTTCAGCAAGAGATGGTGTGTTTGACTGAGAAGCTTGCACTGCATCCATCACACAGCTTGGGTGGGGAGGTGGGAAGGTGGGGAGTGTGAAGGCTGAATCTCAGTCTGAGATTGTCCCCAAATTCTTCAGCTGACAAGACTGTCCCATTGAGGTTATGGGGTGTAGCAGTCAGCCAGGCACCAGCAGTAGCCTGGCCCTGTCTGATGCAGCGGCCTACTTTTGGAGAACAGGTCAGAAGCAGGGCTTCAAGGGAGGCTTAGAGGGATGCCAAGAGCTGCTTTTGGCTGTCCACCAGGTGTTGCCGAACATTGTCATAGTAAGTCTGGGCATCGAGGTCTTCAGAATTTTGGAGGGAGGCAATGAGGTCTCCAGTGGCACCA